GAGATAAAAATTCCTAACACAGTTTAAAACAGCACTTCAATGACTAAAAACAAGAGACAATTTTAGTAAGCTTGCTCTATAATATAAATCCAGTTAAACACTAACCTGCTGCTTGTTACCTCTTCTGGTCATAAGTACAAAATTTATTGTGGGCTTTTCTTCTTCTTTTAGTTCCAATGCAGACACTATAATTAAGATACACTTCATAACTAACAAAATCTCTATAAATTATTAAACACATTATCTGATGTACTTCCATCTAGAGAAAGTTAAAAATATAAATAACAACACATACTTGTTTTTTTAGCATTTGCACCTTTGATAGTCATTGGAATCACTATATCTACTTGTGGTTTTACTGATTCTTGATTACGATGCTACAAATGAAACATAGATATGTATCACAATGATTCATCTTACCTTAAGATAATATTAAAAGAGACCCAATAAATATAAAAGCAAATTTTGAAAACACTAACCAAAATACTTTCAGATAGCATTTTATCAAAAGCAGTCATAAAATCTTCATCCTCTGCACACTGAACTTGTTTGGTGACTGGTTTAACAACAGGTGCATCTTCATTAGCATCATAGACTGGATCATTATCAACATCACTCTGCGACATACCATGCCTACTGTTCACTTCATTTTCATCCTGCAGGCAAAACAAAGTTTCAGAAGAACATTCATTAAAATTTCAGTTCAACATCCTATAAATATATTCCTATATTCAAATTATTTGTAGAAAATGTTTCTCATCAGAAAGAGCTTTCTAATTTGTTCAACAAATTGTAGTACTTGCCAAGATCCTTTTTTAATTATATCTTGTCACTGTGCATGCATTACCTGTGTGACATGAAAGCATGTTTTTGGTGGAAGATAAGGTGCTGCACACATTTTTGATTAGGAAATAAATTAAGATGGCATAATAATTAAAAGGAAAAAATCTGTCGTGATCTTAGCAAAGTAGTTTGCGAGGGTCTGCCTTTGTTAGTAAGATAAATTTTCAGAAGTTTGTGTTAAAAAGCTAGGGAGAAAAATCTGTGAAGAAATATGGTACTTTCTAATATTATGCAATACAATATTTATAATGAGATAAATTATTAATTTGATGCTTTTCATATGTGGTGACTTGTTTTAATTTGTTTTTTCTTTATTTTTTATGATCATTGCAGCTTTCCAAGTTTTTACAGTCTTTTTATAATACTCCCAGTATATTTCTATAAAAATGGTATTCTTCATTCTCTAATGTGACACACAGGGTATGTACAAGGATCTAATCTGATTTTGAATGCTTTTTTTGGGAAGTCCTATGCCAGACCTAAGCATGACCAATATTAGTCTGTGATGGGCATTCAGAAACTTAGTACAAAAATTTTTAGCAGAATTAGACACTGCTACGCCATTAAGTCCAGAACATGTGTCCAAATGGTCACTGCATATATTGTCAATATCACATAATGGGCAAGATGAAGAGTCTGCTAAACCAAATTCGTTAGGTGTTTGATGAGGTGGTTATGTCCAATTTTTAATCTAAAGTTAGCAACATCTACATGGTCTGGGTAATTAAAGTTAAAATAACATGCCGAACAACGATTATTTTAGAAGTCAAACAACAAAAATCAGCATTATATTTGCAAATTTTCCAGGACTAGCTTCAATGGTTTTACTACCAAATTACCTCCCTCAGCTGCCAAAGCGCAAATGAATGAGAAAAAATATGGTCCAAGTAAAGTAAATCACAATTTTAAATTCCGATATTGTATTTTCTAGTATTTGCTTGAAGTATTATGTGAATTTACCACATTCAAGATGGGCGTAATATGTTGGAAATAACTTTATAATTGGTTTAATAGATGGCAGCACTTGCCAAGCATTTTTCCGCCCCTTCTTGTGTGTGCTATCTTACACAGTGCATACACTACCTGTATGAAGCAAAAGTATGGTTTCTTTAGTGGAAACTAAGATTTGTAAGTACGATGCTGCACACGAATTTGATCTATAAATAAATGTATAATTTTGTAAAAATGGTATTATTTATTCTGTAATGCAATGCACAGGGTATATGCAAGTATCTAATCTAATTTTTTGAATACATTGTGGTAGTGATTTACCACACTTGTAGGACAGTTCTGTTTTTAAAAAAATTTATGATCTTTTATTATATTTATACTTGCATAAATTACTATTCCCCTACTGCTCATGACATTTCTTTAAATATTTGCTTTTGTAAAAAACTGATCCTGTGAGCAAAATGAGTCCCACAAAATGAGCATTAAAATACAATTAAATAACCAGTATGAAAGTAACCTTCCTTTTTAAAATCAGGAAAGCATAGCCTCTTACCAATATATTACAAAATGGTAAAAAATTATTCACCTTATTTACAGAACAACTTACTTCAAAAGGCTGACTCTGACTGCCACTAAAGCCATCTGTGTCTCCTTCAGTTTCTCCTTCTTGATAACTTGTTTCACTTTGGCCATCTTCATCCATCTCTTCTGAAAAGAATAATAACAGGTACATGATTTTGATGTGATTCTTAACTTGAAAACCTACTAAGGCAACTTATTGCAGCACTTGAAACAAAATGCATGGAAATAAAGAAATTACACCTGTAAAATGCTTAATTCGTTTACACACCAATGAAACAAATAAACAGCTCTGTTACAAAATTATATTTTCAAAAGTCCTACAATAATTACTTTAATTTCAGATTCACAAATACTGAAGTACTATCTTCACATATCCTTTATTATCAAAAAAGTATATAATAACTAGATGAATAGGTTGGCTTCATGGATGACTTTCTTCATGCATAATATGATTATGAGCCAATTTCCCTTAGAAAGTCCTTCACAAAGGCATCCCTTCTTTCAGGTAGATAGCCTTCATGTACTTTGCCATATTCAAATAACCTAACATAACCTTGATGAAATTTCAATGAGTACCATGCATAAAAAACATAATACACTAAAGTTCTATGTATTTCTCCAATGATATACTTAGAATGAAAAGGAATATGCAAAACATGAAATGATAATTCAATAATTCTTCAGTGGGTAGTATAACACTCTTACATGTAACAAAAAATTGTTTATGATTAGTAATTAAGTCAACATGAATTCATAAAATATTTCAAAACAGGAAATATAGTTACTTGCCAAAACAATAAGCATCTCTAGATCAAACAGGCTGATTTCAGCAATGGGAGGAACCAATAAATATTTTCAAGAATACTTTGCTGTGATTTGCAGCAACTACCAACAAACCTATTACTTACTGTTAACTAAACAAAATAACCTTAAACATCTTGCATGATAAACATATGATAACAAAATATTATTACAATTCTGAAAGTATTCATCAGAATCTTTTACCATCAACTTCTTCAATAGGTCCTAAAGCATCATCTTTTGTTGGAGATTGAGGTTTTGATTTTTCTACATCTTCATCATCATCAGTTAGGAGATTTGGACATACTTCAGCTGAAATATTAAATTTCAATCAGAATGTTTTAATGTATATAAAAATGTAAACTGAAAGCCATAAGAATAAATATTTCCAATAAAGCCATAAATTTCTAGGATAACAACATAAACACTTTAAAAGAATAAAAAAGTATGCAAACAATTCCATTAATAAATTATGAGTTAAATGCACACAATTTTTAAGTCATGAAAATTAAATGCAAGTTCATTGTAACTGAAGGGAATTAATGTCAAGAATATCTACTCATAAGCATGAGTAGCAGAAGTTTCTAAAGAAGTTATATGTATTAAAGTAACAATCTATACTGTGCATGTGTGTGTTCTATGGGTTTGCCTATCTGCTGTCAACAATCTTTGATACTGCCTGCAGAATTTTTGTCAAAAGTCTAGTGTTTCTATGTCCTATAGTTCCTATAAAAGTATAGGTGTTTCCTGTAACAAGAAGACCAACACTGTTGGAAAATTATAGTTTAAACTTAAAACTCCACGATGCTGTAAGAACAATTAAAGACTCGATGAATTCAGTATTGATTGAACAGACATGTACTCAACCTAATGATTAACCCTTGTCCAAGGATTAAGTAACCATAATCCCTTGTAATGATTCATTTTCTCCACAATCATGAACTCTTGTTTATCTATATGCTTAAAGTAGGAATGTCAGACTCAGTATCTCAAGTGAGCCAAATGGTCATCAGTGTTCAAAAGTGTGGGCATCAAAGAAAAAAATGCCATTTTCACACTTAATGATGTATTCAAAGCATGAGTAAATACATGAAATGCAACATATGTATGATGCAAATTTATGGCTTTACCGAAACCATGCCAGATAAGTTTTTGGGTAAAATTCAAGAATAACTACTACATTGAATTTCTGTCATTTCCATATTTCAATGTGTAAGAAATTTTCCCATCTATATCACGTGGAGCTGGCAATTGGAAGGTCTGACTCATGATGACAGCATTAGCGATTTTTCATGTTTTGTTCTTCACAACAAACTTAATGATTCGAAATATGGGATGGCACTTTTCTCACTGTCAGTCGAGAAAATTATTTTTTAAAGAGACTATTTTAAGTTCTTTTTAGCATCTGAGGTTGTATATACACCTTGATATTTGGTGGAATTCTAACTTTATTAATACAGGATGTGGCCATTAATTTGCAGGACTCATTTAATAACTCCAGAAAATATTATATGAAACACATACCCATTATGTTTCAAAGTAACTCCCACCTGATAAAATGCACTTCAGTATTTGACTATATACGTTTTGGAAACAGAAAACAGTTTCTCTTTTCAGAATGCTCTTTAATATAAATGTGACCATTTTCTGATGGCTTCGACATCTTCAAAATTTGTTCCCTTCAGCAAATTTTTCAGTTTTAGCGAAAAGGGGGAAAAAAATCTGCTGATGCTAAGACCAGAGAGGATAAAGGATGCTGCATCTCCATGACCTTAGGACCAAAAACCACCTCACAGGTAATGCAATTTGAGGCACTGTCATGCAAAAGCAGCCAACTCCCAGTCTGCTAAAAATGAGGTCTTATTCTGCAAACTCTATGTCAAAGTCTGGCAAGAACTTTTGCACACAACTGTCCAGTGATAGTCTTGTCAGGGAGAACAAATTCATGATGAATTAGTCCTTCACTATCGAAGAAAGCAATTAACTTTACCTTGATTTTGGACTTTTGGAATATGATTTTTTTTTTTTTTTTTTTAAATCTTGGTGAGCTTGGAGACCATCACTTGGAGCTCTGTCGTTTGTTTTTCAGGGCTGTACTGGTAACACCAAGGTTCTAACACCAAGGTTCATCTCTCGTTACTATGAAATTGAGGAACACAGGTCATTGAGGAACATCAGCATTGTTGATAGATTCACTGTGCACAAATCCAATCTGAACTGCTTTTGTTGTTGTTACTTGTCTGAAATCAGAACAAGCCCATGAAATTTATTGTAGCAAAAAATCAAGATTGCAACTGTTGCTGGCCAGAGCCTTGGGCACCATTACAACTTTGCTCAATTCTACTTCAAATTTTGAAGGACAGCACTCCCAGGGAATGGGTCTGATGGTCTCCCACTACTCTTCCCCTACCACCAACCTCTCGGCAGGACTTTCGACTCACTGCATACTTTGACCGCTCCCCATGCTGCACGGACACTATACATTTACAAATATCTATGCCTTCTCTGGGATTCAAAACCAAGCCCTTCGGCACGATAGGCAGAGTCACTAACCACTATCCTGGCTGGGCAGTATTGCTTTTTCCCTCTGCTATAGAGTAAGGAAATACCAAACTTGCATTTCCCTAGGTCCTTAGGTCAAAATTTGCTTAACTACCTTTTTGGAAATGTTCGTTTCATTGGTGAGTACATGAATAATAAACTGGTGATCAAAAGTCACAAGCTCACCAACATTCTCAAATTCTTCTTGCATGTGCATGGAATGTGGCCATCCAGTGTGCGCATCATTTTCAACACTTTTGCAGCCATCTCGAAAACAGCTATATCATTCCAAACTACGTGAATGGGATTATGCTTTCTCTCCATACACTTGTTTCAAAATTACATGGATTCACAGTTTTGCCCAATCTGAAGGAGAATTTAATGTTAATAATTTTCTGCTCTATATCGTCTTCAACAACAAAAATTTAACAGTTATATTTTAATGTGGGTTTAAAGGAGAACCACTTGCTTCTAAATGGCACTGACTTTTGTGGATATGTGCAGATAAATGACATTCCAAATATAGGCATTACCATAAGGTTCTCATACAATTACGTCATTCCTGGAAATTAATGGCTGCACCTTATATACTATACCTTTTTTGTTATTTTCTCGAGGTGAATTAAGGGCTACAGAAACATGATTTTAAGGACCACATACCGTCTGCAAGTTTGATATGCCTGACCTCAAGTTATAGATTTTAGCTGCTAATCTTTATTATTTATCAGTTCCTCCAACAAGAACATTTTATTTTGGAAAGAATATTTTTCCCAAGAATTTTGCAGAAAGGAAATTATTGACATTTTGAGAAAAATGCTTTGATTTTAATATAGTAAAGATACAAACTATATTAAACAGATATATTGCAAAAGTATATTTACAAAACTAACTGCAGGAAAAAAAAAAAAAAAAAAAAAAAAAAAAAAAAGAAAGGATAAATCTTTATCAGAATGAAAAACCTTGCTATAATCTAACTTACCTAACTTTGGCTTTAATTCTTTGATAAGATCTTGAACACCTTGAATAGCTTCTTCTAAACTCTCAAAAAGTTTTAGCTTTGGTCTTAAAAGAGCAATAGTATCAGCTACCATAAACTTCACTGTGACAGGAAAGGGAAACTCTTCAGTATAGATTTCAGAAGACATTTTGTGCCAATAATACCTCTAAGAAAAGTTTGAATAAATAAAATTTTACATCCTTTACTTCAAAATACAATTTTTTTTCATACATAAATAAGTCATACAATAAATTTATCATCTGCTGTAACTAATATTTATCAAAGAATAAAAAAATATAAATAAGTAAATTACAAATATAACTTTTTATTGTGACTGTACAATACTATATTACAAGCTAATCATTTTCGCTCCTTAATGATTTTTTTTTATTTATAACTGGTTAATGTATGTTAATTAATTACTGTATAATGTATATTATATTTATGAACACTCACATATGTTAAAAGATGTAGAACTAGAAATAAAATTATTAAAGTTGCTCTTAGCAAACAAATTTTCTAGTATAATTGCTCCTAGTAAATAAACTTACTCATCTAATTTTATCCTTGGGAAAAAATACTTTCCCACTTGCATATAAGTAGGCAGATAACATAAACAACAAAAGCCAAAGACTTTGTTAATTTCTTTTTATGAATTAGAACAAATTTTTTCACATACCTGGAAGAACACTAAAAAACAATCTAATTTCTTTTTGCTGGAACCACTATTGAAATACTGGCCGCAAGTGTCTAAAAGAATGCAAACTAAGCGGATGCGAAAAAGATGTTCAGGAGGATCCAACTCAGAGTATGTACCTGAAAAATCAAATTAATATTAAAAGCAAACACTTCAAATATTATTTTAAATAACATCTAAAAGAAAAATTTTAAATCAATGTGAGAGTTTCCTTTATAAGCCTGAATACTTTTCTGTAGAATGATGTGCCAAACCAGTACTTCCAGCATGAAAACACACTTTCATCAACAGTTATTAAATCCGTTGTATCACAGAGAAAGTTTAATTATTAGAGGTTATTTGGGATAAACCACTTCCAATATGTAGCAAATATCCATACACACAAAAGAATGACATCTAATATAGTTCATCATGCGTACAGAATCCATCTCTTAGTTCACATACTTTCAATGTTGTTTTTCCTATTCTTCTTCACCACAATATGCACATTTTGAATAAAAATTTAGTTGGATCTTTAATTAAGGCAAAGTACATAAGGACTACTTAGCATTACAAAAGAATGAACTTTCTAAGAACTGGCTTTCATTTGCATTATGCATGGGGAAAAAATAAAATTCCATTCAGTTAACTTATTCAACCACTCAGAGTAAAACTTTAAAACTTAGAATGTGATGGCAGTTCTAGAATCTTGCAGTTTTAGCCTTTTTGCATTTTAAATAAAGAATAATTTACAATATAAAGAACAATTAACGATATTGCACACTTGCCAACCTACGACACAAAAATCAGGAGATTTTTCACGATGTTAAAAAGACTTTTTAAATGATAAAAATATAGTTTTTAATAATGAATTAACTTTAAATAGTAACTAATTCTTAAATGCAAGCAACACAAAAATAACTTACACATAAAAAGCATTTTTATTACTTGCATCGTTTAAGAGAAGGAAAAAAAAAAAAAAAACTTTAATCAGTTTTCGTACAAATGTTATAAACAGTGGCAGATTTTGCTTTCTTTAAGAAAGAAACTTCATAATTTTGTTCACAGCAATTGCCACGTAGGCCTGCTTTCGCTAATAAAAGCTTTTCTAATGTGTCATCACTAATATTAGATCTAAATTTAGTCCTTGTTTTTGCAACAACACTGAGAATCCTCTCACACTCTGCATTACTATAGGGAACTGTCAAGATGGCCAACACAATTTTAGACAGTTCACTATATTTTAAAATTCCATCAGCACCTTTCAGTTTTCCAATTAAACCCCACTGGGTGTCAATCCTAGCTGATTTTACAACTTCATCCAAGTTTTCTAATTGTAAACTGCTGTTATGCAGCTGTTGGAACTGTTTTAATTTTTCCTTCCTTTCAAGATAATAATAAATATTAACAATGTGTTCATCCACATTTATTGGTAAAGAAGCTGTCCCTTTTTCAGCTGCCAAATTTAAGAGGTGACAGGTGCACCTCATTATCTGCAAATTTGAATTTTCCTTTCTTAAGATGCCTGCAACACCAGTCTTCCAAGCCTACCAATACTGGTGCATTATCGGCACCAAGTGCTAAGCAATTATCCAGAGGGCCCGCATTTTCTTTAAAGTTTTAATAATTAGCTGTGCTATATTAAAGGCTGTCAAAAGTCCTTCGAAAGTGGGAACAGAAAGTAAACTGCACTCAATTTCTGAAGACTCTGTATTAAAAAAAGAAACAACAATTGGATACAGTTTTGAATCGGTGTTATTGCTTCCATCCGTAGAGAGGCAGAACGGAGCTGTTTTAATGCAATCAATAACTGAAGATTTATTTTTCAAACCCATTTCTTTAACAATTTCACCTGTTTTGATTCTTGCACTTGAGTATTTCTTAGCGATTTCACTATCAGGGAATCATTTTTCTAAATAAAGCTGCAGCGTGATCCAATGCATTCAGTGGCAGGTTGTGCTCCAGTAAAAAGGCAGAGAACAGACATTCTCATACTTGCCAACCTATGACACTAAAAAATCAGGAGATTTTTCACAATGTTAAAAAGACTTTTTAAATGATAAAAATATAGTTTTTAATAATGAATTAACTTTAAATAGTTCAAAAATACCTTAGAATACAAATGCTATGAACAGTGGCAGATTTTGCTTTCGTTAAGAAAGAAATTTCATAATTTTGTTCATAGCAATTGCCATGTAGGCCTGCTTTCGCTAATAAAAGTTTTTCTAATGTGTCATCACTAATATTACATCTAAATTTAGTCCTCGTTTTCGCAACAACACTGAAAATCCTCTCACACTCTGCATTACTATGGGGAACTGTCAAGATGGCCAACATAATTCTAGACAGTTCACTATATTTTAAAATTCCATCAGCACCTTTCAGTTTTCCAATTAAACTCCACTGGGTGTCAATCCTAGCTGATTTTATAACTTCATCCAAGTTTTCTAATTGTAAAGTGCAAAATTGTGACTGCAGTATATCAGTAGCAACATCAATATCATCATCTTTCATGACTAAATGAAGTAACACAGGAAATCTGTTCAAAAAGTACCTTATGTCAGAAAAAGATGCATTTGCTAGAGCAGAAACATCACAAACTTTAGCATGCAAAATCACTTCATCGTTGACTGGAAATTTATGTAGTATGTAATCACATACTCGACAGAAGTAACTTCTAACATGAAGATAAAACTTATTTTTGTCTTCTTCTGAAAGTTCTTCCACTACTTTTGTAGTTGCAACTCCTATTACCAAATCTTCATATTTCTTTTGATTTTCTATTTCACCTTAAATCACATCATATATAGAATTACAAGACAAAACACAGACTGGTTTTACAAACTTTGATAAAATGTCTTTAAACAGATCATAAATAATTGATTGCAAAGCATGAATTAATGGAATTCTGCTTTGTAGAATTGTGTTAACATCGAATGATGGCAAAATGAATTGTAAAAAAAAGCAAAAAGCTTTGTTAAGGTCTGAAGAAAAAAATATAAATATTCGTTCTTCACAAGATAAACTTACAGTAATTGGAAAATGTTTCGTGTGTTGAGCAATTTTTTTATTTTGAGAGAAATTTGTATCAGCTTTATGCTTATATTTTGCAGTATTATTTTGAGAACTGCCAATTGAATTGCTGAATGATGCAGAAATTACTTTATTTTTCTCAAACCTATTTTTAATAACGGAAGTAGTAACTACATCTCCACTTACTTTAGGTACTTTATAACTTTCAATAGAGCCTTTTATCTTAACTCTTGAAGCATTTATTTCTTCTTTAAAAAATGCAAGAAGTGGGTTCCATTGATCGAGGATTCTACATAAGCATTTCTTTAAAGACAGCCAGCGTGTATACATGTTTCAAAAATTTTCTCATTTCAGTATTATGCAGCTGTTGGAACTGTTTCAATTTTTCCTTTCTTTTAGAACACCTTTCAAGATAATATTAAATATTAACAATGTGTTCATCCACATTTATTCGTAAAAAAGCTAAGCCCTTTTTCAGCTGCTAAATTTAAGAGGTGACAGGTGCACCCCATAATCTGCAAATCTGAATTTGCCTTTCTTAAGATGCCTGCAACACCGGTCTTCAAACCTACCATTACTGGTGCATTATCGGCACCAAGTGCTAAGCAATTATCCAGAGGGACTGCATTCTCTTTTAAAGTTTTAATAATTAGCCGTGCTATATTAAAGCCTGTCGAATGTCCTTCTAAAGTGGAGACAGAAAGTAAACTGCACTCAGTTTCTGAAGACTCTGGATTAAAAAAAGAAACAACAATTGGATACAGTTTTGAATTGGTATTATTGCTTCCATCCGTAGAGAGGCATAACGGAGCTGTTTTAATGCAATTAATAACTGAAGATTTATTTTTCAAACCCATTTCTTTAATAATTGCACCTGTTTTGGTCCTTGCACTTGAGTATTTCTTAGCGATTTCACTATCGGGACACATTTTTCTAAATAAAGCTGCAGCGTGATCCGATGCATTCAGTGGCAGGTTGTGCTCCAGTAAAAAGGCAGAGAACAGACATTCTGTATTAATGACTTTTTGGTCTTTGGTTTCCGAAGAAAAATTCAATTTTTTGTTTTTTTCAAAACAACTTATGTTGTCCTTGTGTTTTTGTGTATGCACATGTTAGAGAACATCCGCCCTTCCACTATGCGAAATCGAAAAATTGCAATGACAGGCGGTACACATCACAAACATCACATCCGGAGGAGTAGGGACGACTTGCAGAAATTTAACATTGGTTGCCTATTGCAGCGTGTATAATCGTCAAGAAAAAGCTGGTTGTAGTGCCTCATTTCACAAATTAGAATTTCTACATATTTTTATTTTTGAAACTCAGCATATTTATCAAGCATAATTAACGTTCCAAATAATTATAAAACTATTGCATGCTTTCAGGACTGGATATTTTTTAGCTTTTCCTATGCTGTAAGGAAATTTGTAACTACTTCTTTTAGAAAATAATATTTTAAATCTGAACTAATAGAAAATTTCAAATAATAAATTTTCTCTTGCAATTTTTATGCTTTTTATTGATGTAAATAAATAAAAAATACTAAAATATCTAAAAACGAATTTCTGAAAGTTGTACTTAAAATTCTAAATTGTGCTGCTTTTTTAAAATTATAGATGAGTATTATAGCACAATTTCTATTAAGGAATTTTATTTCAATTATATTTCATAATACATCATAGTGATAAACACGTTTGACTCCTTAAAAATGTTTATACATTTAATTTTAATATTAAAATTGTATTTAACCGTAATAATTAATTTTGCTTGTATTTTATAGTGATTATTTTTTTTAATTTACTTTTAGTTCTGCATAAGAGTTTTTTTATTTACTGTTAATTTAATTTATTAGCTTAAAGGGGCGGTAGCCTAGAAAGGCAGTTAGTTTCGAAGCGGCATTTTGTGCTGTTTTACTATAAATGTCCGTGTCTCTTGCAAATTGTTGTTACCAAATATTATCGCCCTGTAATTATATGTAAAGAAATTAAATAATGAAGAATCTGCATGAATACATGTATGGTTCTTGCAATCTGACAAAAACGACAGAATCTAGAGCCATCAAATTTTGAATAATGTAATCCTCCAACCGAACATGGGCATCTGGACGGCTGAATTTCGAATTTGTTTTAATCTATTTCCTATTTTGTAAAACTTTAATGAATTTTTGATTAACAAACTCAACGAGTTCAGAGACAGCACTGTACGGAAAATAACAGTTTTATCTCCAGTGCGGAAATTCTAAAGATATGCTTTTGGTGGTCGTGTGCTTAATGCATGATATAATTAAAGAAAATAAGAGTAGACAATCTCCTATAACAAAAGAATATATTAAGTACTAAATTACAATTTAAATTACATTGCAGAGATCAACGCAGAGCTCAGAACACAGTTCATGCTACCGTCGCGTACATTTGTCTGACGAGAAGTCTGAGTGAGTAATGACGTCGCTTTGCTGCTCCGATTAAGAACTGGATTTTACACGTGGCGCCATCTCATGAGTAGAAGTTGAAGTATCTCTCGGAACGCCACATGCTGTTTTCAAATGTATGTGGTTTACGGGTGAAGAACATGATATTTAATAAATATAGGTAACACATAAAACGTTAAAAAAAAAGGTTTCTTTTGGGCGTAATATAATATCTTAATGCTTCTAGATTTTATTTTACCATTTTTTCCCGCTTCATTACACTCAGAAAATTTTATGCTCCAAATTTTATAAATTACTAAAATAAATATTCCACTTTAATGTTAATAAGTTAATAATGATATAAATCAAATAAATGATTGTTTTGTAATGTTATTATAGTTTTGAAAATCATTGCCTGAAAATGGTCATTAAATTTTTTAAAAAAAGTTATCAGATCTTGTTTAATTTTACCTTATTTATTTTCAAGCATCCCGTACTACAAATCTTATTTAATTTTTATGTTATTTGTGCACAAAATTAAGTTCATAAATTTTGTGCCTTTAGTTTTTAACCACGTTTTAAAACCAAAGTTAAAGATGTTTTGTACAAGAATTACGCGTGAAAAAAAAATACGCGAAATGCAGTAAAAAAAGTGCTTTAATGCGATATATTAAATCCTATTTGGAAAAAAACTGTGGCTTTCATAATCTCATCACTATATAAACGTATCACATTTACCCAATTAAAAAAGAGTTATGTGATACAAACACCATAGGTTTCAGTGTTAAAGTAAACCAGATCGTCCCTACTCTTTCTTGCTGACATGTCGGTGACACGCGCCCCGCCCACTGGGTTAGCCTATCTCTTATAAGGTCCATGTTCTGGATACGTATGCTGTCACTCACGAAGCAAAAATTCTCATCTGATTCACAAGGTTTTATTTTAGATATAATCTAGAGAAAATTCAGTTGCTTTCAGACGTCCAAAATCACTTTTTTTTTTGGTTCATATAACGAAGTAATATAAGCCAAGTTCCATAAAAAATCGTGAGAAATCGTGAGAAATATTAAGAATAAGAAAAAGTGGGGAGAAATATATTGTAAATCGGGTTGACGGGAGAGCGGTCGAAAATCGGGAGAGTTGGCAACTCTGATATTGTTATCCTATTCCGACAGAGACTGCAGAGGTACTTTAAGACTGCATCACAATACAATATCATAGTGCCCTAAAATTACAGCTGCATATTTTCCAGATTTAACATTACATAATGAATGCAACAAACTGATGATATTTACTTATGCCTTTATAAATAATATTCAAATAAAATAATTTCTTACCATCATAATTAACACCAAAAGTGATGAATGAATACAAAACACGAAATATCACAGTAGATTCAACCATTCTATAGTTATATAATTCTCCAAGATAGCGAACCATGCTGACACGGCGTTGATTGTATTTTGGATGGTTTACCTACGAAAAAATAATAATGTTAAAAATAATTTTTTAAAGCTTATAGATGGATCTGTAAAAATGAACATCTAAATTTTGATAAGAGCATAAAAATCCACACAACTTATCAGAATTTATCAACACAACTTATCAGAACTTATCAGAAATGATACATGATATCATTCAATGACAACAAAAATGTCAAAGAATTTTTTTAAAATGTCCTTTTATTATATGCTATAATTTGAAATTAAAACTTTGAAGGATTTCTTTCAAGATTAAATTGATTTTATGAGAAGAAATTCCTGCAGAAAACAACTGGCAAATTAAATAAACTAGCAATAGACAATTACCAATATTAGAATTAACTATAACTTGAATAATTAATTAATACATTTTGGCAATATGCTGCATTTGAAAGGTTTTATTTTTAAAGGTAACCAATGCCCAGATCAGAGCCATTGCTTATGAAATTATTGAGAGGAGATATCCCAGTAACCTTTGAACCCATGATTACATCAATGGATCAATGATTGAGCGAGGTACTGGATCTGGTGCGGGAATCTATTTGCAACCATTTTGTATTCTCTAAGGCAGTGGGAAAAGATACAACCAAGTTGGGTGGTGAAGGCTATATTTTTTGCTCTGAATCAATGAAGTGTTTAAGAGCAATTTCTCTTGGGCTGTTATTTTATCTGATAGCATGGTTGCTTTGCAAGCTATCTTCAACAATAAATTTTGCAATTCCAAACGAATTTACAAATGCACGAAGATTCTCAACACTCTGTCTAACTCAATTGTCTTGCTCTGGATTCCTGCACATTGTAGCATTGAGGGAAATGAAAGAGTCAATTTCATGACAAAGAAAGGAAAGACTATTTATTCTACAAACCATTAATAACCACATAACATTTAATTCTGCAAAACTCCTAATTAAATTAGAATTTAAGAGGAGGTTTGTGTTCTACCTATCAAATGAAGCTAAGGAAAAGGACTGGGAGTGTCTCACTAGTTCAGATTTTACTTATCCTATGAAGAATACTATGAAGTAGCCCTGGCGTTATTTCGTCTTTTGACTGGGCACAATTGTCTGAATGCTCATCTTTTTAAAATCCGACTTAAGGACTCTTCTGCCTGTACTCTTTGTAACTCTGGACAGTGCACAGATAAGGAGGATATTGATGAATGCATTGTATTATTAACCTTTAATTCTATTGCTCTTAAGTATTGGGAAGCAAGATTAAGACTAATGGCCTAGTGGTCAAATGTCTGGCATTTGTATAAATAATTTTGTAAAGGTAATAATTTACTCTTTCTTTTTCAGAAAGCCCAGAGAAAAATAGCTTAAGCACTGTACCCTTGTTCCACCTCCCTGCACTGTAACAGCAATACATTAAATGCTTACATAATAAAAAAAATTGGTTCTTTAATGAGTAATATAATAATTACTCATTAAAGAACTCATATTATTATGTTTAATCTCCAGGATTTATATATCAAATTATATAATTCATTATTTAAATTTTTATTAAAAAAATCTTGACCTCATGTGCTTTCAGTAGAAAGTTATCAGTTACCTATACAAAGAAAATTAAAGCATTAAAACACTTACTTCCATGCCCAATCTTATATCTTCTAAAACACCATCAACAACTTGGGATCCAACATTTTCCTACAAAATATGTATATATGCTTCATTTTCATTAATACACTTAATTGTGAATAACAATACAAGTTCAACATTATTTATATACAAACATGGATTTCTGTGTGTATAAGAGACATTTTTTAGGAAAAAAAAAAAAGGCCACAATGTTCTTCTATTGTCTTATTTTACTGAGGTTGAAATGTTTTTATTTCACATGAATTTTGTAATCAGAATAATTTTTTCATAGAATACAAAAATGTGAAGTAACTAAAAATAAAATTATTCGTGAATTCTAAATTAAAATACACTCATATATTAATAAAACTGTAAAATTTTTTAAAGCTGCACAGTGAATGATATTTTTTGTTATGTTGTAAAATATAATAATCAAAGACATTACTTTTAACAACAAAAGTGCTGATTAAAAGATGTTGTCAATTACCTCTTCCCTCTAAAATACCTACATCTAATTTTTAAATAAATTTTCACAACATATGAAACATTTATATATTTTTTTTAATGTATAAAAATTTCTTCATTATAAGAATATCAAGAGGAGAAAAATATAATGATAAACAAACTAAATAATAAAATGCGCAAATTCTTGCATCATAAATTTTGTTAGAAGTTAAACTGGAAGTTATTTCAAGTTGATCTTCGAAAATAATTATCACGAAATAACTCGTCACTCAGGTTTATGACAAGACTCCATCAAGTTCACAGACAGAACTTTTTTTAAAATTTATTCTGAATAAACCTGCGGTGTGTTTTGTAGCTATGCTAGTGACCTTCATGAAGTTTTATTACGAGAATATGAAAGTTTTATCCCATGTCTCTTTTGTTCCTCCACGTCAGTATTCGAGCACCTATCCACCCACATATAAGACTAGTTTTATCTCTGCTAAGTGCATTAGTTTAGCAATTCACCCTGTTTTGCAATTTGGTCAGAAATACAAGAATTAGAGCTTGTACATTCCTTCTTTTAAGACTCCAGCTAAAATTTTTGTAGAAACATGCTATTTTTGATCTGATTTTGATCCACCCACATATAAGACTAGTTTTATCTCTGCTAAGTGCATTAGTTTAGCAATTCACCCTGTTTTGCAATTTGGTCAGAAATACAAGAATTAGAGCTTGTACATTCCTTCTTTTAAGACTCCAGCTAAAATTTTTGTAGAAACATGCTATTTTTGATCTGATTGTACCATGCCTGTATGTGTACTGCGATGCTTCAAAGTCCACAACACCATTTCTAACCTGAACCAACCTCTTTGTGCATTTTCATATTTTATTTCTTTTCAACCATTTCTTTTTTCATATTTCCTTTATATAGATAAATATTCACTTATGATTATTAAAACTCAAAATTCTTAGAAATTATTTTTTGTGTTCATTCTTAATAAAAACACACTAATGAGTTAACTTAGGATAATTACTTACCATTTATTTTGTATCATAAAAATATTAAAAAATTCAAAAGCTTTTGAAACACATTTGCTGAGTCTTTTATGCCTTATTGCATTAATTAAAAGTACATACAATAAAACTAAATAACTTGTGCATGAAAACTGAAAAATAAAGGGTTAGTTAAGGGGTTAATATATATATATATATAATGATTTCAAATGCGTAGATGAAAGCAGTGGACCTCCCAACAGCTTATGATACTGCATAGATGACCGAGAAGACCGTAGTGGCTTGAAAGTGGCAGAGTGGAAAGCATGATGACGCAATTTAGCACAACATATCTTGAAAAATCACAATCTTTATTTTTTCCATGCATATCAAATGATCCTTTTTCAGACAAGATATTTCTTAATAATATTTGAATAGAATAACTCCCATTTTGAAGTACGACGTCATCTTAAGCAAGTTAGCTGCAGCAGCATGGATGAAGTGTATCTTACCAGTAGGAGAGCTAACACGGAAAAGGGGAAAGGTTATAGTACTTTCACAGGAAGAAGACTGGGAGTGGGAAAGTTTCAGTTTAGAATTAATTTGATTGGACGAGAGGCATTTGCATTAATACGTTACATAAGATAGAAAAGTCTGGAACCTGTGAGAAGAGATGAATTTAGCGGCAGATTATCAAATTATGTTAATTTTGAGGTCATCAATTATATTTTGAAACAGCTATCATATTTTGTTATATCTTACATATCCCCCCTTCAAAAGAAAAGTTGGGTGAGCAGGGTGGAAGAACAAGCATTAGAGCAGCAAAATGTGAAAGATATAATTTTGAAAATACAAACATATTAAATTTTAAACAAAAAATTATTGTCATAAAATTTTGACCAATATTTTGAATCAATTTTGACATTTCATTGAATGTCATAAAATTTTGAATTCAATAATAATTTTAGACACTGTACACTTCTAAAACAATTGCACATTTTAGTGTTCTGAGATAAGAATGTCCAATGAAATTTTGTAAAGTTCTTGATAGTTCCACATGGTAAAAGTTCAAATTTTTTCACAAACTAAATGTTCAAATAAAAGTGTTTCCAATTTTTATTGATGAAAATATTTCTATTATAATACAATTTAAGATGCCAACTTTCATGTTATTTAATTATGTTTTTAGGGAAGGTATTTTAATATATAAAAATTTTGTAACACATCACTCACAAACACAATTTAAAATTTTAAACTTTTCACTATTATTAAGACATTTTAAAATTTACTTATTCTTTACAAAACTTGAAAACTCCACAACTTTATCTAAATACTAGCACTTCCATCATATTGGTTTATCAGTTGAGCAAACTGGTGTTTAATATTCTTCACCAGTGGCCAAAAGATTTGCCAAATTAGCAGTTACTGCAGAAAAGGCCTCCATTCCTTCTGTAAAGGCAACTGACCTTTTTCGAACTGCTGCCATTCCATATGAATATTAAAAACACAGTCCATTTTATGAAAAAATAAAAATACTTAGATTAAAAAAATGTATTTTTTCATAAGGTGTCATATTTTGTTATATCTTACATATATGTATATTATTTTGTCACACATTATAATTTGAAGGAGTGACCTATAAAAATAACCCTTGCAATGTTCACCGCACAGTGTCAAAAATAATGTTTACACACTTGGCAACTATTTTATTATGAAAATGCAGTTATTGAAAGGTTGAATAATACATATAATTTGTAATGAACTTGATTATTGCAGATATTGTTGGATAGTATAAAAAAGGGATTTAAAAAATATATTTAGAATACATTCATGAGTTTGGTACACAATGGCATAATTATAATTTGAATAAGCTAATAATTAATTACCTAGAAATCAGGGAGGGAAGACAAAACTATTTTGGTAACAAAACAAAGTTCTTCATTTAAAAAATTACAAAATGGATATTTGACATTTTTAACCGTCCTTAAAGAAGGGGCAAGGAAGGGGTGACAGGAATATTTTTAAAACAATAATAAAATATCACTTTTTTTAAAAAAAAGTTGTTTTGAAAAGTTTAAGAAATCATTTTGTTTAGTATTTATAGAATTAGTAGTTTGTAAAATTGAAAAAATGTTTGAAAATCAGGTCAAATTTTATGTTTGAAGTCTAAGACTTTACAATTTTCATTTATGAATGAAAAAAGCAATATTATAAATACCTGATAAGCTACCAAGCCAGCAAGTAAATTAGCCACACAGCGAATGTTATAATATTTCACATTCCAAACTGCTGTAAGACATTTTGTAATATAAGCAGCAGTTTCTGTATCATCCCAGTCTAATTTTCGCATCTGGCGCAAGACTTTCGCTGAAGATGAATATTTTTCTGAACTCTATGGAATAAATACAAAAAAATAAGCTTTCCATTAAAACATACACAAATCTATTATGATAAATATATTTTCTTGAAATAATAGTTGCCATTAATTATTTACAACTAATACAAGACAGATTCTTCTGTGAAACTTTACTATCCTACATTACTGTCAACAGTGTTGTGCCCAACCCACCGCAATAATCTGGAAATCATATATGTCAATGGCAATACCTGTTCTGTTCAGAGTTCAAGCAAAATACCAACTGATGAATCTTTGAAAAAAGTTCAAAACTAATGCTATGAAACAGTTACTTCACTTAAAAATCAAATCATAATCACAAGGCTTAAGTCCAAGGAGTATGAATGATGGCTGAGCATTTAACAGCCCCCATCAGTCAAACAGATCAGTCACAGTCTTACAGATTAGTTTTTGATAAAGATTACCTTATCAATACTGTAATTTAAGATTACCTAAGCAATGCATAGCAAAATAATAAATTTACTCTGTAGAAAACACTATGTGTTTTTAATGCTGATCTCAAGTAGTTCCATAAGTGAGCAATAATAATGCATATGGATGCATATTCTTTGAGGTATGCCATCATAAATATACAAAAGAATCAACATAATCTTCCTACTACAGTGATTCTGATGAAGAACATGAGATTTGATTTGTAATTATACAATCTTTGCTTTGCTGAAGGCAATAAAACTGGTTAAAGTTACACTGAAGCATTTGAAAAGTTTGACTGCACTGCAAGTAGTAGCTTATTTCCCCCCTTTTTAGAGAAGTACCTGAGAAAATTTTACGATCAAGATGGCGCTATCAAATTTAAAGATGCAAACGTCTGAAAGGGAAAACAAACTACTTAAAACAGAGCCAGAATTTGCATTCTTGTTAGTATCTTCTTACCTGCAATATGTTTTTAAGTACACTGCTAAAAAAAAAAAAAAAAAAAAAAAAAGGACAGTCCTATATTTCCCGATCTACTGGGCCGATTGACAAAATTCAAATTGCGTTCTTCATCTCTCGAAAGCGCGACTTAGGATATATATTAGATTTATATATAGCACTATTCTAACATAGGTATTTTGACACAAAATCAGACTTTTTCTGAAATAATATACAAATTTTTTTACATATTTCGATTCTACGACTCAAATTATGCCTAAATATGAAATTTTGTAAAATTTGGAGCGAAATTCACAAATTTGTGTTGGCACTTTTTTGTCAGTTTGCGCCAAGAATACTTCACTTGGCGAACTTCTTAATATATGGCAACCTAGTTTCCTTTCCCGTGAGAGGAAAAAAGTCACCATCGTTCCTTTTTTCTAAATAATATTCTTTATATTATATTTTTAATTATAACTTATTATTTAAGTAATTTTTTCTTTTTCGAATTTCATTTAATTGTTTAAGTTGCACGTTTTTTTTTTTTTTTTTTCCGAATAACTGTTTTAAAAATTTCTATTTACCTATTCGAACTGCGTAAATAAAGGTGCAGCGTTCATTTTTTGTTTTCAAATACTTTTCTTTATATATATATTTTCGTCGTAGTTATTATTTTAGGTAATTTTAAAATGTTTATTCTTTTATTTTAATTGTTTGTGTTGCATTGTCTCTTCAGATAATTGTTTTAAAATTTTCTATTTATTCCTTCGAACTGAGCATTTTAAATATATTTATTAATATCAATTTTCCAGAATTTGATTTTATTTATTTGAACTGCGTTTCTTTCAGAAGAATACTTTATAACCCAGACTACGATGAGTTTGAAAACTGCATACTATATTAAAAGAGAAAATACAGTACAGCACAGTTTTACATGCCTTTCAATGTTCCGTTCAGAAAAGATACATATAAATAAGAGAGATGTATAACCGACATTTTAACTTAGGATGACTTGCATACACTGCTTTAAACAGTTTTATCATTGTGCCCATTGCTTTACACAATTTTATCCTACATTTGGTTTTTTAAAATGTTATTCATATTTTAGTCAAATATTTTATTTTTGAAATCGCAAGAATCAAATATCATAACATTGAAAAGTTTTAAATTAAAAAAAATACAAATACTAAATTTTACAAAAAAATTTATTTTTCTTCTCTTTTTCTTTAAGCATTCTGAAAGTATATTAAAAAGTATCCAACTTTTCTAAACATTTTGGTATTTCTGACAATCATTTTAAATAAAGTTATCGCCTTCCATTTCATAAAGCCCCACAAACGGCCGAGCGGTAAAGACGCTGATCACTGGTAGTTCGGTCTGAGGTTCGAATCCTGCGAACGGGCTGGTTGCATGGGTATTTCCGTGGTTTTCCTGATGTGTAACGTGTACACGAGCCAGTTTTCCTTAGAAAGTCCTCCAGGAAGGCATCCCTCCCTTTAGGCAGATAGCCCTCTTGTGCTTTGCCATAATTAAATAATCCAATCCCATCCTTAATTAAATATAATTGATTTGTAACTTTTACTAGAACTGACGTTAAGAATTGAAGTGCAAATAAATAATATCGTGTGCAATCTTGATTAATATAAAATTTAAAATATTTGCAAAGAAAAATATTTGCATTCAGACAGAAAGTTTTTTGAAATATTTGCAATTACTTTATAAGAAGGATTTATTAATAACCGTAATAATTACTTATTATATTACTGATGATTAGGAATCAGTTTCTTGACAATTACATTCTAAATTAGAATTTTAAGAATTATTAGAATTTTAAATTAGAATAATGAAAATATGCTATGCACAAAAATACATTTAGGGTAAAAAAAATGAGTTGATTTTTTGTTTTAAAACTTCTTGAATTCATTTAATAAACATCGTATCCTCGTTGTTAATTGAATTCAGAATGTTGGGTGTCGTTTATATAATTATTCTTACTTGTCCACGGAATCTGCTGACTTATCCAGCGATTAAGTAGCTGCAGATCATTTCTACTAACCATTGAACTTCCATTAATTCAGTCTCTAGAGGTTGTATATTTATATCATAATTTGACTTTTATAAAAATGATTATTCTAAATCTTATATTTCTATAAAAATATACTGTGTTTTAAAAATATGGATGATAGTACCAGCCGCTCTTTCAGCCACTTCAAAAGCATCAGTTTGTTTAGAAATAAATTGTGCAGTTAATGTCATAAAATTCAAATAAACATTAAACGAAAATTCTCAGTTTTAGACAATTCGATTTAAACGAAGTAAAGTAGCAGACGATAAAACGCTGAAGGTAAAAATTTACTCTTATTTAAAAAAAAAAAAAATAATAATAATAAAAAAAAAAGATAGAGAGAAATTAAAAAAAATATTAAAAAATTTATTGAAAAAAATAGCTTTTCATATAGTATTAATAAATATTTATTACGCATCATTGAGGGAAAAAATGTCATATAATTAATTCTCCGTAAAATCTTACTTGAAATTTATGGTTAAAAATAGCTCTGGCAATACATGTAACAAAAATCCATAGACCACATTTGGCGTTATTATCGCTCAAAAAAAAAGATATATCTTAGAAAATTTTGAATAAAAAAGTCTAATTTTTTGCAGATATGCTTAAAAATATACCTACTTTAAGATGATGCTAAAAATTTTATCGATTATAATTCAAAATTTTTTCAAAAAATTTATAAAAAATTATTTAAAAATAGAAATTTAAAAAAAAAAGCACAAAAAATGGGTAAATTTTATTTGGAATGAACCTAAATTCGAAATGTGAGAGAAAAAAATCAAAAAAGTTCAATAAAAAAAGAGATATAAATAAATATTTGCCAATTCAATTAACATTGAGGAGCTAAAATTTTGAGAGCTAATATTTCAAAAACTACTCGTACGATTTTTACAAAACTTGGTATTCTGGCATAATTTGAGTTGTAGAATCCAAATATGTAAAAAAATTGGTATATTATTTCAGAAAAAGTCCCATTTTGTGTCAAAATACCTATATTAGTATAGTGCTATATATAAATCTAATATATATCCTAATTCGCGCTTTCGAGACATGAAGAACGCAATTTGAATTTCGTGAATCGCCCCAGTAGAACAGGAGATATAGCACTGTCCCATTTTTTTTTTTGAGCAGCGTACCTTGAAATATCAACATAAAAAAAAAAAAAAAAAAAAAAAAAAAAAACCACCTTTAAAATGTTCCATTTGCTTGCCATTAAAATTAGAATCACGATAAATCAATATATGAACAATTACTCTTATTAGAAAACATTTACTGATGTAACACATAAAAAATAAGACAAGCATTGAAATGACTTATTTTTGACTTATTTTTTATAATGAGATAAAAGCATGAAATGGCAAAATAATTAATAATCTTTCACACACAAACACATACATTAAAAAAATAAAAAGGATAAGATCAAGATTACAAATTCTTAGGCAAAAAATATATTTCATAAACATGAAAAGAAAATTCTACCAAATCGATTTTTAATACACAATTGTGGGAGCTTATAAATATTAAAAAGAAGACACATAGGTGGCATTTAGATGATAAAATTTAAGATTACCTTATCAGTACTGTTCTTTGCAAGATCCCTATAAAGAAGTTTTCGTATGTACTCATGCATTGGTGGACGTTCAACCTTAACAATCTGAAAATATATAAATTAAGTTCCATAACAAATCAGATTACTCCTTAAAGTAAAAGCATTCTGGAAAGTACAATAATAAACTTACAGGTGCAACCTCAGGAGGATTACAGTAGTAGAAAGCATTTTCTATCATTGTTGTATACCTGCTGTCTAAAGGCATGACAGACTTCTTCCTCATCATTTGTTCCTAAAATATGAGATTAATACAAAGCAAAATTTATTTACAATCTATATTTACCAGATTCATACCTTTAAAAGCAAAAAACATTTAAAACTTAAAATCACAGAATCTCCTGTTGCATAATATCCTGAAATTATGCAACAGGAGCGACTGATGAAAAGCATGCAAGCCGATTTTTGTCAATTCAGTCAAGGTCCTATAAATAGGCTCTTGGTTCTAGTTTAGTTAAATTCGATAAGGACAACAAACAATATTTGTTTAGAGAAAAAGTATGTAGTTTTCATAAATATCAATATAAAATTATATTAAAATAAATGTGTTACATAAAAAAGTTGTTTCGATGCCAATATCTTTATACAACTTAACAAACACCTCTCATGATTAAATTCATAATTATAAGGCAAGGGGGAGGGGAAAGAAGAAGAAGAAATAAAGAGTATTAAACTCTGTCCTTCATGTTATCAAAACCAAAGACTAAATCCTACCTTTATAAAAGTAGAATAACCATGTTGTCTGTAAACCTAGTTTTAACTTAACTACAAGCAATTTTTGGACAGTGATGCGGATTACAGCATTTATCACAAATTATTAAACTTTGATACATATTGTCGAGTTAAAGCTAGTTCTAATATGTTTATAAGCCTTTTCTGAATTACTGTCAAATTTAAATGCAAATTATTCACAAACATAAATGTGTAAGGAATAAATAAGGAATAACGTAACTTTGAGTTTATGTAAGTTGGGGTGTTGCAGTACTAGTACCAGTACAGGGATCCAGGCCTAAGCTGAAATCATTCAGCTAGACATGAATATTATAATTAGTGGCAGTTACACAATTTATATATGCAATAATTACCTGTGTAGTTCATTTAGTGTTAAAGCAGTGTAAATATATTATATAGTATAATAAATATTCTCTATTTGTAAAAAGCTAATATACCTGTAAATTTAAATTTTATTCAGAAATTTTAATTGCAAAAATAAGAAAAATTAATTATTGCTGCGAACTAACTTAATCATTTAAATTCTAAGAGCATATGCAAATTAAGTGCATGTTCCTTGCAGCAATGGCACAAGAGAATTATTTTAATTTAATTTAACTTTAATATATTCTTGTGAAACAATTATATAGTATAATAATTATACTACTTCTTCTCATTCATCAATTTCACTTATCAAGATACTTGATTATAAAAGCATATCAAATTTTAAGCCGAAAATACAAGTGGGGTCTTATATCTGAGTAAACGCAGTTATCTAAATAAGAATCTGTTTTCTATACCTGCTAAAAAAATTATTACTTTGAATAAGATTTTAGGGGGGGGGGAACAGATCTCTAAACTAATTAACTGCCCTTTGGTGTCACCTGGAATTTTAACAGTTAGGTTTATAATAAAATGTTTTCAGGAATTCAAGAATTTCATTTGAATTATTTTTAAGAGTACAAATAACTTTGTTAATAAATAAGAAAACTATCAAAACTGCTTTTTAGCATGCTGAGATATATCAAGCACCTAAGCATGTAATTTTAAAACAGAATTTGAATTACAACAATTTGGTGGAGAAAGAATTAAAAGAGAAAACCATTTTAACATCAAATTAAAATTTACGAGCAGAGAAATAAATGATAATAATGCATGTTTTTTTAAGCAAATTAAATTTAGAATTATTTTTAACAACTAGTCAACATATGTTACACATCTAGATAAATTTTTATTGTAAATATAATAGCTTATGAAGTGTTTTAAAATAAAATATTGGCATTAACTATGGTCTCACGCTATACTTGTGACTGATATTTTAGATAAATATAGGAAAATATAGCCATACACTTTTCTTTATATAAAAAAATCAGATGAAATGTAAAAGTTATTCAGAAATGGTATCAGCAAATTTTAAATACTTTAATAAATAATTTTTACTTTGAATAATCATGACATTTAAATTAAAAACTTACTGAATATATTATGGATTAAATTCTAATTTTTTTTAAATAAATATATAAAGATTCAATAACGTAGTTCACAATCAGCATTATACACTTAACAGAAAGGACAACTCTTTAGGAAACTACCATTTTTATATAAAAGAATTTATGAATAATTTAAAACAGTTTTTAATCATTTTAATAGGCCCACCAGCCGCCGAGCGGTAAAGTAGCTGAACACTGGTAGTTCGGTCTGAGGTTTGAATCCTGCGAACAGGCTGGCTGCATGGCCGTTTTCGTAGTTTTCCCCATGTGTAACGTGTATACGAGCCAGTTTCCCTTAGAAAGTTCTCCACGAAGGCATCCCTCCTCTTAGGCAGATAGCCCTAGTGTGCTTTGCCATAATTAAATACACCAATAATCATTTTAATGAAATTCTCATTTTGATTTGCTTGTCCCTCCCCCCCTTGTTAGTCCACACACGTTTGTATAATCAAGGTTATTACAAAATACTTAAAAAAAAAAAGGACAATTCACAAACAAGTTTTTATTTTCTATGATCATTTTATTTGCTTAAAAAATTATTTTTATAATTCTCCTGCAAATTTTGAATGCTTATTTATGAAAGAGCAGCGAACACTGTGATTGTAATTTCCTTTTAGTATTTCAAAATGACTTGTGTTCAAAATAAAATAAAAAAAAAAAAAAAAAAAAAAAAATATTTAATAAACATATAATAATTTAACAGAAACAATCAATCTGACTTAAAAATCATCCCACAGATAATTAAGCTGACTGTTCACTATGAACAGAAACTTATCACCACTTCCAAGTAACAAAGCAAGAAACTATAGTGCATTGATTTAGATAAATGAAAAGCGCCGTAACAGAAAAAAGACTTCCTTTTTTGATCTGCCCTTTAAATGTACACTGCAAAAAAAAAAAAAAAAAAAAAAAAAAAAAGGAGGGACAGTTCTATATCTCCCTACTAGGCCGATTGATGAAATTTAAGTTATGTTTTTCATGCTTCGAAAGTGCGACTTAGATTATGTATAATATTTATATATAGCACTGTTCTAATATAGATAGTTTGAAACAAAATCAAACTTTTTCTGAAATGACAAGCTAATTTTTTTTCCGTTTTTCGATTCTAAGACTCAAATTATGCCAAACTGCCAAGTTTTGAAAAAGCTGCACAAGTAGTTTTTAAAAAATTAGCTCTCAAAATTTTAGCTTCTCAATGTTAATTGAATTTGATATATATTTATTAATATCTCTTTTTTAATTAAACTTATTTGATTCTTCCTTCACATTTTGAATTCTTCACTTTCACATTTGGTCATTCCAAATACAATTCGCAACATTTTTTACGATTTATTTCTAAAATAGTTTATAAATTTTTCGGAAAAAATATTTTTACCGCCATTTTAAAATAGATGTACCTTCTTACCACACCTGGGAAAAAAAAAAAAAAAAAAAAAAAAATAGAGTTTTTTAATTCAAATTCCATATGATATATGTGAATTCACATATTGGTTTGTTTTGAAATTTGGCATATTTGTTATAAGCGATAATAACACAAATGGGGTTTACGCACTTTGTCAAAATTATCTGAAAGTATGAATGATGACTTTTTTTCCACTTGCGTGCAATGAAAAAAAGGTAAGGGAAATAGGTTGCTATAAATTAAGATGTTTGCTAAGTGAATTAGCAAACACCTTGTTTGGCAAAAACTGAGGGGGGGGGGAGGAATGCACCAAGATAAATTTCTGAATTTCTCCATAAACTTCTCACCAAAAATTACAAAAGTTAATATCTAGGGATAACCTGAACCATAGAATCGAAATATGGAAAACAATTGGTATGTTATTTCAGAAAATGTCCGATTTTGTGTCAAAATATATTAGAACAATGCTATATATAAATATAATACATATCCTAAGCTGCGCTTTCGAGACATAAAAGATGAATTTGAATTTCATCAATCAGAATAGAAGATACAGAACTGTCCCATTTTTTTTTCGCAGTATACATACCTGATGTAAAAGTAGATGCACTCAGTCTCCTTATGCACATGACGAATGTATAAATATCATGACAAAGAGCAATTTTTGACTTGTTATAAACCTCAGAGAAGTATTCGTATAGTTTAAATGTAACTATTAGGCAAACTGCCCAAGCAGAGGAATGTCATTGCTAAAAGTTTTCTAAGAGAAACTGGCTCATACTTACCTTTAAACAAGTATTATCATTTTACACCAAAATAAAATAAAAGTACATTAGTAGACTTTTATTAATCTATTATAGAAGTGAAAGAGATTAAAAAGGCACAAAGGTTAAAATTTTACACGTAAACTTTCATTGTGCCAAAAAAAAAAAAAAAAAAAAAAAAAAAAATTGATTAAAAAAAAGCAGAAAAATGAATTTGCTTACCAGAAGTACTTTTGTGCGTTGATGAGAATCAGGAGCTCGAAATAGAAATCTGCCACATGTTTCAAGCAGATTGCAAGCCATTTCTATATGATGATGAATAAAATCAGATAATAGAAGCTGCAACATGAAAAAAATTATGCATAAGACACACCATAAAACAGAGTAGGACATGAAAAAAAAAATATTTTTCCATAAAACTGCACTTACTTTTAAGCAAAAAAGAGCTTCTGATTTGGGAAAAACTTTAAATTTGACCAATTCTCCTATATGAATGAAATATTATGTAGTAAATGCACATATACACATTCAAATCTAAATCTTAAGAAATTTACACTGAGTGGAATAACATAAGAAAGATTATTTTACAACTTGTAAAATGTTGTGTTATATTATACAAAGGGAAAAGTGAAAAACTACTATGGTATTAAGCTATAACATTAAAATAACAGCAACAGTAAATTTGCTTTACAATGCTTTGGTTTATTGAGATTATAGCAAAGTACACTAGGGTTATCTTCCTTCATTGAGGACTTTCTAAGGGAAACTGGCTCATATATACATGTTATAAATGGGGAAACTACGAAAACGCACATGCAACCAGCCTGTTTGTGGGATTCAAACCTTGGACCGAACTCCCAGTGTTCAGCAACTTTATTGCTCGACCACTGGTGGTATACAATCTTTACAATGAATTTCACTAATTTACATTTACAATCAGCAACGAATTTGATTAATGGAACAAAATTATGTTATAGGGCATTAAAAATTTGCTACTTACAAAGGAAAATGCTAATTATGATTCATATTTTTCTGAGAATAGCATATACTTACAAAAGATTACACTCTAATATATATATAATAATTTTTTAATATAACTGTATAAATATTTTGATTGTTTATTTTCATAGGATGAACAACTTTTAATTCATATATTGTTTATCTCTAAAACAGAAGTTAAATTTAAGTATTTGTCAAGCAAGGCTTCTTTCAATGTCCTTATTTTGCAAAATAAATTAATTAAATAAGGAACTTGTAGGATTACTAGTCTCATTTCTGCTGGGGGGGGGCTGAATTTTCAAAAATGTAACAAAAACAGGAAATTTATTTAAAAAATAAACATTATAATCAAGTTACAAAACTATTTATCTACCATCAGAAAATATTACTTAACTACTATAAAAAATTAATAACGGGCATGTAAAATTAACTGTTATGAAACACACACACTGTTTATCACACATGCTCATCTGCCAATGAAAAACTGACATGAAAATGAGCATATATATTCAGGAATATGAAATGAAGAGGAAGTTAAATTATACCTTAATACACAGGAAGATCCAAAAGCCAATAAATTAAAAAATAAATATTAAAAAAAGAATAAAAGCATTTGATTGAAATTTTAATGGACAATAATATATATATATAAAAGGATACTAAATAGCAAATACGGCAGCTGCCAATTAAAAAAAAAACACAATTTCAAATCTGGATATCTATGGTCATTGACCAGGATAACTCCATCCTGGGTGAAAAATGAAAGCAAAAAAGAAATAACACAGAGTGGTGTGTTATCTACATGAATTTCAAAAAACCAAATGCTTGCCTTTTTTCTACGCTAGAAATAGTGTCACTTCATTACATGCCAGTATAACACTGGATTTTAAGTGATAGCTTAGAAGTAGAGCTATATATTCAATATTTCAAGGTGGAATGACATCTGCTGGTCATAAATAACTTAAAAATTTACACTGATCTTGAAAAAGTTTTGTCTGAACATATTCAATGCTCATCCTTCTAAACATAAATAAAAGCATTAAAAATATTCAGTGTCAGCAAGAGGTAGTAATATCCAGTTTAATTTCAAGAAACTGTATATTTGTTCTACCAATTTAAACAAAGATGAGGATATATTAATCAAATTATTTTTGATCCTGGGTTTACAAATAATATTATAGCTTATGGCTTGATAAATATTTCAGAAGAAAATCCAAAACAAAAATATAATCTGCTATTTAAATATGCTAAGTGAAGCATGAGGTTCAAGCTAAATTCGGTGTTGTAAATTGTTAGATGATGATTTTAATCTGGTAACTGGTGATTACAGCTGGTGAAACCATGCGAAATTTTGTGATGTTTTTTAAGGAAAACAACTAAATTATGCAATATAATTATGCAATATGTAAGTGTGAGTATGGAAAGAACAGCAGTAAAGTGTACAGCACAATATTTATAATCTCTATTTAATAATTAAAATTTTCATTTTAAATTGTTAAAGTGTGTTTCTTTTGATATGCTGATCATATTTACCGATTTATGATAAATAATGACAGTTTAGCGATGCTTTTTTTAAAAAAAAAAGTTGCCAAATCACGAATTTGCACTCGGAACTTTTAAATATTTTAACAACACATCTCATTAAATAAATATCTTGTTACAAACTGAGTCTATTTCCAGATGGCATTCTAAGATTATTAACAATGAGTATTGATGTTATCTCTTGTCTAATAATCATATGATATCTTCATTAGAACTGTCTGTGCTGCTAGGCATACATGCTGTTTTGCCAAAAGCAATAGGCTATAATGTTAAACAGTGTTTTGTCATTATTTTCATTACTGAAAAGAATTTGAAATTACAGTGAACAGTGTGAAGAGCTAAAACATGATTGCACAGTTTATATTTCTTGAAATCAGTAAATATAAGTCAGTTCTAGCAAATCTATGCCACATATCACACATGCAATGAAACTAGTTATTGTGTAGATTTTTATGCAGTTGTATCATTTCAAAAGGATTGTAGCCTCATGTTCATCCGATTTATCCTTCACTGACTTTTTTTGTGAGGATACCTTAAATGGAATGTTTATATAAATAATCTGCATATATACTAGATGATCACCTACAGAGGAACATTACGACAGTACTTAAAAAACATCAATGTGCAGGTGCTCCACGAAGTGACCTCACATATAGTATAAACAGCATATGCGCCATTTCAAGAATACATTGTTAAAAAAATAGTTTGATGTTGCACTTGTAAGATGAATGGCAATAAACATTAGGTAAATATACTGTATGTGTTGTAACTTGTACATCAAACCAACAAAATTTATTTGCTTACTGTAATGCACACAACTTTTCATTACCTAGTATGATCTTCAGCTTCTTAAAATGTACAATGTATTTTGATATTCAGAGCATAATTAAAAATACAGAAATGCTGACAAGCAAAATTTTACTCACCAATAAATCGCACAGTCTTGACTTTTGATTCAATATTTATTTGATCTTTCTTCTTAATCTGAAAATGTAAAACTTAAAAATAAAAAAATTAAAAAATATTAATAACTTTTATATTAAGTTTAAACAAAACTAAAATGAACTACTTTTGAAATAATATCTTAAAAATATACACTCTTAGCTACTGCACCTACAGTTATTCTCTATTAGAATATGTATTACAACACAGCATTAGAAACATCTTTTATTAATTCAAAAAAAAAAAAAAAATATCTATATATAAAACTGATCAATTAGGTTTTTTATATATCTCCCTAATTTAACATCTTTTAAATTATATCAATTAGAATTATTATTAAACAATTTAATTAAATATTATAAATTATTAAAAATAACTTTATTGTTTTTACGTGATTTAATTATGCAATATATAATTTTAATTTGAAAGATGAATTGAAAATCGCATGCCACATCAAATTGTAACTCCTTTCACACACAGCAACTTGCCAGCTTACATGTATGGTGAATTAAAAATGTTATACCTTTTGGAATGGCAATACTCGTAAGATTGTCTGGATGATAAATGCTGTAACAGCACAGCATATTGTAATGTAACACTGCTTACAAAATGAAAAATGTTAATAAACAACATTTCTAATGAAATTATGAAAACTGTAATGATTCTAATCGATTACAGAAAAATCAATTTGATCATGGGAAATGAATAAAATTTAACTGCTAAAACTCAACTATTCTGTTCTTCAAACAGTAAGTTTATCATTTGAATGCACAACTTTAATGAATTTTGGCCATTCAGTATGATCAGCTGATATAGCAATTTATCAAAATCTTCTAGATTAAAAAAGAGAGAGAGAGAGAGAGACTGCAGCAATATCTTACCAAAACATGAAATAATGAAAGAATTCTTGGTGAAATTGACTATCCATTTCTAGAAATGAATTGGACTTTTCTGACATGTGCATAAGTATTGTGGGGATCAGTTTCCCAAGCCGATAGTATGGCCAAATCAATGATTATCATATACAAATATTTCATCAATCAATGTATTTCTGAAAATGTTTCATTGTGTCTGACACAAAATCTGATGCTTAATGCATCACTTGTGAATTAATTACATGCATAATAGTTTCTCCAAATAAAATGATGAAATGCAACAACTAATTATGATAGGAAAAAAAGGGGAGGGGCAGTAAAACAAATTTCTTCTCAAGGCCATTGCAATGTGCCACATACAGTACAAAGTCTGTAATCCGGACTCGTCAGGATTCTAGATTATAGATCAATTAATTTAAATCTGGTAAGATGGCATGCAGAAATTATACAATTAAAAATATGAAACCGTTATTTATGAAATAAAGAGTAATTATGATCTGAAGGGTATCAAAATTTAGATAAAAAAAAAAAAAACACTTAATATTTATTTGTTTACCTTATTAAACATTTCCTTCAATGTAAGTTGCTTCGTTTCCTGTGCTAATACTTTCTCTTTAATTCTACAAACAGACATAATTTCTTGTTTAGTTACAAAGTTCCACTGCTCAAGTTCCTGTAATTGCTGTGTCGAAAATACCGACTAACTTGTCAACCGAAATTTTTTCGTTTTCAATAACCTCTTCGTCACTTTCTATCGGAAGCAAGCATGGGTAAACGCTTAACGAGCATGCGTAGCGGATATGCGCATTAAACGCACATGCGTAAGTTTGTGGCTTTAAATATACACAAGATACGGATTATAGATCATTCTGGATAATGAATGTCCAGATTACAGACTTTGTACTGTATTACATATTGCTATGATTTTTTTTTAGCACTCCATAACAAAAGTCTAGGAACTTTTTGAACAGCTCCTGTATTTTAATACATCTCTAGGCTGATTCATTATTCCTCCTGGCATATCTACACAAAGGCATATTGGTCCGGCAGTTAAATGTACTGTAAATGACTATTACCTCTCCTTAACGAAGTAAAGTTAATGCATCTTTTTTTTCTTCTAATAGATTAAAATAATAATAATTTCCTTAAAATATACACAAGCCCCAATCGAACTTTTAAAATATTTTTTAATAATGCTAAAATCATTAATAAAAGCATCATAAAGCTAAAATCTAAAATGATTAATTACATAATATTTTTAAAAAATTGTTACCTTAAATCATATGTAACAGATATGTTTTGATGAAAGGATTCTGCCCAATCAGATGCAAATAAAGCAACTTGAGAAACAACAAAAAAGAATCACTCATTCGCCTGTTTTTGAGAGAATAAATGCATTTTTTATGTCCACTAACTTAAAAACACAAAAATACACTGATTTCTCCAGGCTGCATAATATAATATTTTGCCTAACTGTGACTGTCAAATGCTTCATACTCTTAACAATTTGACTTGTAATTCACTGCAATGGCTATAAATATCTCAGTAGCATCAACATTAGAAATAAAATACTAAGAACTCTTTGATGTTTTATTACAAATTCACACAGAATACCTTGAGATTTCAAACAAAGCCATAAATTTCTAATGCAATTCCTCACAATTTATTTGAACAAAAAATAATTTTACACCTACGTACAAAGAGAAATAAAGTAGATATTGGACTGAATCTAAAATGTAAAATATTGGGTTTTAACAAAAAGTTTCCCACCATCGCAAATATCGTCTGTGCAAACAATTCGCACTGGCATGTTAAATGAAATTTTGTCAAACAATTTTTGGCATTTAAAAGAAAGAGAATGGCTTTAGAACAAATTTATAAAAACTTATCATTAATTACTAGGTGTCTGAAACGGAACTAGAAGATTAGAATCATCATTTACTTTCAGTTCTGTTGCAAAAAGTCTTCTACAGAATGTCACCAAATCATGCGTATAGCTTTAGACACTAACGTTGTGTCATGCGACATTTTGAAGGTTTGCTGCCGAAAGTTCAAAAACAAAAACAATGATAATTAAGAAGCAGAATACTCTGGCTAGCCTACTGATGTTGATGAGGCCTGCCTGCAAGAACTTGGGGAAGAATAATCAGTATGCATCCACTTGAGAGCTTGTAAGGAGTTAGACATTACAGCCATGTCCATTAGTCGCACTATGCATTGCATAAGCTTGATGTACACGTTCAGTAACTGGGTGCTGTATGAGCTGATTCAAGCAGACAAAGACAATTATGCACAACTCTGCTTGAATATCAACGCGAGAACAAAATTCTGGACTGAATCATTACTTGTTATGTAAAGTGGATTTATTTCAACAACACAGGTCGAAAAGGGGTTAGTCTGCACCCGATGAGCCCATCACAAAGCACACTTTGACTAACAATAAGATCATGCTATCTGGTGGGATTGCTCTAAAGAGTATCTGGAAAATGGTAAAACCCTGAGCAGTAAGGTGTACAGCGATATGTCAGTCAGTGTTGACGCTGCTATTAATGAAAAACTTTGAAATGAGTTCTGGCGCAAAAAGGTAATGTTCAACGCTGCTATTAATGAAAAACTTTGAAATGAGTTCTGGCGCAAAAAGGTAATGTTCCATTAAGATAATGTAAGGCCACATGTGTCTGCATTCATGGTTCGACTCTCCTGTACAGAATCAAATGGGACCTTTTGCCACCTTTTTTCACACCTGCAGTTACACCTTGCTGGAACTAATTCTGCACAGGAATCCAAAATGAGGTTGATCTGTTTTTGGACTCATGGCCACCAAGTTTCTGGGATGTGTATGGAAACAAAATTAAGTCTATTATACTTTAAGACCACTGTTACTCTAAGCACCCAACCCTGGGAAGAATCATTAGGCAATACCTTATACTACAAAGGTAGGCAATCCATGAACGGTTGCGCGCATTAAGCTAATACGGAAATCAGCCTTTGAAATTCAACGGTTATTTTTATGACAGCTGCTTAGTAACTGTTATTAGGTAACTGCAATAACAGTTTTTCTGAATTTTTGCGAATCCTCGATTTTTTTTTTAGTGGTGAAATTCTCTGATTTTTTTAATAGTTAAAACTAGTTTAGTTAATGCATAGGATAACAATGGGGAAAAAGGGTATTTTATTACATTATTGCTTTTAATTAATTTGTGGCTGTTTTATAATTTTCAGCATTTCCTTATGGATCTTTCTTGCATTTTTAATTTTATTAATTTGTTGCAGTTACTGTAATTTTCAGTGTAACACAATTTTTTAAATGGCTAGTTTTTGCCATATGATGTTGGTATATAATTAGCTGCCAACAACTGGTTACTTTGCAGGAGAGTTGGGCAGTTAATCAAATATTATTAAATATTTTTAAGACATGTCATTTACAAAAACATATATATATCAATCAAGAAAATAACACCACATGATTGAGAAACTAACAAACATACATACATGAAACTTAAAATCTTGTTTTAACATGGCAACTAAATCAGCAGCAATATCTGGCATACAAGGATTTAAAGTAGCTACAAATCGTGCATAAAATGGCAGGAGGTCTAGTCTGAAAAATGATAATACAAAAGGATAAATATAAACAAATAGCTTAAAATCTTTGTTAACCATTAAAAAATAACTACTTTTAGTAAGACCAGCACTAGATATTTTGTAAGAATAAAAATTTTGAACTGGTTATAATTATATTAATTTAATTTGGGTGTAAAACATCAAAATTTCACGACTAAGGAATATTATGTCAGGTGATTGAGCAAATTCTTGCTGTCTTTTCATGAGAATTAAACAACATGTATTTTGAGGCTATCCAAGAGTCAACCCATTTTTTGGCATCTTCATAAAGTAGGATAGGCTGCTCAACCAGGCCATGCCCCATCCACCAATGATAATTGCACGGGGCAACATCTGAATACAATAAGTGGAATAGGACTTCTCATTTAAGCATTTCTAAGTAGGTTCTCACAGGTTTGCAACATGTAGCTGAGTATTATCACGCTGCAAAATCACGTCTCTGCTTGTACAGAGGCCGTTTTATCTTCAATGCTCAGCTCAAATGCATCAATTATAGTCACTAGTGATGGCTTAATTTAGTCCGAGTAGCTCATAAACTGCATCCAGCTCATCCTAACAAATGCAGAGCAGAAGCTTGGAACCGTGGATATTAGGCTTTGCTGACAATGTTGATGCCCAGGATTATCCCATGATTTTCTACATTTGGGGTTATCGTAATACATCCATTTTTCATCTAGAGTTATGATACAACGCAAAAACACCTTTACTTTTCTGTCATTGAAAGAGCTGTTCACACGTGAAAAGACAGCATTTTAAATCTCGGCTTCAGCTGCTACAGCACCCAGTGACATTGCTTTTGAATCATTCTGAATGCTTTCAAATGTTTTGAAACTTCTAATGATTCTGCAACTTCAGCTAGCATCTGACATAAGTCACACTGTTTCTTAACTTCAACTTCATCAAAATCATTATTTTTGAAATCTCTATATCAATCTCTGCATTTCTGACAACGCATGGTCACCGTAAGTCTCAAAACCAATTCTGTGTGTTTTGGCTGCACATTCTTTTAAAGATAAACCAGCACAGTAAAATTCCCTGTAGATACTCTTTTTTTCCCCCCTGAAATTTGAAATGTTTAACACTATGAAAAAAGTTATTTACACTTTGGTGAAATGGCACACTGAATTTCAAGCCTGTTTATGTACTTTCTTGTACACAGATGCACCACAATCTTAAACTACATACACACAGTTCTAGTAATGCCATTTATTGGAAAACAGCAAGAACTTATTCAATCCCTAATGTTATTATATAATTAAACACACAGATCTGACATAAATTGCAAAGACATAATAAAAAAAATTGCTCAGTCAATCATGGACAGTATTTATGAAAAAGAAAAGGGAAGTGGACAATAGATAGATTCATTTTCTAAAAATACTGTTGTAAATTTTGCATATATGTAAATTATTTTAGCTGCTTTTGTACAGTGTATCATGAAAGGCCTCAAGAGTGTGAAGTACTGCCAAGAAAGGGGTTACAGAAGTCAGTCCATTTAACATCAGTTAATGGCCATCTCACCAAATTGGTGAGTACCAAGGTAGTGATGGTTTTGGCAACTGATTTTTGTCGCCAATTTGAAGAGAAATCACCAAAAGTCATTAAATTTGCCAACATTTTGATCCGATTCCTATGTTATTTAAAACTGGCCCGAACCCTATGTAATTGCAATAGAATCCGGCTCTATGCAACTGTAACTGAGTATGCTTTCTAACAATTTTGAGAAATCAAAGGTACTGGATATTTTTCAGAGGTTGATGAAAAACCAAATAAGACTGTTTCAGAGTTTAGCTCTTGAGAATATTGAGAGATCATGCTGCTGGCATTTGAGGCTTTTTGTATTGCCTTGTGCTCAGTGCTCTTAGTAGTTTTAAGTGCCAACTGCTGAATGTGCTTTGTTATACCCCAAAGAGCTTAACAAGTACTTTCATGTAAAGAGTTCTAGAACTGTAAAGTGTTTTTAGAAAAATAAATGTTATCAAGCTATCATCAGTTCTGTATGCATTCAACTCATTATGAGCCTATACACAAGTACATATATATTATTTCTTATCTGCACAAGACTTACTAACCTCCAGTAATTAACTATAATAAATTGCATTCAAATAGACAACAAAACTTATTATTCATTATTTATAAATAAACATTTATTTTAACAACTGAAAGAAATTATAAGAATACAAATCATATATTTAAGCGATATCACTAATCAAGAAAGAAAAGCAAATTATATAAATATCACACTTGCAATCCTTACAAAACAATTTAATGCAAACATAAAATATCCATCTTTCATACACAGAAAACTGGACCAGTTACTTTTTTTTTCAAATTACACCTATGGTCATTTTTAGAAATATTTTATACTTTCATACAATTTATAATATTTTAATTTAGCACAATTTATTTACAATTATGACATGAATAAAAATCTTAAAATCTATTAATTTAATTGAAATTAGATCAAATTTTCTAACCTTGTTCTAGGAACTAAAAACAATGATCGAACAAGTTTCTTGCGATTTGGCCTCGTATTTAAATTCATGCAGAAATCAACAGCTGCCTGACAAAAAATAAAGAATATGAAATATTATTTAATTTTTGTTGCAAAAAATAAATAAAAAATATAAATAATAAATTTTCCACATTTAATTAAAGATCCAAAAACAGAAATATATTAAACTAACTGATGCAGCATATATATTATACTACAAAAATCCACAAGTAATAAAAATTAAAATATTGCTAAAAACATGCAAATGTTTTCTTAGCATTATTTTAATTTTTCCGACTAAACGATTAACTGAATTTTAGATAATTTTCTTCTGGCAAATATTTTCTACTGCATATCAAAACACAGATAAATAAAATCCTGCAAAATGCACAGTCAATTATAATTAAATCAAGAGCAAAATCTAAATCTTCACTTGGTTTTTTGCTATTAATGTTTAGTTTCTCCTCTTTTTTTTTTAAATAATTGCATATGTTCTTAATGAAGAATTCAATTAAGCCTATTTTTTGTGTTTTTCTATAAAATTAATACTCATTAAAAAATTCGGTACTTTTCCGTTTTGCCGGCGCAAATCTTGCTAAGCAGACTTTATTGGTGACAACACACAGTATACACATGAAAAATGTTAACAAATGTTAGTTCCAAGAAATTTTTATTTTGAAAGCATAAAAATTTTAATATCATTTAAAATTTTTTAAAAAGACAATAAATTTGTAAAAAGACATTAATTTAAGAATTTACTATGCTTTCAATGGTTCAACACCCTGATTCACCGGTTCATATCATGGGATCCCAAGTGATCTCATCTCATGTAAACTACGCTACAAAAATCTAATTCTCTTGGTAATTATTTACATTAATTTCAAGTTAAATCTTGATTTGGAATGCAAGTTTAAATGCAAGAATTACTTCAATTCGTACAAATAGCTTACTCAGAAATTATATGAAATTGCAGTTTTCACTTCGCTAGTGCATTATCATTACAATTCATGAATTTAACCTTTGACTTTGCCTTTTCTATATCTTCGCCTTTGGGTGAGCGGTGTGATTGCATCCTAATTGACTTACCGCGAATGGCCTTAGGGCATAAAATTAAACTATCTGGTTAAAATTCTATGTAATTGTATGCCAGTATTGAAAGAAACAATCAATCTGATAAGAAATGACTGCGACTTGTTTTGAAAATGAAGCGTAAAAGGTTACTAGCAAGGAAATTCCATTTGGCATCGGTTGTACCATTTTTGGCGACTTTATTACTTCCGCTGGCAAAATAGAAAAGTACCAAAAATTTCAAGTACATAAAATTAGTATTTTTTTATTAGTAATAGAGTATATAAATGATAAAAAAAAAGATATACAAATGAGAGCTGAAAATAAAAATTAAATTAAAAAAAATCTTTTTGTTACATATTGGAAAAAAATTATAACAAACATTACAACATACTTGATCTATGATTTCTCTATTAACACAATTTAATAATGATGTCAAAAATCCATCCAAAAGAAGTTTATTTGCTGTATTACTAACAGCACTCTCTTCTTCTGTGTCTAAAGTAAATAAAAATAAATTTTTCAAAAACAAAACATGATAATTTAAAAATTCAGCAGAATTTCAAATTATTGAATGTTTATTGGATACTAAGAACTACATATTGCTACACAAATATTCATTCTACGTAATACTACATAAATTATAGCTACAAATATTACCTTCAATTTCTTGCATAAGAGTTTCTGTTAAATCTTTATCATCAATTTTACCACTATCTTTTAGCTCCTCAGCTTCAACTTCCAAGAGTTCAGCATCTTCAATTTCTAATTTACTCAAATCTACAATACAAAAATTAAAAACTTAAATACTAATTTTACATATACAAAATGTTTTTATAAATTAGGGAAATTTTTAAAAATAATTAAACAAAAGATAAGAACTGAAAAAAAATTATCAAAAAGGTTTCATATACCTTCTTCTAATTTCTCTTCTGCTGAATCATTTTGATTTTGAAGAGGAACTTGGGAACTATCTTTGAAGAGGATCTAAAAAATTAAAAATCATGCTATAAACTTTGCACAAATCAAATTGTATAGATAAATATAACTAACATAAATTACAGCATTAATTTTAATAAAACAAATGAAATTATTTATTTTATAAAATATTCTTGGGAACATGCCAATTAAACTGCCAAGAACCTGATTGCTCACATTTGCACATAAATATTCATTGCTTAAAGGCTTACTTCTATCTCACATTTTTTTTTTTAATAAGAGTAACAGAAAGTTATGATGATCAACAATAAAGAAGGAAAGGGGGAACACTTCTCAGGTAAAAAGGAGGGGTGGAGGAAAAGAGGCACTTCCATATGAGCAGGGCATAAAATGATTTTCTGATGTTTAAGATCAAGAAATATAGCAAATTATCAAAATGGCAGTAACACTAACTCAACTAAACTAAGGTGCCATATTTGGTGCCAATTTATGGATCTATGATGTTGTATTATAATTAAATTTGGAAAGTTTCATAGTTTTTTCTAATCCCATTGTGCAGATTTCCAAGTATCTAATTACCAGTTCCTGCATTTTGACAATTAGACACTTGAAAGAAACCATTTACTCTTATTATTCTGAATATTCATTGTTGAAGAAGGCATGACTAACTTAGTTTTTATGTTTAAATAAAAAAAAGCTTTCATCAATTCTGACAATTACTATTTTATATGAGCAATTATTATTATGACTATAACATTTTCCTAATGCTGTAACTCACACTTTCTGCATATAATTATTTCAATTGTAATTTAGCATATTATGCTTTTTTTCACATTGCTTGTTTATCCAAAGATTATTAAGTTGGAAGTTTTGGTACCTTGCCAATATTAGCACTAAGTATATAAACCATTCGTGATTGTTTAATCAGTTAAGTACCAAATAATTTTGTCAATATGTGTAATTGTTTAAAATAAAAAACATTAAATTATTTAATTTTATACATGTTATTTCTTTTTGGGAGAAGTTTTATTTATGTGCACAATGGGGAAATCACATAACTCTGAATACAGGAAATTTCCAAAAATGAATATAATCAAAAAAGCAAGCATAAACTTATAAGTCTCAGTATCGACGTATAAGATGCATCACATTTTTCAGACCTATTTTCAAAGAAAAACAGTGCGTCTTATATGCAGGCAAATATGGTATATAAAATATTCCTTTTCTGCATTACTTCTTTTCTAGTATACTTAATTTGTGAACATTTAAATTTATCAACTTTCATTTGCACTTTCAATTACGAAAATAAATTTTAAAAAATTCTTACACCAGGAATAAATGCTTTCAAATCAGGCAAGTTTTCATAAAAGCATCTTGTGTCATCATCTTCCCAAATTGATAAAGAACCATCAGCCTATTCAAAAATTATAAAAATAAGGTATTGCAATAAAAAATAATAATTCTATGAAATTAGAATAGTCAAATAAAGTCTTTCAAGAATAAAAAATAAAAAAAAAAAAAAAAAAAAAAAGATAGGTTTTTAAAATTTCTTACATCTCCATCTTTGAAACGATTATGTACATCTAATGTTGTGCTTTCATTGTCTTGTGGAAAGCTCTCTAGGATAAACATTATAAAGCAAAATAAGAATAATTCATGAAACATTTATACAGTAAAAAAAATAAAATATTCAAAAATTTCACATAAAAATTATGCATCGAAATTTTTTAGACAATTTTGCAAATAACTTTAAATCTATCACATACAAAATGGTTTAATATCATATTTGCTTTCAAGTGAATACTTTAGAAGATCTCTCAGAGTAGTTTTGAATAAATATACTTAATACCAAACTTTCTACAAATTTCATATTTTTCCCATTTATTTCCTATTGCTTCATTTTCTTCTCTCCATAGTCATATTATCAATTATAAGAAGATAAAGAACAGTAATTAAAATTATAAATACACTGCTTTTAGCTCTCCTATGTTAAGAATAATAGAAAAAAATTATATGGAAAATACATAAGACAGAAGCTATTACAATTTTATAATTCTAAATTCTTATTTACTTACGCACACACATATCAGACATAAAACAATGTTTTCATATATTCATTTTAAACAACTGAGACATATATCTATTACGAATCTAGTAAGCATATCTTTTACATGTGTGGTACACAGATTTATTATGATTCTTCTCCAAAGATATTCTGGAAGACGATATAATATTTTCCAAGAATTTTCTCTTCATTTGAGATTTGATTTCCAAGTCCACAGATCTGTCACTTTGAAATGTACCTATACCACAACTCCCACAATATCTGAGCACTTAATCTGTGCTAATTTTCAGACGTAAACAAATAAAATTTGATACTTAGAAAATTTAGCATAGTTGTGAATTTTTCAACTGTTTATTTCTGCTTTACAATTGAGGAAATAAAATGTTTAAACTGAAATACACTATATTTACATACAATTAGATTTAAGGAAAGAATTTGTTCCAATGCTGAGGTTACTAGCCATTTTTTCCCAAACATGTTAGCACTATTATCATTATATTATTTACTTATTTTTTTAAACCAACCATGAGTATACGGGAATTTTTTTTATTTCAGATACACCTTATTTTTGTGTTTATTTTTTTAAAGTTTAATTTCAAAGTTATGTAAACATTCAGGAAGTAAGTAAAGAATATATTTGTTCACAATCTTTCAGATACTAAGTTCAAATTTAAATGTGCTCATATAAATGGTTTGTTTAAATACTGTGCTATGAGCAAGCTTGTTTGCATTGGTAGCAAATGGGGAAAGACATATAAATAATGCATGCACATTATTCTGACATATGAAATGAAACACTCGCATAAAAAGAGAGAGAGAGAAGAAACGGCAGACAAATTTTCTTTAAATAAATCCAAAATTTTCAGCCTTGCATTTTTTTTTATCAATTATACATATGCATACATACTATTAAACCATGAATGTAGTATGAGATTTGTTTTAGAATACATTCTATTACTGGTATTTTTTAATATAAAACATTTACTTATTTTTGTTCTCGTTTAAAATCAAAAATTATTCCTAAATTTATTTCACTGGTGGACATATTTTTACGTAAAATGCTTCAATGCATTTTTACAAAAAAATTTTCAACAAATAGAGCTTTACAGGAAAATGACACAGAATTCATTACTTCTTTATTATTAACCCTTTTTCATCTAAGCAGCGTCTCTCGACTTTTTTTGGCCCGAACACCAGTAAAATTTAATAAAAAAACTGTGCAGAATGGTGGTTTTATTAAATTTTCTCCAATGGTAAATGATTTTTTGGCTTTAACAATCCAACACGCAACTAAGTATGAGCAAAGTTTTGTTTAAATGCTTTTGTTTGTAATCTTAAATTTTTTTTTTTTTTTTTTTTTTTTTTTTTTTACACACACACAAAACATGTACATGATTTATTTTCCAACTTGGAATGTTTAGATTTCCAATATCATAACATTTTCGATCGTTTCATAGCCTCATTTACAAAAAACTCATGGCAAATGGTATATATCAGATGTACATCTTCGTCCATAGATTTGGGCCAAAGAATAAACCCATATTTTAAATATTCATAACTATACTGCCTAGTAAAAGTTTTTTTTTTTTTTTCCTGGTGAACATCCTGGTTCTATTTTGCTGTCATTTTTTTAGACGAACTGATATTGAACAATAGCAATTTAACTAATGGCTAAAAAAAAATTTTTTTTTTGTACCTATATAAGTATTAAAAATCACCAATTAACTTGCTTTTATATTTGCCAAAACCAGTGAACCTATTTACTGTTGACTATTAGTACACACTCTACAATTTAATGCCAACTGAAATATTCAGTATACAACACTAGCAGAACATCATAAATGTGAAGTCTTTAAAATGACATAGACTTCGGGAAGCGTAATGGCAGACCGCACATTGAGTTGACAGTGTTAAGCGAATTTTGCTTACTGCGCATGCTTGATGGTGTACATTTGGCGCGGGGAGAAATATTGGTGAGTAAACAACCCTACATTAGCTTATTTGTGATGGCCGTTGCTGTCCAGTCTGGTTCAGTGATGTTTACAATTGCAATATTATGGAACCTTGTTTACTCGTTATTATAACGTCCTTACTGATTGAATTTGCTTATTTTTATTAATATATGTCTCATTTTAATTTAGGCTAATTTGCTGATAATGGTGCATTTAATATTTGTTAACATATGTTCGTAATAATTCGTTATTTAGATTTAATTTGTTTACATGTTATAATTCAGTAATGTAAACTGGATTTTCTCTCCTAGTTTGGTAATGTATGTTGGCGGTTTTTTTTTTCTTTTTTTCTTATTTCAAAGAATTAAGTAAACAGCATTAAGTAACTATAAAATTCTTCAGTGTTATTTACAAACACTTGCTATATTCCTCTGAAGGAAACAAATCATTCCTTAAAAAATTTTTCTTAATGTTACAATATATAGAAATTTAGGAGATGTTAAAAAAAAAAAAAAAAAAAAAAAAAGCTAATGAGCTGTATGTGTATTAAGAAAGATGATACTGTGACATAGTACATAAACATACTTGCATTTTTAACATATCAAATTTACTGAAATGAGAAAATACATACTTGAAAGCCATCTTGCAATAGCATTTGGTTTGCAGTCCTTATGCTGGGCATTTGTATTTACGTTGATTTCCTTTACCCATTTTTTGCACTCTTTAATCGAATTCATACTTGATCGTATCATTCAGCTTTCCAGTTGCTCGAGCAGTACAGGAAAAAATCGTATTTTAACACAGTAATTACTTTACATTTACATTATACTCTACGAAGATTTAAACGCTAGATTTGTTTACAATCAGATGGCGGTACATTTACCATATACCCTATTTATCTTCTTTTCAAATCACGCCAACATAATAATTACGCCAACTTTTTTTCTGGGCATGTGCAGTATGCGACTTTCGTTTAACACTGTTCAACTCAATGTGCGGTCTGCCATTACGCCTTCGGGAAGAAAAGCGATCTGCAGGAAACATACCTCCGAAAGTTCTCCACAATATCTGCCACATTTGGTAACTTTTTACAGAATTGGGAACATTTTACTTTTCTGCACAGCAGAATTATCACAACCCTTTCTCTGTTGTAGGCATCCATGGAGGGGGGGGGGAAGAAACATATGTGACAAATGTGAGCACACTCCAGTGTTGCCAACCTGACAAAATTATGAATTCTAGATTCTAAAATTATGGCATTAATGTAAAACATACTGTACAAAATTTTATTATTTTTCGAATAAAAAATTCTTTCATACAAACAGGTCAAAACTGGTCAAATATTTCTGCAGATGGGTAAAGGTCCGGACTAGCAACTGAGAATCCCTGCCCTATACCATTTCCCTTTCGTGAATTATTTTCCCTGTAAAACTGTATGCAAAATATACTGTAGTTTTTATTACAAAATTTTTAAGTAGATAAGTCTTAATGAATGAGTACGTTTCAGTTAACCATTTATTTGAAAACAACAGAATTTTAGTGCAAACAATTAGAAAGAAAATATAGTAAACAACACTTAGGAAAACCTATCTATTAAACATAAATTGCACTAGTCCACATAACATTGGGTCTCGATGTATGCAAATTTTTAAAGTTTTACTTCATAACATATACAGAAAGTTTGATGAAGTTTTCAATTCTCTTAACTCAATCTTAAACCTAGTATATGAATTACAATATTATGGAAACTAACATAAAGAATACTTGTTTCATTATTTTCCTTTGAGTTAATTTTAGTAATGAAAACTGCTTACCTATCTAACTTACTTATCTCGTATTAATTTCATTACTTTTCATACATCTCTCACTATTTTAGCTTCAGCATACTATCCAACTCAGATAGTATCATTAATAGCTGCTGTACTGAACTTGCAGTTAAATTATAAATAAATAAATAAACAAATCCTAGGACATTTTAAATTAGCAATGACTTAAATTTGTGACTTTAAAAAACATAATTTCAGCAATGAACAAATACACAATGAACCTGATATACAACAAATAATGTCACCCTTATGCAACTGGCCAATTTGTAGTGAATAAATTTAAAAAAATTAAATTTTCATTGATCTAAACATAAATAAGCTTTATAACTCTCTAAATCATGTTAGGTTTCATTTTTTTGATGAAATAATATATAAATTACAAAATAAATGAGGGCGAAAAAAGTCTTTAAAAATAAATATTAAATAAAATCTTACCATCTTTAGGTAAATCTGGCACATCTTCATCAACAATATCCTAAACAATATGAATAAAGTATTTAAAATCATCAATACACTCTTGTGCAAAATTAAAATAATTGAAAATTGTGTATTTTTATGAAAAGTATTGCACCAAAGGTTTTAATTATGCCGCTGAAGAGGTAAGCAAATATTCTGAGTTAAATATGTAAACACACACATGTGTGTCTGTAGCACTATGACTGCAGAGGAAATATAAGCACATGAGGGGTTTTCGGCATTTTTTTGCTTGCACACCTTCTCAACATTCGTTATGTTTGTGAAGGTATTCAAAAGGTATGAAAATAAGGTAAAATGAGTAGCCACGGATGTATGGATGACATTGGTAAACTGAAGGCAGGCTAATCACAAGCGCAGGTGGCTGAAGAGATCAATGCAATTCTGAAAATCTGGTGACTTCTCCAATACTTAAGTACCAAAAACATTCAGAAAGGGGAGGTAACCTCATCCTTCTATAAAAATCTGGAACAGCTTCTAGGGTCACAGAATGCTCACAGGAAGGGTAGTATTTCCCACAATATACCAGCAGATAATGTATAAAATATAAGTACTTTATTTCTGTATCTCTTAACTTTTTTGAATAATTGATACCAATATTATTATTTTGTGATTCACTTTTGCAATTCACATAGTTCTGGGAAAAAAGACTTTTTCTTTAGCACAATTTTGAAAATTGTCACCAACACCAAAATGATTCATTTACTGCTCATCATAAATTTCCGGTTCACTACTCATCATAATTCAATTAAACTAATTTTGTTTTATATGAGAATGGAAAGGTACTTTTTTTCAGTCAACATGCATTGCACATGAGCATGAGAGTCTCTTGATTCTCGAGTTACCGGAAACTTGCTTTGCCTTTCTAGAACATTATCTGATTGGAGCTTCGAAAACTGGCTCTATGCCAGCTGCCTACATGATGCTCACGTGACACGTAATTTGCCAAGAAAGTAATCGTTTTCAATCTTGGCACAAAAATTGCTGTTTTGGCGATCGCCATATGAAATTCCGTGACAGGTAGCCTGGCAGCCCGTCACATTGGATTTGACTACAGCAAATCATGCAAAGGCTACCTGCTAATGGGCAAAGATGCCCTTGTGGAAGACCTGATAAAGAAAACTAGCCTGTATTTAGATTTAGCATTAAATAAACTTAAAGGGGTAGGGGGAGGAAACTCACTCATTCTTTTCAACTGCCCGGAACAGAGCCCAAGTCAAAATATATATGCTTTGAGGCTTAAGAAATTTTTAAAATACTCAAGTAGTCTCAGAAATACGAGGGTTGGAACTTTAATAGTGGCAACTCTTTATTTACAAGGAATACAAAAGTGATTCGTGTCACCATGTTTTACAGTCCTTCAAATATAGTCACCAGCATTGTGTACAACCCGTTTCCAACGATGTGGAAGTCGCAGAATACCTGTAGCAGCACCTGTTTTGTTGATAGTTTGAATGGACTGGTCTACTGCCGCAAGAATCTCAGGAACAGTTTGGAAGCGGGTGCCACGAAGTGGTTCCTTCATCTTAGGAATTTAGTCATAGTCACAATGGCTTAGATCTGGGGAGTATGGTGATGGTAAAGCACTTCCCAGCCCCATCGCTTGAACAACTCAGTCACAGCTTGCGCTGCATGCGGCCGAGCATTGTCATGCAAAATGAGAGGAGCGTTCTGCAGAAAGTGTCGCCGTTTTTTTTCTTAAAGCTGGTCGGAGATTGTGCTCCAAAAATGAGCATTAATACTGCGCAGTGACGGTCTGCTGTGGGGGAACGGTATGCGTTAGGATAACACCATCACAGTCGTACACGAGAATCACCATAACTTTCACATTGCTGGGGTTCTGACGAAATTTCGAACGTCGTGGTGACCCGTGATGACACCATTCGTTTGATTGGCGTTTCAGTTCTGGCTGGTACGATCGGGCCCAAGTCTCATCCAGCGTAATGATACGGCGTAAAAAAGCATCTCCTTTGCGCTAATAGCACTCCAGGTGGGTTTGGGCAGCATCAGATCGTAGCCATTTCTGCATTTCCGTCAATTGATGTGGAACCCATCGTGAAGCAATTTTTCTCATGGACAGGCGTTCCTTCAGAATGTGCAGCACAGTCGTATGCGCTAATCTTGTTTGTCCGGCCAGCTGATGAATCGTTTGGCGGCGATCACTGTCCATTAGTGCGGCAACAGCTTACACGTTTGCATCGCTGACACTCGGACGACCTGGCCGCAGCATGTCTGCAACGTTTTCGCGTCCTTCATTGAATGCTTTCACCCATCTTGCTACGGTTCTGTAAGGCAATGCAGATTCCCTGCAAGATTCTTGAAGCCCTTGATGACACTGTCGTGCTGTATGACCTCTAGCACATTAAATTTTTATCCAACATTGTTGTTCTTGTTTTGAAAACATCCTGACAACACTTACTTTAGACCATGAGCTAATACAAGGATTCGTTCTTCGCGTCACTCCGCATGCGCGAGACGTAGGCAGGACGAGTCTTTTTGCAGAAAGGTAAGGTAGGTATGTAGTTCACGTGTGGTATACGCGATATTCTTTGGTTTTGTTGCGTAGCGTTTTTTCAGCTGTGTTGCCACTATTAAAGTTCCAACCCTCGTAGCTATTTTAGCATCATGCTTAGGATTTTTTCTTAAAATTACTCCTACAATGCAGTTATCTTTTTAACTCAATTACTGTATAATTTATTAAATTTATCTACTAATCAAGTTTTTAGAAAGAAGCAAAACATTTGAAGTAATTTACTAAATAATTAATAAAATATATTTGATGCTATTGTATTATTTTAATCTAAAAGACACAAAAAATATTTAATACTAACAAATGAACTTTCGTGATTAAATGAAAAATACAGAGTGAAAGTTATTGGAGAAGTTAAGAAAACAAGAGTGAATGCAATATTAATAAATTTGCAAGACTAGTTTCGAAGGTTTAAATATGTGAAAGATTGCACAAACAGTAAAATATTTTCTATAACGCAGAGAGAAGTTCAGATTTTACATGTAATTGGTTTATTGTACAAGTTGTATTTTAATTTAATGAATATCATGCAATAGTAAAACCTCAACAAAAATTATTAATTCACAAGTCATAGTAAAATAAATAGGCATGCATACAAATAATGAGCAATAATCTAAGAAAATACACAAATTAACTAACTTACTGCAAATTGTTGAGTGTTAGATAACAGTTTCTGGAAAGCAGTTTGGGTTGCTTCAAATTTTTCTTTCCTTTCAACACTCAATTCACCTTTTGTCTGAAAACATACGCATAAATATAGCAAAACATTTCTCTCAACTCTACATATTAACATTTCAGTGAATCAATAGCACTAACGCAACAAACCTGAAGAATTCTGTGGTTCTGTTTTTCCATATTCTGAAGTACTTTGTAATCTCTAATAAGATGTTTACATAATGATTTATAATATTCTTTTAGTAAATTACGCAACCCTTTTTGCCTGTCTGCAGGCAAGAACTGAAAGAGGAAGAGGAGAAAAAGAATTATAACATTAAATTTTAGCATGAAAAATTCATAGAAAAGTATTTAATCTTTTAGAGATACCTACATCACTTTTAGGAATTTCTACACCAAATTTTTCACTCAATATACGGTATTTCCTTGGAGCTAATCCAGCATAATCTTCACCACAATGCCGGCAGAAACTGAGAAGTATGTTAACGTTGCCATGTTCTTCTTTGTCAGAAGCAGTTAAAACAGTTAATAGATTTCCAAGTAATGGCAAGCCTTCTCTCAAACTGAATACCCCAGATGACACAAGCTAGTAACAAAATATTTAATTATTAAGATAAAATTAAACATGTGGACAGACACACATACCAAAACAAAATAAAAACAGCCGTTTTATAATATTTATCCATTACATCATAACTACACAAAATCGGTTTTTTACAATAAGAAAATATTAAAATGTTTATTATTATAAACAAAAACTATTTATTATTTTTAACAGAACTTATTTCACCACATGTAAATACTATAATGATTGATAAATGCCAGTAAACAATCAACGAACTGAGCAAATCTGAATCATATTTTAAAAATATGAAAATACCTATCAACAACACATGAAAGATTCTTATGTAATAATTATAGTATATGGGCAAAAAATTAGCATATTTGTTAATTTTTTAATATCGCTTTTTGTGGCTATCAAAAAGTCAAAATACATATTTATTTTCCTTTTTTCCTTTTTTTTTTTTTTTTTTTTCATTACAAATTCCATTAGAAAAGAAAACCTAAACTACATCATGTTTATGGTGTCAAAATTTGATTAATTTAAATAGTTATAACAAAATGATAGATAATTCTTTGATAAAGTGGCAATTGCATAAGCTTCTGGTGACATTTAAAATTTTCATGTTACAGCCACATGTTAACGTTCGTAAATTTTGGTAATTAAGCACAGCAACCATTTTAACTGGAAATATCAAATAATATTTTAATGAAAAAAATCACAAGATCTTTACTTTTCTATTTACATTACAAATGTACTTATAGAATTTTTGTATTGAATTAAGTACAACTACATTAACTAATGCAACAACATGCAATTGTTCTTAATAATTTTCTTTACTTTGTTCTCTAAAGTTAAATTTTGTCTTTTAAGATACTATTCTGTCAGCATTTCAAAAATTTAAATACAATAGTTAAATTCTAATAATCTTTTTTGAGCCCATTGTTGTTTCAAATGGGCTCAGACAAGATGATGCACTAGCCTGCTTGCTTTTTAACCTTGCCCTCCAAAAAATCACAAAAGACTCCAACATTAATACTCATGGAGCTATCTTTAACAAGTCTGTTCAGAATTTTGCGTTTGCTGATGATATTGACATAGTCGCACGCACACCCGAGTCACTTAGAGAGGCTTTTATATCTCTAGAGGCTGCAGCCAGCAAAATGCATCTAGCAATCAACCAAAATAAAACTAAATACATGCCATGTGGTAATAACAGCAGCCCCTATTTTGAAATTGGGAATTACAAATTTGAAATGGTTAGCAAATTAAAATATTTAGGATCAGAAGTTAATACTCTTAATGATTTAATGCCCGAGATCCATAGTAGAGTCACAGATGCTAACCAATGTTTTTCAGTCTAAACAAATACTTGAAGGCTAACTTCTCTAGCAGAAAAACAAAGATTTTAATTTACAAAAGCTCAATCAGACACATTCTTACATACTCTGCTGAGACATGGGCAATGGCAGAAAAAGCTAAAAGTATATTTTCTGTCTTTGAAAGAAAAATTCTGAGAAGTACTTTTGGTGGCATAAAATGTAACAATATCCGGAGAACAACTAACTGTGAACTCTATAAATCCTTTAAAGAAATAGATATAGTAAAATATATAAGGATTCAGAGAATTAATTGGGCAGGACACCTGTGCAGAATGGATGAAAATTGAGTAACTAAAAAGATCTTCTCGGCCAGACCATTTGGCACCCGAAAGAGGGAGACCTAGACTCAGGTGGCTCGACTGTTTGGAAAAAGACTTAAGAATTTTAAAAATAACCAATTGGATGTCCATGGTTAGGAATAGAAGAGTTTGGAATTCAATTCTGAGGAAGGCAAGAGCCCATCCTGGGCTGTCTGGCCAGTGAAAAAGAAGTTAAATTCTAACAAGACACCTATAACCCATAACAATAGACGTAAAACATTCATAGGAATGCACATATGATATTAAGTATCTATAAAGTTTTTTGCAATTTTTTTAAATGAATTTAGTTAAAAAAAACTTGGTTAATGTACTGTGCATATTATACACATATAACATTAAGCTAAATAATACAAAATCAAAAAATTACCTCTGCATAAAACCTAAGATCGACTCGAATTTTACTGGGATTTGAAATCTGGGGGGAAAAAAAAAAAAAGTAAATAACTAACAATTGCAGACATTTCATAAATTAGAAGTGATTTAATTACCTGAACATAAATTTGATTAAACAATAGATATGCAAATAAATAGATGATAAAATGATTAAAAATCTGCTCCTTTCATTGCTATGAGAATTTCATAATAGAATGCATGAAAGAAAGTTCTCAGTTTTTTCTTCTATATTTTAGTAATACATTGTAACCTAATTACATAATGATTACCAAATGTCTTATTAAAAGCTTTTTCATTAGAGATGTTTTTCGCTGAACAGACATATATTGCTTGGGCCTTGATTGATAGCATTGACCAACTATGATAAATTAGTGATTTCAACTTGAAAGTTATATTCTCCACAAGTTCAATTGATATTAAATTAATAACTAAACACTTCCTTATTAAAAAAGTACTTTAAAAATTTATGAACAGCAGATATAAAATAGTATGAAATATTTTACTATAATAGTCCATTCCATGTACAAAAAGAAGAAAAAATAGATATATATATTTTAAAAAGGAGAGCAGCATTCTTTAATAGTACTCGTAAAAATAAATTAGACTTATACAACAAGATGATTCAGTTAAATATTTGAAGAAAAAGACTATAAGAAAGAATTAATATTTTATTAAGCCTACAATTAAATAATTAATGATGCTAATAATTTTTAGTTATGATAAAAAAATTTCACAGCATAAGAATTTTTAAACAGTATAATATACATTCCAAAAATAGAAATGCTCCAAATAAATTACTTAAATCAAAACTTTAAACCGAGTATCCATAAAAAATACACAAGCTTCGAAACTGATTGATAAAAACAGTCATAGAAATGAACAAAGTTATTCTGCTATCACAAAGTGGCCAACAACAGGTGCACTTGAGCCATTAAAGTAGTTAAATATACTCTATTCAATAAGGAAGATTTAGTTTTATGAGTTAGCAATTGTTGAATCTTAATTATTGGTGATTATATTAACATCCTACCTTTTCATCTTTTTTCATTGGAAGGACTTTCTGCCAGTGTTCAAGAAGCTGAGCAGAAAATTCTGAGTATCGCTGATGAAGAATAGAGCATATTTGTACAGCTGTATTTACGTCGGACATCTGAACGGAATAAAAAATTTTAATGAAGAAAAATTTGTGGAATTAAAATAAGCATACAACACTAATTATTCTAAAGAAAGAAATGTTATTTAGGCATAGTATATTCGTTTGCAAAAAGTGAAATAAAAAGGCCATTTTCACAATTATACAAATACAGTAATAAAAGAAAAGCAATTATAAAGCAACTCCCAAGATGATATATTTCTCCAAGATGATAGAAGTGATATATTTCTCATTTAACTGTTATAGTTCATTGCAATTCATTTATGCTAATATTAATATCCATAAGTTTAACACCATGCCTTTTATACATACCAGACTCTTGATAACAGAGGTCTTGAAAACACACTACAAATGCATAAGAAAATTTCGAATTTTATTTGTTTTTAGTAACATTCACCATTTTCCAAATATATAGATACTTTCTTTTGCAAGATTGGTTAATACAGTTTTTATTATGAGTATCCCAAACATAAGTTCTATAACAATTCAGTTTCTTTTGGGGATTCCCTTTAAAACTAATATTTGCTTAGATTTAAGAATACAAGCCATAGTAATACTTAAAAACCACAAACAGCTAATTAATTTCGCATTCTACTACTCAGGAAATGCAGCACAGGATTATCAATGCATAAAATTGACAGCCTCTTAACTGTCATATTGATTAACATGGTAGCTCAAAAAAATTATTTCAATTTAATGCCAGGTAAATCTAAAAGAAACTGTTGATCCAACATCATGTCACATGGCAACCATTTGCAATGCTGATAGTATCAACTATTACAACATATGCATTACCTCTTGCTCCTAAATACAACATTATCAAAATTTTATATTATGGTAAATTTATTACATAATTATCCAAATTTCATTTTTAGTGTTCGGCATATGCCAATACTGACTCTACACCATATCAATCTAAAAAGTGCAAGCCACAGTTCAGATAGCTAATCATACAGAATTTACTCAGTATTAGTAAAATAATTCTTCAAAAGTAATCACAAAAGAGTCACTATCTTGTTATAAGAAGCTAAATAGATTACACTAAAATTTATCTCTCAATTTATAAAAATAGCTTAAAAAAAGAGAGAGAGAGAGAGTAAAAAAATAAGTTCTTGAAGGCCCGCATTACTCTGCCTGTATGCACGGTGCGCAAGGTAAAAAGTTAAAAAGTAACATAGTCTCAAAAAGAGAAAACAATTTTTTTTCTTTCAAACAAAACAGGATTTCATTGCGCCAACCACATTTTGCACAGTTATATTGGTATATTCGCATTAATTTTCAAATACTATTTACTTATATATGTCATTTGCTATGAATATTTTAACAAAAAAAAAAAAAAAAAAAAAAAAAAAAAAAAAATCACAATAATTTCAATACTTTATTATTAAATTTATGGATAGGTATCTGCTTGTAATTATAGTTCTAATTACAAGTTAAAAAAATATTAATTCAGAAGTCAAACAACAAATATCTAAATATACTTACTTTTAATTTGGCATCAACTATGGCTGCAGCCTGCGAAAATATACATAAGCAATCAGCAACGGATTAATATACATTAATTACAAACTATACATAAACATATCTATAACTCAAAAAATGATTGTTCTCCTTATTGCAAGATTTATTCAAAATTTTACAAATAACAAGGGAATCAATATTACTTTATAACTATAGCCACTGATAGATGACTTATTACAAAATATTATTAAGTTTTATATTGTTGCGTTCTACAGGCTCGTTGATTTGGAGTGATTGATGACAACACTTGATGAAAAATCAAAATATAATTTATTAGCCAGTATTACTCAGGACAGTCCCAAAAACACATTTACAATTGTCAAAAATCCAGCTTGGAATACTGCCTTTCCTAATCAATTACATCAACTTCAAATAGTGCAGAATAAATTTCTTCGTATTATCACTGATGCTGACTTTCTCATCCGAAATGAGCTTCTTCATAGAGATCTTAAGCTTGAAACCACCACAGAATTTATTAAAAGAACAAATGAAAATTCTTCTCTAAAGCTGTCCAATGCAACTATGTGAACTATTCCCACGTCTTTAACTACGAAATACTCATTGAAGACCGCAACATAAGACCACTTGCTGCTCACACCTTCATGGGATGAGATTTCTGCTTCTTCTCTTGCTCAATTGGAGGCGGTAATTTCTTTCATTTTATCTGATAAAGACAGTGCTGTACTCCAAGTTGTTTGGATTGCTAGTGTGATGTTGTAATAGTCGTTGTGTATTGATTTTCTGTTGTATGGGTTGAATTTGTGTAGTTTTATAGTAGTATTGAACTTTTGTTGTTGTTGTATAGCATTTTCAACCATGTTTGGCATTTGTCATTTCTCTGGATTGTGAAGGATCCGTTCAGATTTTCTTCATCTTGTCAAGTTCCGTCCACCTGCTAATGCCTTTGGCATTTTCCCTTTTGGTACCCATCTCACTTTTCCTTTCTCCGTTTTCTCATCCGAGATGTTTTCCATTTCCTGAATTCATTATGTCATGTGCCCTTGGGCTTAATTTAAGGAACCGGCAACGTTGCACCTGCAATAGCTCGGTAATATAGAACTGAAATTGCTGTATTTTCCTGCGTAGTGTAACTTGAAAAATCTAGAGACGAGTTACTCCGGAAGACTCAGAATACAGGGGCTAGTCCATTTAACATTGAGTAAATGGGTATCTCGGTAATTTGGCGAGATGTCACCAAGTCAACAACGGTTTCAGTGACTTATTTTGTCACCAAATTTGGAGAGAAATCCTCAAAAGTTACCAAACTTGGTGAGCATTTCGCGAAATTTTGGTCCAGACATTGTATCACCATAATAAGTATTGTAACTGAATAAATGCAATTGATCATTATATTAGTTGTAACCGTAATTCAGTCCTCATATTGCTTTCCAGTAATTTCGAAATGCAGAAAGTACTAGAAATATCTCAGCAGCCGGTTGAGAACTATATAAGGACAGAGAGAGCATCTGCTCTCAGTGGCTTAGTGAGTTAGTTGTTATCATTGCAAGTATAGTTCAGCATGAGATCGGAGATATTTCCGGGTTTCTCTTTAGATGCGCTTTGCATTGCATTGTGTTTAACATTCTTAGTAGTTTGAAGTGTAACTACTGATTGTACTGTGAAAACTTGTATGAGTATTTCTGTGGAAAATTCCAGAAGTTTGAAATGTTTCTGACAGTAAAATAAATTTTATTAACCTATCATTGGACCTATGTGCATTCAATCTATTACAAACTTGACACATGCAACAATATTAAAAACATACAGAAAAATATTTTTCCCTTAATATTTTAATTTTTAAAAAATACTTACAGCTTCACTTATATATTTTGTCAAATTCAACATATTCATATCCTTAATTAAGGAGTCTTTCTGTGCATCTGTCATATTTCTCTAAAAATGAATCGAATTATTAAAAAAAAAAAAAACTATTGCAAGAAATAAAAATTACATAATACTTATTGCAAATTTAATCTGATTCATATAAAATTAAACAAGTTTTTACAATTCAAAATTAGAATGAAAAACATAACATTTTTATATATAAAGCATAGAGAATTTTAAGATTAACAACAAAACACTACTTTTATTCCTTAAATGCTATAACCCTTTTTGATAAAGATAGAAAAATATGAAAATACATACCAGTCGTTTTATAAAAGCAGTATTTTTTTTAAGACTAGAATCTAATTTGCTGAAGAACGATTCCTCTGGTCTGTTAGCTAGATAAAAAGAGATTTATAACAGAAATATATTCAAAAAGAGCATACTAAAATAAACTGCATTCAAGACCATAATTCAAGAGAAAATTAAAATTTCAATTTGAAATTTTCAAGATTAATGCAACAAAATAAATGTACAAAAGCAAATGTCCTCAACAACGAATACCTTAAACCCTCAATTTAACAGACTTATCTCTGAAGGAAGGTATTACAAAAATTTCATTAAACTGAATGTATTTTAAAAAAGCCTATGTTAAAATAACTATAAAAATAACTAAATATAAATAAGGTTGATCCCTTTTATCCCTTGAAGTGGGTTGATAAAATGACTGCCAAGTTTACTAAGGCTGCTATCACACATCGGCTTGTTTCGAAAGAACTGTTTGGAACAATTTTTCTGCTTTGTCACAACAGCCAATCACCACAGATTGCTTTGGGGTTAACACAGGGAAAACTGGTTCTCCATTACAAACAAGCTAACAGTATTCGACGATGATAGCTGATTGGTTGAAAACGAACAACTTGCAACTTTTTTCGAAAGGAAGGAAAAAGTCGCACGTCTTTCTTTCAATAGTAAAGCAGGTAGAAAAATTGTCCGAAACAGTTGTTCGAGTGAAACAGACGCCGTGTGATATGGGCCTTAGGGACTAAATACTGGGGGGGGGGCAGCTGCGACAAGCTGAACACTTCTCTGGGGCATATGCTCATGCCCCCTAGGGCCCAAGGTCTAGAAAGCAGATACCAGGGCACTGCCGGCCATGGCTCTCTAAGGACTGTTTGTGCCACTGAGTTTAGTTTTTAGTTTATAATATAAATAACCATAATATAACTAAAATTATAATAATTATAACTAAATAAACTACAATAAAAGGTATCACACATAACTAAGAAAATAAAAGACAAAGATGCACAATACATACTCCACTATCGTCAACATTAATTGAATTTATCATAACTTTTACATATGTTACAGGTTGTGCTAATAATCTAAAACAGAATAACTTCCTTAACCCATATTTGAATGCAAGATCATAAACATGTTTTCATTTAGGAGAATTATGGAAACTTTTTGTCTTTGGATTCCACATTTCATATACACCCCTTTCACCCACTTCAGTAAATGATAAAGAAAGCTAACACATTTTTAATTTGAATTCTCTAGAACTGAAGGACACAGTGTGGATAAATATGTGCATTTTTAAACAAAACTCATAATTACATAAGGAAAAAATACACATGATCAAAACAGTATAACAGATCAAGCTCATTTGAAAATCAGACTCAGCATAAGAATTTTAATTCAATCCTATTTTTGTTCATTAAATTACTCTATTCTTTGCTAATTATATTACTCTGCAGTAAAATTGATAGAACAATACACAATATTGAAAATGAATGTATACCGTATTTGACAGCGCGTGAAGGCGCACTGGCATATAAGACACACCCTTATTTAGAAGGCCACACACATGTAGATGTAGAAAAAGTTATGTGTGTCTAGACCTTTATCCGGGCTAAAAATAGCATTCAGTATTGAAAGTTAACCTGTCTCCTTCACGTATAAGACGCAGGTAACTTTTTTGAGACCAAATTTAGGAAAAAAGTGCGTCTTATATGCCGTCAAATACGGTAATTAGCAACTAAAATAATGCTATTATACAATCAAAATTTCTCTTCTCTAAAACATTATGCTACTGAAATATTAAAAACAATTAAGTTGAATGAAAGTGAACATTATTGAAGCTTTGAAAGAAAAATATTATTCAACATCCAAGCAATTTATGCTATTTTAACCAACACAGATAAATAAATCAGATATTGGATCAAACAAATTTTTGTTTGGAAACGTAGTCACATTTGGTTTCTACCTTAATTTTTCAATGATCAAACATCTCCTCTGCTCCTTTTGCATAATATACCTTCTAGGATTCAAAAAAGTTCTTTAATTCTCTTTCATTTTTTCGTTTTTTGTTTTGTTTCAGAATCACCAATTTTGTAAATGACAGTTATTCATTAGCCCCCTCCAGAAAAAAAGATGACAGATAGTGCCATGTCTTGAGAAATATGGCAATGGAAATAAGTTCACATCCAGGCTTAGATACTACTCGTCTAAGCCACTCTTGTTGTATACGATTCACCATTGCTCCAGTGAAACAGATTTTCCTATCTATTCAAGTTTATTAATGGTTTGGTTCACGAGTGTGACAACAAAGAAGAACAAATGGTAGGATAAATTCGTTAGAATCCTGCTTGTTTAGCTTTCCCGTCTTTTCAAGCCAATACAAACGAAGACAGATTGTTTCACTGCACACACTCACAAATCTGACTTGAATGTAACTAAACAAGTTCCTTAAACTGAGATTCATTGAAGCCTAATGATCTGTCAGACTAGAAAACATTTTTAAGGGTCTCATTTGTACATGCAAATTTCAATAATCACTTCCAATCAGAATACTAACTTGCAGTCACATTTTTCAAATAAAGAGGATAAATTTTCAAGCAACCTATGATACTCAATTTGAATCTATAAAGTAAACATGCTCAAATAATTGATTCTGACACAATCTTACTGAGCTTAATTTTTTAAAATCTTAAATAACTAATTTTTGAAGTATAAAATTAACTTTACAGTTTACTATAACTACTCTTGAATTCTATAAATCTTCCTGTTAATGCATATACAACCACAAAGAAATTGAAGGTATTCATCTGATACACATGAAAGCATTGCCAATTTTGATGCAGCAATAAGCATTTCCAGCTAACTGATTGGACTCTGCAGAGCCAGCTACCAGCATAGGTAACATAGACAGTCAACTAGTGCTCACATTTTTGGAGGGCACTATCTAAATTATCATAAGCAATAATTAAAGAATAATTAATGATTTAAGTAATATGCAATAGTAATTTAATAATATTTTGCATCCCAGTACATACCATCAGCATTTGCATTTATGCTTCTTAGCTCAGCTTTCAGTTTCAGTTTTTCAGAAACTTCATTAATAAAAAGCATCAATTCTTTCTGGAAAAAAATGTTAGATGAGAAAACAATTATAATTTTCGCTCTTGCTTAAATAACCAAATATTTTAAAGAGAAATTAAAAGTATGCATTTAAGTATACAATATCTTTATTTGCATTAAACTAAGATAACTGCTTATCTTTAAATAGAATAAAAAACATTTCTCCCTCCCTCCCCCCAAATTACAAATACTAAAGACTAGTTCCAGAATTAATAAAATTAGTTTTATACACATAGGAGAGAAAATAATAACAGACTGAACATCTGTAGTCAACATTAAATCCAAATTGAAATTCTAACTGAAAATTTTACTTAATCAGAAAAGTTAACTAATTTCAAGTTCTACATTTTGAAATTCAGTTTAATGAAGTTAATTGTATTCAGCACCCATTTTAAAACAGAAGATAATGGACATACATATTGTTACAAAATGCCCAGCTGCCGTAAGATAGTTTCCCCCAAAGAAGGTTTAGGGTTTCCATAAAATGGCAAAGGAAAGGAGGGTTGCCTTATTTGGTGCAAAATTGCCCATTTGGTAAGAAAATTGGCAATATGCCATAGACATATGGAGAACGTTCTTCAACGAATTCTTGCCGGTTTGGCCTAGAATGCTCTCGAAGACAGCACAAAAAGCTACATTAAATATTAACCCTGAATATACGTGGAGTCTAGTGTATCATCAGTGCATCGCTGAGCCTATAGAATGTATCATCAGATGCATCGTGAGTTGTAGCATGGAGAATCTCAAGAGTACGTTGAGTTCCAAGAACAACCAAATCGAGTCGAGAGGTGTACTCTAGTGCTTTGCTGTGACACTGCCTTCACCATTATAGCCTGAAAGCTGTGTTGCTGACTGTTTCAACGTGTTTGTCGTACTTTTTTGACAACTGTAAATATGTTTCTGGAGCTGTCCAGAGTAATACTGGCTAATAAATTGCGTTTTCATTCTTTATCAAGTGTTATCATTAATCACTCCAAATCCACGAAGCCGTAGCACGAAACAATATAATTATATTAACTAAACAACATTATGAAATACTATATGTCTAGCACGTACTATGGATAATTCCAAGAGGTATAATATGTTTTTTAAGAAACAATGAAAAAGAGTCAAAATTCTCAGCAGTAATATAATCAATATAATTTGAGGTAATGGATATTCATTCTTTCAAATAAATTTACTCATTTTAGAATGTACTTCTAATTACTTGACAAGTATCAGAAAGACCATTTATTGAAATAACTGTTTTTAAGTAACACAATGTAAGTCAAAATTCTCAGCAGTAATATAATCCTTAAAGTGTAAAATACGTTTGTAATCTTAGCATTGATTTAAATTTCTGGGAAATATATTTCAGATATTAATCATAATTGAAAGTAATAAACATTTAAAAAAATTATGCAGTGCAATATGCGAGTTTTAAAAAAGAAGCAAACAATTTTTCGAGATTGGATTAGTATTACATAACGCAAATAATTTTAAAATTACTAACTCAAATAGGAATTTTATATTAAAGTAGCATAAAATAAGTGATTCTCAATTTAAGGATTACTAGGCACATCTTCTGATGTCAAGGCATCATCTTTAGTTACATGTGCCTACCAAATCAAACGGAATACTATTTGTATTGTAGAATGGAACAGTCTATATTTTAGGGTACCCCTTTGATTATAGCCAAGTTTTTGTTTCATTTATGGTAACCTGAGTATTTTATGCTGAATGTTATGGAAACTCTATTATGACATGAATGTTGTAACAAATGATTACTGCAATTTTGACTATTGGGAAAATATTTCTCAGGATTTATTTATGCATTGGATATTGCTTAGGAAGTAGGATTCCCAAGCAATTAACCTGAAGATTCCGTATGCTTTGGAATGAATGGGAAGGAAAACATTGATTGAATGGTGTGCAAATAAAGATTTAAATGGCCTTGGTCGCCTCTCAGTAAATTACACAATGAGAGCTCATATCAACACTATGGAAGGTATGTGGAGTGTAATAAAAATGGATTTTTGAAAGAAATGCCACTGATAGTATATAGGATATTTTTGATTTTTACTTTTGTGAATTTATGTGGCGATGGCAGTGTACGGAATATAGTTCAGATAATTTTAAACACTTTTTAGATGCTGTTAAGGAATTCCATGTGCAATATAGCGAAGACACAGAAATTTCTAAATAAGGTAAGTTGGCATTTTCTTTATGTGTTGCACAGATTATATAATATGTATTTCCATTTTTATTTCCTTGTTTTATTTTGATTTAAAGTGCAGTTTATTAAGATTATTCTTAATAATTTTGTACAATTCTTTTGCACAAACTCGATATCCATATACCACGTCATTTTTATCATTTACGTCATATTCATGTCCAATTTTCACGTAAAAATTGCCACTACACAAAGACAAATAACAACTCAAAGAATTGCACAAACTCGGTATCCATGTACACATTGACCTATTTTCACTTTAAAAAAAAAAAAAAAAATATCACAGAATTGCACACTCCCTTGACTTTATCTATGTACATGTCAACTTATTTTCACTTAATAAAACGTCAGATAATTTCACAAACTTGGCATTGCACACTCTCTTGACTTGGCGATAAATGAAATAACTTCGCAATAATACAAAGAGGTACCCTTCAGCCTACTCTAACCATATATTTTCCCCATATAATGTTTAAAAACAATAAAATCATGATTTAATGATATACATTGCTGCATATTGCTAAATACTGCTATTTTATTTAGAATTTAATAATATATAGTGAAAATATATTCAGATACAAACCTTTTCATCTTCAGCACTAATAGCATTTTCTGCCTATATGAAATAAAATTAAAACTATTATAAATATAATTTCAGAATCTACATGTATATAATTTAAAATAATTATCTGACACATGAATATTGCAATAAATTCAATTTAAAGTAAATAAAAGTGTGCCCTCCTTCCCAAAAAAGGAGCATTTTTCGATTTGGGCTAAAACACTTTCTATGATTCAGTTGATTTACCATGTAATGCTACTTGCACATAAATAAACCAGTGGAATGAAGTTCAATACATAGATGTTAAAATATTTCTTTTCACATCTGGACAGAAATATTAGCAACATTTGAATCTTGGAAGGCATCCTATTCTTTTTTCAGAAACTGTAACATATCCTATAATGAAGATACTTAGTGCGCACCTTAAACTGCAATTTTTACATTATAAAAGACTTACATCTTATATTGTCCTAAAATAAATGTTAAAATGATGGTTAGTTAATGGATATAATACTCCAAACGTCAACATAATTTTGCACATTTTACAACCAGCAGTGTGTAAAGCAGCACGCTCTTTGTAGGGTGGTAGGCAAGGCAGCTAATATAGTCTTGGGCCCAGGTTTCAATCCCTACCAATGCATGGGTGTTTGTAAGGGTACACTGTCTTTGTGATAAGTACTTTTGAGCTGGAAGACCTTTTGACATGTTTCTGTTGTTGGTACGGGAAAGAGTGGCAGAGAACCCTTGGATCTATATAATGGGAAAAGGATGAAGGTTTATGATAAATAGAAGTTATAATTTAGATTAAAATAACATGCCGAACAATGATTAATTTAGAAGTCAAATAAAAAAAATCAGCGTTGCATTTGCAAATTTTCCAGGATTAGTTTCAATGGCTTTAACATAAACCTTTAGTGGTTTGTTTTCCACAACACTTCAAATCATGTCACCCGACTAAACAGAAGTTAGCTTAATTTTACTTTTTTGTTTTTCGCGTTCTTCAAGTTTGCTCCTCCAAACTGACTCTTGATCAAGAACTAAATTATTTAAACACAATTGCTATTAACAGGGGCTTTTCACTTTACATTATTAATTAAAAATTCTCATCTCAACATATCAAAAGGCATACTCTTGTTTTAGGAGATTATAAGAATTCTGTTGCCGTTTCTTTCTTTCCATCAATTAACAACAAAATTGCATTTGTCTTACAGAAACTTAACTTTTGAGTTGTTTATTCTCCTATCAATAAAACTTCCAGTTCTATACTTGACCCCATTCCAGATATGAATTCCTGGGGTATTTACAGAATTCTTTGCCAGTGTGGTTTAATTTACATCGGTCAAACTAAGACAGTCTTAAAATTTTGCATTAAAGAACACAAAGCATATGCTAGAAAAAACGAAACATAGAAGTCCTCTGTTGCCTAGCACTGTTGGTCTGAAATCCATTTTCATTCTGCGCAACTTATCAAAACCTTCATGTATTTAGATTCTAGAGCTTTACTAAAAAAAAAAAAAAAACTTTGTTTAGTTAAACCTAACCACCTTCTTCGGCCGGCAGCAGTCGGAAGCATTGGTACAACGTCGTACCATCCATGCCCTCCCCATTTTAGAGAATCGCCTATCTGTAGATCTTTGGGTGGTCCATTGTCGCTGCTCAGAGTAGCCGCTGGCTACGCATTATTTCCCTCTTCTTATCAGTTTAGCTACATTTTGGCAAAAACCGCAGGTTTCGTCTCGCGCCAATATACTTGAAAATTAAATAGAGGCCATCTCTTTCTCAATCTGTCTCATAATTTTAATGCTATTTTTTTTAGTACTGACTTTTGCTATGATTAAAACGTCAGCGATTTTGCACGCTCTTTAAGCTTACCATATTTAATGTTCTTTAATCATAACAAATAAGAATAGATTAATATTTTAGATTTAATGCCCTTCTAGAAAATAGGTAAAACCGTTTTTATCGTTTACTTCCTTTTCATACTTATGAATAATAAGATTTTATTTTGACATTGTTTTGTGGAGTGCATAAAACCCTTAAGAACTGTCAACTCTTTCAAAGTGCTTCTATTATGCAGGCAATTTTGTCTGATTTATCAGGAGATAAATAAGAGACAATTGTATGCATAATAGTTTTTCTGATTTTCATTCATTCAGTGATTGCTTTCAATGATTTTCATTGATTGTAAATTAAATAAAATCAATTTATCTTTACACCCTCTTTTAGGATGAGATCTGCCAAAAAATATTTAAATATCAGTAAAGCTCACGTTACTTCTAAACTGAATCAAAACATCAGTTAAATGTTATAAAATTTTGGCCAGTTTTATTTGCTGAAATTCTTATACTCTTCAAGAGATAGAGAGAAATTCAGACAAGTTGATAAAAAAAATATCTTAAAAAAGTTGTTATTTTGTCTGTAATAAGGTGTATGTCAACTTACTACTAAATGTATGAAAATTAGGATTGGATTACGGAAAAGCACGCGAACGCTATCTGCTTAAGGGAATGGATGCTTTCGTGTAAACCTTTTTAAGAGAAAATTGCTCGCATTTACATTCCTGGTGGAAAACTCCACATGTAATCAACCCGTTCTTCGGTATTGATTGGATTAATTTGTTCGCTTACTGAATTACATCAAAGCACCCAACGATTACCTGTATAAGGGGAGTTATGTCTTCGCGGAGGACTTTCTAAGAGAAGCTGGCTTGCATTTACGTTACACAAAAAAACCATGAATCCAACTATTTATCCGGGATTCAAATCCAAGCGAGCTATAAGTGTTCAGCCACCTTTACCGCTTTACTGAAGAGCAGGTAAAAATATTGATAAAGGAAAAGTATTGAATTAACCGGTTTAATTTACTAACCTATATTTCTCAATCGACAGTACATAAATTACGCATATGAGGGGGATTATTTGTGAATAAATAAACTGTATTGCACTTTTATCCACTATGTCATATTACAATGGAATTATTGCATTTCAAAGTTATTTCTCATGAATTAATTTTGCTCTTCATGATTTTTGATATTTTCAAAGAGAAAATTCCACATTCCACACTTTAAATAAAAATATACACGAGAAGATACTTTATGCACAATTTGGCGTAAACGGTTTTCTTAATTTTGCTTTGAAAATATTGCAGGGTAATCGTTTTCATTACTGGAAGAAATATAAAAAACAAATTTACTACATGGTATCAACACCCAATATTTCCTTATTCTTTTGAAAACGTGAAAGATTACTCTTTCTAAAATAAATTGGAAAATATATTATGTGCAAATAGAATATTCGTTGAAAATGAAATAGACTTCAACTTTTGGATATAACGATAGTTTTAGACGAAATTTCTACCTATGGAAAGAAATTGACGTATAATTAATTCTTCATGAACATTTAAAAACTGTTCTCAAAATTCTTTTGATGATTGCATGTATAAGTCACGAATTTTTTTCTCGGCTAACATAAACAAAAGCCAATTTTACAAAGAAAAATTCTCGTTAAAGATATACCTTCTTTGCCTGATAGTCCAATGTAATATTTGTTAAAATTAATTATTAAACGCAACCAATGTATCTCGGATTTTGATTTTTATATTATAATAACAAAATTATCGAAAAAAGCAGATTTAAATCTCTGTTATTGTTATGTAAAGCTTTATTATTGCTGTAAGTTCATCTCAAAATCTATTTGTATTGAATCTCATTCTAATCATCTAATGGTAATAAATATTATTATTATTATTTTTCATTAAATTAGTCATTACCATTATTTTATTAATGAAAATATGTTATTAAAAATCGCATTCCGGCCTGCAGACTTACAGATCTAGTCTGTATTTACTATATTTTGTTAAATTTTGTTCTCGCTTTCTAATTTCTAATACGAAAATACGCGAATATAAATGAAGAGTGAAAACAAAGTTAAAAAAAAAATTCACAAATTATTTACGAGATTGATTAGAAATAGTGAATGAAATATAAACATTGCATACATTTTGTTCTAAATAAAGTGTGCACTGGATATGCATCCAGTACTGCACATTTATTTATGCACTATTTATTTAGAATTTTGCTTTCACTTTAAATATGAAAGCAAAATAATCATCGAAAAAATTGCAAATCTAGCAACTCCTCTACTATGGGACGTAGGCGTCCGACAAACATGTAAATTTTACTTCATCCATGGAGGGGAACTGACGACTTTTCTCATTAGGAAAATGTCAAAGAGGGGGCAAAACTGTTTCGGATCGCGCTGGTCTGAAAGCTATAATATGAGAATTTCGGCCCGGTTTATAATTAAGATAAAAGAACATTGTGATCAAAATTAAAAGAAATAAAAAAAAAAAAAAAAAACTTATTTTTTTTTTCTTTATAACTTCCTTTAATTTAGTGTCTTTTTTATTACTTTCTCTTTAATTCTATAAAAAGACATAATTTCTTGTTCAGTTACAAAGTTCCGCTGTTCAAGTCCCGTTAATTGCTGTGCCGAGAATACCGACTAACTTGTCAATCGAAATTTTTTTTCGTTTTCACTAACCTCTCTGTCACATTCTTCACGTCTTTATCCATTTTTTGCAGCAATTCCACTTTTTGTTTGTTGGACATCGAAACATACTTTCGTTTTGTAGATCCTTTGGAAGTTCCAGCATCGGAAATTCTATTTGACATAATCGAAAGTTCAAGTTTACTTTTATAAAATTGCTCTTACAGTCTGCTAAAAATAATAAGCGGGATCCAATTCGAAGATTAAGAAACAATACAATCAATCATTAACATTAACTGAAATAGATAATTAGATAATTTTAGCTTACACCCGCCGGTTATACATTAAACGCGCAGGCGAAACCGTATTCTGCAGCTGTGCACACGCATATGCGCAGTAGTCAAGGTCTTACGTGCTCGCGTAAAACGCCTGTGCGCATGTGCCACCGCGGCGCATGCGCAGAAAGTTTTTAGCTTTGAGGTCTGGATTATAGATCATTCCGGATTATGGGTGTCCGAATTAACGACTTTTGACTGTATTTTAGTTCATTAATTGATGGACATGTTTCGTGAACGTGTCCATGGTGATAGCTTTAACTCCTGTCCAGCCATTCTTATCGTATCTCGTTCATTTGTACTTTGGCAATTGAGGAAGATGGTTTAGTAGTAAAACCATTGAAACTAGTCCTGGAAAAGTTGGAAATATAACATTGATTTTTTGTTGTTTGACTTCTAAATTAATAGCGCAGGTATGTCAAACTCAGCATGTCAAATGGGCAAAATAATCAACAGTATACAATACTTCAGGCTGTAAGTGGGGAACAAAGACCATTTTCAACTTAAAGATACATTTAAAAAGCTAGGCAAATACATCAAATCTTATGTAATACTGCAAAAAGTACCACTTTAAAAAGGAGAAGGAAAACATGGTTATCTTGGTAGTACATTAAGGATATCTTTTCCTTTGAGACACCTAACATCCTTTTTCCTAAAACTAGCTTTTTGATGTCTAATGAACGGACTGTAAAAGCTAAAATTATCTAATTATCTATTTCAGTTAATGTTGATGATTGCGTTGTTCCTTAATCTTCGAATTGGATTCGGTTTATTATTTTTTGCAGACTGTAACAGGGTTCCACTCAAAACAGGAGAATGAAATTCCCTGACTTTTCCAGGTTTTCCAGGTGTGTTTCAAGAAAATTCCAGTCTATCTGCGTAATGTACGTTGGCTGTGCTAAGAGGTAAATTAATTATGGTATTACTTGTATTGTGTAGCAAATTCACTTAATTATTCAATAAATCCCAGAGGACATTTATTCTTAATTATTCTTGGTATACTTTGTTTGATAATTTTGTTTAGTTTTCCACTTAATAAAATTTAAGATATATACATTGGATAACAAATGTATGTTTTATTTAATTATTACTCATGATCATCACCAGTTCAACACGAGGCTAATCCGGTCCTTATAAATCACAACGCAATGCTAAATAGTTAGGTTAGATTTTAGGTAAATTTAATTTGCGTGAGGTATGTTCTTAAAAGGCACCTTAACACTTGAAAACACAAATATAATTATAATAGTTGTTGTTTTCTCCACTGAAGATTGAGATTAGAATCTTCCCAATCTGGAACAAAATAAGGCTTTTTTTTTTTTTTTTTTTTTTGCAGACATTCTGCAGCTAAACGAAAGAAAGAAATCTATTTTAATAAATTGAGGTATTTTATATTTATTTCACAGCATACATAAGGAAAAAAATATGTGCATTAAATTTCGTGATGGTATGTCATCATACTGCTATAATTAATTTCAAGATTATGCCGGAGAAATTTTCCTGAAATTTGGAAATATTATTTACTAATAATAAATAAATTTAGAGGGAAGAAGCAACATTAAATTATATGAATAACATAAAAATAATTACTTAAAAATTGAATTAGAATAATCAACGATATTTTAGCGAATATAGTTATATTACATGGCTAGCCTAGATGACTGATTACTATTTTTTTTTATTTTACTGCAAAATGGCAAGGTATTTATTAAAAAGAAAAAAAAAGGGTTTAAAAAGATTTTGCGGTAAAATTCTAGTATACGGTAAGGCTTTGGCACGATTTTGAAAATTGTCGCCAAGACCAAAATGACCCGTTTACTGCGCATCATGATGTCGCCAAATCTCATTATTATTCTAACCAAAGAACGTCTTTGTAAAGAAGAAAAGGTTCCATACAAGTAAAATGCTATTACGCCGTTAGAATGCGGAGGAAAAATTTGCCAAGGGATTTGGCGACGGAACCTGGCGGCCAGAATTTCCCTCTCCGCGATGTGTACAGGAAATTGAGAAACACGTGTTAAGAAGAAACGCTCTTTGACAAAAAGAAAACTACGAAAATCCGTTTTTAAAATTATTGCGAAAAATCCACGCAATAATTTTAAAAACGGATTTTCGTAGTTTTTTTTTCCCCTGAAAATAACTAATCCATGAATTAATTTACTTGTGCCAAAAAATATTTTCTTTTCCTTTTAGAGTTTAACCACTTGCGCTAAGACTAAACTTCACGGTTGCGGTGCCGTGCGCTACAATATAACAAGCGGTAAAGTGTCTCATTTACGCCGCTCCGCATCTGCGAGTGCAATCCAGAGCTGTAACTCGAGAAATAAACAATCTCGTTGTTAGGCGACGTGTGCACCACGTTATTTTCATTTTTGCGATAAATGCTTATCGACGTGGTGTTCACGTTGCTCACGGTTTGAGACAAAAGCATCTCGACGTGCGTGGCACGTCTTTTTAGCGCAAGTCGTTAGAGAAATTTCAAACGATATTCATTTTATGAACTCTTGATAACGTGACCTTCGAACTTCGACACCGGTTTCAAGCTTTGGCAACAGATATATCAGACATGCACAGCTGTTTCCCTCTATGATGGAACGGAGCCACGTCTGTTGCAGAGAGGTTTTCCTTCTTTACAATACATATTCTTTGATTCTAACTTCCATGGTACCGTATACTAGGATTAAAACCCATTTTGTTTTATACGAAGAACAGGTACTTTCTTTAGTTCATGCACTGCACATGCGATTCTCGAGAATACTGGAAACCAAAAGTTGCGGGAAAGTTGCTTTGCCTTTCTAAAAGACAATCAAATTGGAGCTGCGAAAATTGGCTCTATGCCAGCTACCCGAATGACACTCACGTGATACATAATTCGCCAAAAAAGTTATCTCTTCCGACGTCGGCGCAAAAATCACTTTTTTTGGCGGGATCGTTGTATGAACTTCCCTGACTTTTCCAGATTTTGACAAAAATACTTAAATTCCCTGACTTTTCCCTGAATATTTTGGTCAAGTTTCGAATTCCCTGACTTTTCCCGGTTTTCCAGGTAGCGTGGCAACCCTGCTGTAAGAGCAATTTTCTAAAAGTAAACTTGAACTTTCGATTATGTCAAATAGAATTTCCGATGCTGGAGCTCCCATAGGATCTACAAAACTAAAGTATGTTTCGATGTCCATCAAACAAAAAGTGGAATTGCTGCAAATAATGGATAATATGATGAAGGTGACAGAGAGGTTAGTGAAAACGAAAAAATTTCGATTGACAAGTTAGTCTGTATTCTCGGCACAGCAATTAACGGGACTTGAACAGCGGAACTTTGTAACTGAACAAGAAATTATGTCTGTTTATAGAATTAAGGAAAAAGTATTATCACATAAAACAAAGCAACTTAAATTTATATTGAAAGAAATGTTTAATAAAGTAAACAAATAAATATTAAGCTTTTTTTTTTTTTTTTTTGTAAATTTTGATACCCTTTAGATCATAATTGTTCTTTATTTCTTAAATTACGGTTTCATATTTTTAATTTTAGAATTTCTGCATGCCATCTTACGAGATTTAAACTGATGATCTATAATCCGGAAAAATCGATAATCCGGAATCGCCGAAGTCCCGACGAGTCCGAATTAACGCCTTACACTGTATATTCTAATTATAGACAGTTTGTTATTTTTCTCGTATTGAACCAAGGGCTATAGAAAAATCAATGAAGGGGGCATATGCGGTAGCCAACATTTTGTAACATGCGTGTTTGAAATTTCTGGTCTAGTAAATATGATTTATGCATTTTTCTTGATACATATGTAACCCTGAGTAAGCTTTTCTTAGAAAGCTTAACCCTTGAATTCTTTCCATTACAAACAGCACCCTAACAGCAAATGTACTTTTTTAACCCTCCTAGCATTACGGATTTAGCCCTGAAATTTCGAAGTTCTCAAAATGTTATAAATAAGTGGTATTTTCTTGATTTTAATAAAAAAATGACTCTCTCATTTTGCACCCTTATTCCTTTTCTTCCAATATGCATCTAAACCGAAATCAATTACATTAAAAGCTTGCAGAAATTTTCATGTGTACATGTTCAGAATTTAGAAGGCAGCCTTCTATACGGAATTTTCCTGCCGTAACTCTGAGAGGGTTAGCTCATATTTTTAAACTTAAAAAAAGAAAATAAATTCCTAAGTTATGAACTCTAAGGACATAATGCAGAATTAGCTACTTACTTCAGTATTAACAGATGAAATTTTATCATCTGCTGTACACTGTTCATTTTTAAAATTTTCTTCTTCAGAACCCTGTGCTTCTAAAAAAAGAACAAAACTAATTATAGTTTCTTTGAAAAGCAGATCATTATATTAAAATTGTAATTAACCTTCTATCAACTTTGAATAAAATTTCATAAAAAATATGTAACTGTAAAGCTACAGACAAATCAACATAATACAGCAATCTATAGCTAAAATGCAGCAGGAGTATAAATACATCAATAGTTATAAAATGTTCCCACCTGAGATGAGATAATAGGAAAGCAAGTTTGATGCTATAACATAGGACCAACATCTCAAAAGTTGGGAAAAATGTAAAATCACCCACTGCTTGGTGCATTTTAAAGAACTGCGCAAACTTGGTATCCATGTACACATCGATCTATTTTTATTTAAAAAAACATCCATCGAGAATTCCACCAACTCGGCATTGCACACACCCTTGACTTTGTTCATGTATACATCGATCTGTTTTCAATTAAAACGTGAACGGAGCACACAATTCTTAACTCTTGTAAAAAGTACCAAACAAAACATGCCAAATAAGTGGGCAATTCTGCATTTCACCACAAAAGTTACTGACCAAAAATGCAAACCATAAGAACAATATGCAGAGATTCACCAACAATAATATCAATTAAAAAAGGTGTACATATGTAGTCAAATACAAAATGGGACATCCACACTCAAAATAGTAGACTGTGGCATAGTCAAAATTATTAATAAAATCTTGCTATTAAAATAGCCTAAGGCAAAGCTATATCTTCACATTTCATCATCTGAAGAAAAATCACAGCTCCTTGCATACAGTTTGTGGCCTATGAATACTCCATTGTATCTATGTGCTACTCCACCTCAGTTGCCTCACTATTGACATGGACCTGGAACTAAGCCATACTGAAATAGAAAGCTTCCAATCACTTCACTTTTCTGGGCAGCCAACTTAAAAATTAAAACAATTTTGCTAACCACAGCCAAAAACAGCGTGATGAGCAACACCATGAAAACAAAAACACAGAGATAAAACATAAGATGAAAGAAGACAATATGGAATGGAACATTAGGCATACATGAGTTAAGTTCTAGCGAACCAAGTAGACCATCTATAAATATTCCGATAGAACTCGAGATGCTAATGTTATTTTAAGTATGTAAATTTAAACTATTTTTATGTATGTGTATCCAATGGTATTTATGGTTACTTGATATTTATACTATGCATGTAAATAAAATATTATCAGCATTTTTACCTCGACATTAAAGTTATGACACCTAATTGGGTACTTAAGTATTAACATCACCGCAGCAGAAGTTGTGCTGATGCACCAATAAAGAGCAATCCCATCCACACAGTTATCTTTTGGATTCCTTTTTGCCTTGTTGTTTGCTGATTTTTGATGCCACTTTTTAGTGCTACGAAAAATTTGGGATTTGCCAAACACAGAAAAAGCTGAATTTTATTTTTTCAGGAGCGAAATATTTTCCAAAAAAATGTAAATATACCAATTTGATATGAAACTTTATTTTGGTAAACGTACATTTTGGAAATGTAATTTAAGACAGTGTGATCAGCAAGTGGGATTTAGAAAAGACAACTGGTTTGAAGGAAGAATAATTCCATTTTGTTCAGCTTTGAGATTCATATACTGCTGGTGCGAGGAGTTGACATTGAAATTTTGTGAAAGGCAACTTGATTTATTGGATAAAACTGTTATAGATTGGAATAATTACATGTGTGAATTATGTGTCTTGGATATGGAGAATAAATCAAACAAGAAGGTGATTGCATTGTGAAAATTGATGAAAGTTTGTTTACTAAGCATAAAAATAATTGTGGTCGAGTATTACCCAAACAGCGGGTGTTTGGTGGTATATGTAGAGAAACAAAAGATTTGTTTGTTGTCACTGTTCCTAATATAACTGGCTCGATCCTGATACAGGAGTTCATACACAAACAGTTGAGAGAATGTGGGGCAGTGTTAAATGGAGGAGCAAGAGACATCATTTATAATCTTATTTAGCAGAGTTCATATGGCGATAGCATCAGCTGAATCTATGTTAAATCTATATCGGTCCATTTTCCACCGAAATCCGATTGACTACTTTGATTTTAAATAAGTGTTTTAATTTATAATTTGTTGCAAAAATTTTAGGTGTAGATTGGCGGCACTTAAAAACCGGAAAATCTGCAGCTGCGGTGGCGTTAATACGTAAGTACACCTAATTGCAGCTGAAATTTTGAAGAGAAAAGCTTGATAACCAGTCACATTCAAATTTTTAGTTTGCTCACTAATGAAGATATCAAAAGTTTTTTCAGGATTTTTATAAAATGGAAATGTATAGTAAAAGTGATGGCTAAAGTGCAGAATCGCCCACTTATTTGGCGCTTTTTAAGAGATTGATAAGTGCATCAAATGTGGTATCCAAGTCGGTTTTGCCGTTCTGGAAGGCAAATTTCAGAGCATTTTTGCGCATGCATAGTATTTATTTTAAATTGAGAATTTCTTTTGAGCGCAAAATTCAAAGTATTTTCGCGCACGCTCAGTATGTATTTTAAAATTTAGAATTTCTGATTGGTGTAAACGATAATAGATGGTAGAGGTGCAGTTATTTTAAAGAATAATTCGAGAACATTTTGAGAATTCGTTAATTTTCGTTCATCAGTTGAGCAGAGTGGATTATCCCTTTTCAGGTAGTGAAAGCATTTTAAATTTTCAGTGTTTTAGTTCAGTTGTAACGATTTTAAGTGTTTGAAACTTACTATGTTTCAGAAACGATTCTTAGTTTTTAAAATTATGTTTATGTAAGGAGTGGATTTTCATATTACAAAAATTTTTGGAAGTGAAAGCATTAATTTTCAGGGTTTTGTAAGGATTTTATGTTCTTTAAACTTATGTTTTTTAAACGATTTTAGTTTTTAAAGTTATTAGGTTTTTTTGAAAGGATTTCCAATTTTAAAAGTTTCCCACTTTTAAAATTGGCACTTTTTACAAGAGTAAGAAGAATTGGACTTTTGTCAATTTCCTTTGACTTTTTAAGTGAAAATAGGTCAATGTGTACATGGATAAAGTCAAGAGAGTGCGCAATGCCATTTTTGTGCAATTCTGGGATGTTTTTCTAAGTGAAAATAGGTTGATGTGTACATGGATAAAGTCAAAGGAGCGCGACATGCCATTTTTGCGCAATTATGGGGATTTTTTTTTAAGTTAAAGTAGGCCGATGTGTGCACGGATACCGAGTTATAAAATTCTTAAAAATGCATCAAACAGCGGGTAATTCTGCACTTTCCCCAATTTTTTTATAGGTGAAATGAATTTTAATTCGGCTAATCTTTGGAATATAGTAACAGGTAGTTTGGCAACATTTTGGTAAGGCGATAAAGGTTACTAGCTAGGACTTTAGCAGTGTACACGGATAAAGTCAAGAGTGTGCGCAATGCCATTTTTGTGAAATTCTGGGTTGTTTTTTTAAGTGAAAATAGGTCGATGTGTACATGGATGATATTGTGTATGTGCAATTCTTAAAAACGTGGCAAGCAGTGGGCAATTTTGCAATTTCTCCCCTAATCTTCGTCATGATTAAGCACTTTTGTTCCATAAAAGTTCTAGCATAAGCGTAATTCGGCATACATATTGTTGGAAGAAAAATGTTGAGTATAATATATATATATATATATGCCTTTACTTTATGAAAACAAAATGGTGTCAAAAAAAAAAAAAAAAAAAAAAAAAAAAAAAACCAGCAGGTTGCTGTAGCAGGGTTGGTCGCCAAATTTTTTCAAGAAATCGCCAAGTTACCATAATCCAAAGATTAACCTTTAATTTTTCAGGGTTTTGTAAGGATTTTAAGTTTTTGAAGCTTACTATGTTTCTTAACCATGTTTGTTTTCTAAAATTATTATGCTGTTTTTAAAGGATTTTGTATTTATTTTACCTGTTCGCCATTGTAAATGTCGTGCCTTGCGTAGTGCCTTCTGGAGGGGTTGCAAAACTAGGAGACAAGGCGCAAAAGCGCGCTAAGTTGGCGATTTTGAAAAACGTGCCAAGCAGTGGCCGATTCTGCACTTTCCCCAAAGTGATAAGGTGCCAAAATATCTGCATTGTTAAACAACCCAATTTTGAGAATGTATGTATATCACACCATTCACAATGTTATCAAAGATGATTCATTTTTATACACTTCGCTCTCTTAACAACATAATTACTTCTGAGATTTCACAATCAATCTGTACAACATATATATTAAATAGTAAAATATGCATTAAGTCTGAATTTAATATAAATGATGTCAGTATAAATACCCAACTTTCATCAATATCATATGCAAAAAATTAAAATTTTAACTGGAAGACATCATCATACCTTTTGAAACAGTTTTTGTATCTTTGGTAAAATTTTTCACATTTGGATCCACTAATGATTCAGAATTATTCAAGAGTTCGTCAGCAACTTCAGTGGTACGCTCTTCTGGATTTCCTTCTCGAAATTCATCAGTTTCATTATTTGTGCTACTTACATAACGATCTCGTTGTGCCAACTGTCGACGACCACGTTCTTCTCTTTCACGTTTCCAGCTTTTACCTCGCAATTCACTCTTTCTCTCTGACATATTTACCAAAACCAATTGATTACACAGAACTGCCAAACTTCGTATCCAAACTGAAATTACAAACGAATGAAATGTTACTCCTCATATATAAAATCTCAAATAAAATATACCACTAAAATTGTCTGTATCTGTAACTAAATAAAATATTATTACATAAACACAAGCTTCTAAAATATCTGAAGACACTTTTCCATTATTTATGAAGCCTAACAATTACATTACAATTTTTTTAGTAAAAAATATAAATAAGAAATCCTGTAAAATATATTAACAGATACCTAATCTTTTTCATCGTTTATCGCTGGCGAAAACATTTACAAAAATTGCAGCGACAGTTAAAGTTAAAATTTGTTTTAACTTGTTTAAAAAAAGGTATGCAATGTTGCTGATATTAAATCAGCTTATGTAATAATTTTATTTTGCAAAATATCTCCGTAATATTGGTGTTATTTCTTATTTTATAATCTGAAAAATGAATCAATGAAATAATATATATTGAAATTAATTTTATGAATTTATTTCTTATAGAAGTAAATAAATATTTATTCATGGATTGTGTGCAATATGATGTTAATTAGTAATGAATCAAATTAAATTGCTGTTACTTGTTTTGACTTTTAAAAATCGAGGAGCTCAAGTTTCGAAACATCTGATAAGGGGGGCGGTAGTTTCCGGTTGTTTGTTATTTAACAACTCTTGCTACTTGCTGTGTGTTTTTGAAATGTATATGAACTCAGAAACATTTTAAGCCAACTACTGTTTATCTAATACTGAATTCTTCAACTTATTAGTAGAACAGCTGCACTAATGCTTACCTTACAGGACGGTACAGAAGACTCTTCCCTTACAGCCGATTCGAATAAGGTAATAATCCATAACTTTTTCATATTACACTTAGCCTGTATTAGAACTGAGTTACACCCATAAGTTCTGTATCGTAATTTAGTATGATTACAATAAATATATAAAAATGTTGCTTCTTGCATCAGTGTAATTTCTGTCCTATTACACTAGCAATTTAAAATTATTTCATATTTCTTTTTACGTTCTATCACTTGGGAGGTTTTCGACGGAAGAGTTAATTGATGTAACACAATAATTATGTTCGGCGATCGGAATATATAAAGTCATTTGCAGTACAGTAAAATTATTATTTTCTGTATCCCTCTTCTAAAATTATTTCGAATGCTTTTCTTGTTACAGCAGAAAAGTAATATTTCTTGTTATCATTGAAAGAAATCTGAGAATACATTAAGGAAATATCACTCTTAATTGACAGCTTTTCATAGCTGCGTCAATAACATAAAAATAGTTGTAAGTGAATGTAGTATAAATAATGTTAATTATGTAAACATTAGCATTTTGAATTAATATTTTATATTTCTGAAACTTTTAAATATATTAACCAAATCATAAAATTTTAATAAAAATTAAGAAGAAAGAGTGTTGCATTTGATTCATATGTGATTAAAACTTATTACACTTACTTGTTAAAACTTATTACACTATGCATACATAAATGGATCATATAGAATGCAAGATAAAAGCAACATAATAATAATACAGCTGATTTCAGTCCTGAACTCCTTTAAAGGTCTGAAAGCTGTGTCTTCACTTCCTTGTCTGAGTAAATGTATATTTAATTAATATTGAAATATACTAGTATGTTTTATTAATACTGAAATAATTTGTAGATTTCAGTAAATGTCTATGTTTGTAAATTTTATAGTTTTTGTTATTTTATAAAGATTTGTAACTTCCTTAGCTGTATATTGAATATTTTACATAATCTTCCTCAGTTTCTAATAAATTTACTTTCTGCATAGCTTTAAGCTACATTTATACCAATTTAACTATTATTTTTTTTTAATTAAAAAATATTTTTAACATAAAAATTGAATGCAAGAAAAGCAATCTTTTGTGTTAGCCAGTTTAGGAAACTAGATAATATATACGATTCACATTTTTAAAAACAAAGTAGGATATTGGCACTTAAGTAAATAATACACTCACAGCCCTTAAGAATACTTTATCACACATTTCATATTTAATCACTGACAAACTCTAATGATAATTTCTTGATCAAAAGATTTGAGTGAAGTGTTAATTTTGAATTAATTTTTTTTTACTGTAATATGGTGACCAGACTATGCCCCCCCACAAAAAAATGATAATTGTCCACGCAACAAATACCCATCACTGATGAAAACGCACGTTGATAAAAACCTAATTTGATAAAACCCACATTGATGTATATGCTACATTGAAATTAATATTTGTTTATGTTTTTTTCATCTATATAAAAGAGATTTATGAAAAAAATAATGTAAAAATATAAATTAATAACAGATAATTGAACAATAAATTAAAGTAGCAGAACACATTTTATTTTGTGCTCCTGCGGATTTAAACCTCTATATGTATATAGAAAGGAGAATCGATCAGAATAAAATTAATGTTATTAAAAACATATATCAATGTGTAACTTTATTTTATTTATGCAAGAAAGGGACGTAGCCCTCATAAAAGTCTAGCAAAACAAAAAAGGTGAAAGGGAATGCTGGCTTTTATTGATGTGCACTTTCATTTGTGTGGCCATTTGTCGCATGGGTAATTATCACAATGTTTTTTTGGGGGGGGGCTTTTTGTCACATGTGGGCCCACCAGCGGCCGAGCGGTAAAGACACTGAACACTGGTAGTTCGGTCCGAGGTTCGAATCCCGTGAACAGGCTGACTGCATGGGCATTTTTGTGGTTTTTCCGTGTGTAACGTGTATACGAGCCAGTTTCCCTTAGAAAGTCCTACACGAAGGCATCCCTCCCTTTAGGCAGATAGCCCTCGTGTGCTTTGCCATAATTAAATAATCCAATCCATCCAATCTTCTGTCACATGAGCTTTCATCCAATGGGCTTTTGTCACGAAATCCTGTAATATGTACATATTTCTTTTAAATTATTTGTTTGTTCTATAATTAACCTAAATGATTATTGCAACATTCTGTTTTAAGCATTTCGATTTCAACTAAAAAAATGAACTGGCTGTTTCCTCTAAAGATCCCAAAAAACTTTCTTTTTACTTGTATTTATTTGTAAAATAAAAGTTTGTTTGATTATTAAAGATGAACATTTCTCTTAAATAGAATTTTTTTGTTTACTGTCGTATTTAATACCGACTCAAAATTACATATCAAATATTATTTTGTCAGTGTTCTACTGTCAAAAACATCATAAATTATAGCTTTAATATTCAGTGATGTAATAAAATTGAATTTGCTTCATAAGAGGATATTAAAATTAGAATGTGAGTGCATTAAAAAATTTATATGAAATACTGAGCAAAAAAAAAATTGGCCTTTCTCTTTTATCGTAACAAGTTTCTATGCTTTATATGACTTACCTAAAATATATATATATTTTATACTTACCTAAAATATTGCATTTTATACTGTTTCTTTAAACATGATATGCTTGTATAGTATCATTTCCGTAAGTGGGGAGGCAATTAGCATACTGTTATGAAATGTACAGGCGTGGTAAGATGGCTTCCCCCACGAAGCAGTTTTAGGGTTGTCATAAAATGGCAAGATAATACAGGGTTGCCACATTTGGCAAGAAATCGCATATTTGGCAGCAAAATTGGCGATATACCATGGACAAATGGAGAACCTTCTGGAACGAATTCTTACTGGTTTAGCCCAGAATGTTCTCGAACACAACCCGAAAGCTATATAAACTCTGCTGGCCCGCAGTCAGTTAGTGTGCCTCGTCTAGCGAGCTGATAGTCAGTCATAGAGAGAGTGCCTCGTCAAGTGCGAGATAGTTGGTCTCGAGTTAGTCAATCAATGCGGAGTCGATCGAGTTGACAGTTGGGCAGCGAGTGCTGAGTGGGTCGTTGAGTGCATCGAAGAATCTCTTAGTGTATCGTGGTTAGTGCATCATCGAGAGAGTGTGTTAAGCTCCGGGAATAATTGAAGAGTCGGGAGCTGTGCTCTGTGTGTCGTCGAGTGCATCGCGAGTTGTGGCGTGGAGGATCTCGAGAGTATGTGGAGTTCCGAAAACGACCGAGCAGAGTCGAGAGTTGTACTCTGGTGCTTTGCAGTGAAACTGCATCCACCGTTATTGCATGACAGTGTCGCTGATTGTTCCAGCGTGTTTGTAGTAGATCTTTGATGACTGTAAAAGTGTTTTGGAGCTGTTCGGATTAATATTGATAAATAAAGCGTGTTTCAATACTTCATCAAGTGTCATCGTTATTCACTCCAAATCCACACGAACCCGGTATGAACGTGAAGGAAGAAAATAACGTAACAACTGGTGTCAGAAAAGAAAAACGCAACAATACTATAGAAGCCTTGGACAGTGTGTCGTTTACAGTGATGCTTTAGGTAGAACCATCAACAATTTGATAATGGGAGATTCTAAAGCCTAAAACTATCTATTAACATATCATTGTCAAGTATGTCTTTTGGATTATTGCATCTAAATTATATGACTCTGGCTTAATAAATTAAAATGTAACAATATGTTTGACTGCTTAAATATGTATTGTTTTTGTTAAAGTTTCTATAAGGAATGAAAACAGCCTGCAAAGTTATCCTTATCTTCATTTTGCATTTTAAATATCAGTTTTCTTCTTATGTAACGTATAGGTAATGATTAATATTTTTTATTTTTAATATTAAAATTTATGTAAAAAAGGAATCTCTTCTGGGATTTCTTTCACTACATCTTTCATAAAAGTGATGCTGCATGAAAGTTTTATACAATACAGGCTGTCTCTCATTCCTTGAAATGCAATGCGAGATATACAGTGCAAAGTCCGGATGCCCAGTATCTGGATCATGTAATGTCCAAATCTCTGGACTACCAACCAATAAATAAATAAATAAATAGGTAAAATTTCCTTTACCTACAAAATCCAGAAATGGAGAATATAGGGCTGAATTAAAAGAAGCAGGTATGCAACAAATGTGATTTTTCTGTACATTAACTCAGATTTTTGCATGTCACTTTTAAATGCTTGCTGGCTAAGGAACGATTTTGTTGCCAAATCACAATACATTGACACTGTATTGATCGTAGCTAGGATTCTGACCCATGAGTGGTTGTAGGGAGGGACAGAGTCATTGCTGTGTATTTTGTCCACTTGGTGCAATCTTTACAGGCTTAAATTCTGCTCCATGATATCTCTTCAACTTGTACAAATTTTGTGGCCTCTAAATTGTACTTCTCAGTGCTTTTTTAAATCCTGAAATTTCTGTCACCCAGTGCAGCCGTACAGGATCTAGCATTTGCCTTATTGGGGGGAGGGCGGAATAACATTCAACCTAAACGATATTCAAAGCCCTAATGTTGCCATGTCAGCATATTATCTTAGTAGATTTAAACTAATGATCTGAAATTTGGAATCATCAAAGTCTCCAGGATTCTGGATCTCAAACTTGCTGCTGTGTAAAAGGAATATACTAATCTGAACTTGTAACTACTGATTTCAAATAAGACCTTAACTTTGTTAGTAGTTGTATGCTAGCAGATGATCCGGCATATGCCTCCTTTCATTGAAAAATACTTGCATACTAATGAAAAGAAATGCATGTCAATTTTTTTTTAAATATCATTGTCAAACTATGATTGAAATTTGCCTTATTTTAAAGTTGCCATCTCTTAGATTTAACTTTAGTTTTATAGCCACTTATCCAAGGATGATTAATTTCAAATTTTGTTACTGACAAGGGAAGGTTTGTCAAAATTTGTTTGTGCCAAAGAAGAAATATCTTCATAGAGAATTTTGTTAGAGAAACCATCTCTTTATATTACATGTGAGTAAAACTTGAAATTCTCTACAGCTAACGTATTGTGCCATAGGAAATAGATTTGGACTGCTTTCCATCACTTATTGCAAAAGCAAAAGGGCCAGTAACTCTTTGTTTTTAAATCAATTTTGAAACCCAGGTTTTGATTTATCAATATTTAAGAGACAGTAAATGAGTGATAGAAATGTTATATTTTTAAATGTTCAAAATTTTGATTTTCAAACAGCGTTATTCCAAACAGTAGTTTTTAAATAGATGTTAATTTTTTTTAGTGCGTGCATTCATGATTAATAATGTTGCATCTTGAAATTAGATGCTAATATTACAAATTGCCTTACATATTGATATCTAACTTTAAGTAATCGCTCTATGTGGAGTTCCTAGATCCAATGTTTCGCCATAATAACCAAACATTTTGCATGCTGTGTTCTGGTTGTTATACAATTGAATTCTTTAAAGAGTACTTCAAGTAGTTGAATGCAGCAAGGTAGGTCCAGAGAACAAGCTAGGAGATAGAAGTATTTCAAATAGATTTTTGGTGTAGAAATTTGGTAGGAGCATAATTGTACAGTGGTTGTCCGATGGAAACTGTTAACTATCAAATATTTTTATTATAAAACTTTTAATGAGATATTTAATTTTTATAAAAAGTTCCTCTCCCCATGTTAGTTCACATTTAATTGATATTGCATACAGTCAAAAGTCGTTAATCCGGACTCGTCGGGACTTCGGGGATTCCGGATTATCGATTTTTCCGGATTATAGATCATCAGTTTAAATCTCGTAAGATGGCATGCAGAAATTCTAAAATTAAAAATATGAAACCGTAATTTAAGAAATAAAGAACAATTATGATCTAAAGGGTATCAAAATTTACAAAAAAAAAAAAAACCTTAATATTTTGTTTACTTTATTAAACATTTCTTTCAATGTAAGTTGTTTAAGTTGCTTCGTTTTATGTGATAATACTTTTTCCTTAATTCTATAAACAGACATAATTTCTTGTTCAGTTACAAAGTTCCGCTGTTCAAGTCCCGTAATTGCTGTGCCGAGAATACCGACTAACTTGTCAATCGAAATTTTTTCGTTTTCACTAACCTCTCTGTCACCTTCTTCATGTCTTTATCCATTTTTTGCAGCAATTCCACTTTTGTTTGATGGACATCGGAAACATACTTTCATTTTGTAGATCCTTTGGGAGCTCCAGCATCGGAAATTCTATTTGACATAATCGAAAGGTCAAGTTTACTTTTATAAAATTGCTCTTACAGTCTGCAAAAAATAATAAGCCGGATCCAGTTCAAAGATTAAGGAACAACGCAATCATCAACATTAACTGAAATAGATAATTAGATAATTTTAGATTATACCGTCCGTTATACATAAAACACGCACGCGAAAATGTATTCTGCACTTGCGCACACGCATATGCGCAGTTGTAAAGGTCTTACGCGCACGCGTAAACACCTATGCGCATGTGTCAACGCGGCGCATGCGCAGAAAGTTTTTAGCTTTGAGGTCCGGATTATGGGTGTCCGAATTAACGACTTTTGACTGTATATTGCATGTCATCTGAAAGGATAAAAGAAATGTTTTTATGATTTCAGGAACAAAACGCATAAATGTATGTAGCTATATTTTATCTAATTGTGTAAATATTTTTACATTTCAGTTTTATATTCTAATTAGACATTTTTATAAGAAAAAAATTATTTGTGCTCATCTTTAAATTCAGTTATATTATTAAACTGAAATTTATTACAGGATATTTCATATGAATTAGTAGATTGCATTTAAATAATTCTTTTCATTTTTAAGAAGAAAATTATTTTCAGCTACTGTGGACTTTTCTTTAATATGTTTCACGAATCTTAAATATAATTCATGTATGTATGTGTTTTTTTTTATTTTATTTTATATATTTTTTTGTGTGTATAATGTGGGATTTATCCATTTAAATTTGTTAGATTATTAAATAAAAATTTTTTTGAAATTTTTATTAAAAATAAATAATGATATAGATATTTTATTATATCTTTATCATTATTTATTTTAATTTTCTTCAGTTACATTAATACAAAATAAAAATGCTGAAAAATGAATGTATTTATATTAATAGGATAAATATTAATAACTATTTTTTATTTCTAGAATCGCTCTGACACTATTGATCTTTCTGATCAGTCACTTTTAGTTGATATTTCAGATGCTTTGAGTGAAAGAGATAAGGTGAAATTTACCGTCCATACAAAGGTAAAGTTGTAACTGAATTTCAGTCTTTGAAAATAAGTATTTAAAGTCAAACTGCTGAAGATTAAAAATCTTCAGTTTTAAGCTGTAAAGTATTTCTACTTTTTGTGTTTATTATTTAAAGGTATTTCCCAGAGGCATATTCATAAAAACAGATCTCTTCATTTATAAATTTAATTTTTTCAATATAATTTTAGAAGTGCCTTCTCAAGCAATGTCAGATTTGAATGTTAAAATTTATTTGTTACAATTAGTAATGTCTATTCTTGTGACTTATGTTAATATAAATTTATTATATTTTAGCCATATGAGATTACTGAATGCATAATTTAGATTTATACTTATCTTTTATTTATATTAAATATATTTTATTTTTTTATTTATTTCACAACAGAAATGTTTTCTTTTGAAAGGCATAGTGGTTATAATGGTTTTATGAGAAATATGCATATATAGTATTTTTACCCCCCCCCCAGTAGTAACTTTCATAACAAGATCATTGCTTAAATTTTTGCACTGGAAACAAAGTCAGGAAAACCTTTTAATTTTGCTCACTGTGTTAGATAAGATTAAATAATTTTACAAAATAAGCTCACTGTGCTATATTTTGTCAAATTATTTAACCTTATTTATTCAATGTGAAACTAATATGATTAATTTCTCTTGAAAGTTTTACTCATGTAATTAGTCGTAAACATATTTTTTCCTTTGGTACATGCACATTGTGCCGGCCATTCAACTGTCTTCAAGCAATGCAATTTAGTACCAATTTAAGATAAGCAAGAAATAAGAGCATATTCATAACATATATGCTTTTGTTTGATGTAAACCTGAGTGATTTTTGATAAATTGTATTTTGTTTTTAAATGTTATTGTGGGATTTTCCCTTGCATTTTGGAAAAAACAAAATATTAAAATTTAGGAACTGCCTTTGCAGAACATCAAGCAGTAGATTAATTTCAAAGCTATGGGATCGTCCATAAAAAAAGTATGTATTAATGGATATGACATGGTTAGCTGAATATGACTGACAAAACAGTAATAGATTGGAACAGTTATATGCACAAAGTTTGTGCTCATAGCAGACTAAGCCGAGATTATGTTAAAAATGAGAGGGTGTAAAAAAATGGTAGAAATTGGTGAAAGGCGTTTTTATGAAGGACAGAAATAATGCTAAATGAATAGTGATTATTTATTAAATAAAGACATATCAGTTCTTTCAGAATTTCTCAGGAACAATTAGTGAGATTTCCACCAACTTTCACAGTCAACAGGATAACATGTTGCTTTTTGTGCATACAGTATGTCACATTCTAAATGCAAATTATTATTTTCTGTTAATTCTGCAGCATTGGCTGACTTTTTGTGTTGGTGCAGTCTCAGTTTTAATCAATAAAAGTTTTGTTGTAGTTTCGTTACAATAGATTACATAGAATTAAAATATAATGCAGCAGGAGAATAATTTAGCATTCATAAATATTTTTTAAAAAAATTTAATACTAGAATAAATTTAAAAAAATAGTAATCATAAAAAAAATTTTTAAATTTGTTTTTCAGAAATTAAATTATGAAAAATACAGATTTAATTCCATATGGAATAATTATTCTGAAATTGCATTTGTAGAATATAATAATTTAGAATAATTAAAGAAAGGAGAACAAACTAAAAAAGACATTTGTGTTCAAGAATTTAGAATATTATATAATAATTAGAATACAATAGAATAATCTGCATTTGTGGAATATAATAATTAATACTAAAATATGCATTTTTAAAATAATGGCCAGAAGGGAAAAAAATGTGATTTCTTTATTAACTTTTACTTAAAAAAATAGCAATTTTCTCATCATAGTTGAAAAAAAAAATTGCTTCAGGAAGCCCTAATAAGAAATGTAAACTTATATTTAGTTTACTGATAGTCTTTTAGTTTGACAAAATTTATGTGGTAAGAGAAGAATAGTATTATTTCTTGTATATGAGATTAAATAAATAAGTAAAGGGATAAGAAGAGTAATGTGACATTCCAAATAAATTATGTTGCTTGAAGAAGTAGAATTTCTTCTGTTATCTAAATCATAACTTTATTAATGCATTTGTCTGTGCACGATTAGCAGCTCATCTCTAGGATTTGACCTAATGAGCACGACTTTAAAAAACTGTTATCCTTAAAAATATGATTAAATTGAATTCATAATCACAGCGAAAAGTTAATAAATGTAATGTGTAATAAAGTTGCTACTCAGCCAATATAGTGTTTGGTGATGCTGAGTGCAATACCTGATATCCCAGGGTTTGAATCCCGGAAAGGCATATAGTGTTTTTGTGGTAAGGAGACACTCAAAATGTAGGATGAGCCAAAAGTCTTTCTGAGAGGTTAGTGGTAAGAGGAGGCTGGGAGACCCTTGGAATCCCTTCTGCCTGTTCTCCTTAAAATTGGGGCAGAACTGTGCAATTAGTGTGGCGAGGCTATACCATTAAACCAATGTTGAATTTCTGGTGTTCTATCCACCTCTTCCTGTATCTGTATAATAAAGTTGGCATAGAATTTGGAAGCAAACTATGTCAAAGCTAGGAGAGGTTTTTTTTTTTTTTTTTTTTTTTTTTTTTTGTGCATAATGTCACTAAAGTTATTTATGAGAACTTCTAAGCACTCAGAAAAAATACAAAAATAGTTCAGTCTTATTAAGCAGATTGTTGGTTTGTTAAATATGATAGAAAATTTAAAGGTCTTCTGCATGGTTTTTTACAGCAAGCAAATTGTGTAATATGCATACAAGAAGTTATAAGTTTTGTGACTAATAATAATTAGAATGTATTTATTTGTTTTAAAAATAGTTGCTTAGAACTTTTTTGCTTTTTCTCAATATACATGTTTAGTTTTTGACATTTTTCTAATATATGCTCTCTCTCTATATATATATGCATATTGGAAGAATTGTAAAGAAATATTAGGTTTTGGTAGAAGACTCATTGTAAAATAAATTTAGATTTTTTTGGAGGAAGGTAGAAAAAAAAAAGAGTTGAGTAGTTTTTACTATTAGTACATATAATAAAAAATTCAGTTTGTTAAGACAAACCATATGTTATTGTTTTTGAATCATGTTTTGTTTATAAGGACTATTTAAGATGACAGAATGCATTGATGACAGAGCCCAAAATCGAGATGTCCAATATGATCCATTGTCAGTTCCACCATATTGGGGGGGGGGAAGAAAGAGAGAGAGAGAGATCTCTGTAGACCTGGGTTTTACTTTTAGGCCTTGAGTGAGGCTGTAGTTTTTTTTTTTTTTTTTTTTTAATCTGACATAAACAGTAAGTGAAGCTCCATTGTTGTCATGTCTGCTAGATATCTTACTAGATCTAAACTGATATAGAATCCAGAAATTTCCAGAAGCCAGAATCTCTGAAATCCCAATGATTCTAGATCTCAGATTTTGTCCTGTATTTTCTGATTTGCATTTTCATTATACATCTAAATGCATAGCATAGAGTTAGTCTTACTTCTAATCCTAGCATGCTCTGCTTGTCAGTTGTTGCAGTAATATTGAAAAAGAGTGCAGGGCTCTCCTCATTAACTGAAAAATTGTGAGATATTGACGAAAATTTATATATATGTATATCGGCGCCGCCGCAAGGCTATACGGCACCTGCCAGCGAAATAGCTGAAGTCACCCCCTTTTTTTTCAATTTTTGTAGAGGAGAAGGAAGTTTTGAAGAAGTCATTTGTTGAAATTTTTTGTAACAATCTATCGAAAATAATTTATTTTTCTGCATTCCATATTTATAAATTTTTCTATAATTTCTTTTGCATCTATCTTTTGACAGATTTCATTTTCAATGGCAATCAAAGCTAGATTTAAGATTCTGTCCTGTGATATACTGGACCATAATTATGTTTTGATCAATTTTAATTTGGTGAATGATCTTTCGTTACTAAAAACACTAACAGGAATGCTAAGTAGTATTTTCACTTATGATCTTCAAGTTCGGGAAGCACCAAATATTTGACACAGTTATGTTAAGTTCAGAATATTGAATGGGTGATTCATACCAGCTATAAAAATGTCTTTCGAAACTACTATTTCATCATAAAGTTCTTCTGTGTTAATATCTTTATTGTCACCACACTGTAACATTTTTTCTAATTTACTGCATTTCATTTTCAAATTTGCATTATCAATTTCTGATAAATTACGCAAGAAACTAAAGTTATCGCGGGGAATTTTTCATTGCATCAAATCTTTCATTTAATGATGTTTAAGCAATATCTAAAATTCTAAAAAAGACATTTGCCCTAAACTTCTCCTCTGGAGATTGAAGGGATTCATCAGCATGTTCGTAATCGAAGGGACATTTCTTTTTCCTTCATTGTACTTCTCCAACAGTTTTAAACTGTGACTCGCCATCCACTTCTTCACTAGATTCTTTGGCTTTCTTAAGAAAACTTTTGTAATTGATGTCACTTCTATATTCTTCAATGAATGTTTTTAAGTTACTTATTGCCTTTAAGGTTAGTGTAACAATCAAACCCTTTTCTTGCAATTGTTTCCTGACAGGATTAATTCTGTTAAGCAAATCGTGCCAAAGTATCAAGGATAAATAAATAAAAAAATAATAAAATGGATTAAATAAGGATAAATTGAAAGTATATTAAGTAAAATAAAATAAGTACGTACTTCATCAAATGGATTTTTCTTTTCCAGTAGTAGTAAGGTTATTGTGCATCGGAAATTTTCTTTGGCAAACGCTTAATAAATACGAAGCAGGAATGTGTAGATGATACATAACACGCGGCATTCTGGATGCATAGAAAATTACCATTATATAGTATTAGTTGCTCAGAAGAGTTATTTTGAAACGCCTGCATGTGTAGTCGGTGTAAGTAATGTATTACCTAGATTAAACTTGCTCACAGCTTGAATTCCAACGCCTTTTCGATCTCTAACTTCTTTGTGTGACACTGTACTTAACGATTGATTGATGGATGGGTGGCAAGGCGTTAATGGATGGGCTGGATGCTGGTCAGCGCCCCTCTCTTGGTTGGTGCTCGCCTGCAAAGAAGGCCTTGTAGGTCCACTTCTGCCAACCCTGATGTATATTAAATCAGAAAAATTGAAATATTTCTTGAAAAGTTCGGGAGGTACTTATCAATCTTCTAGGTATTAAAATGGTGGTAACCATTTATGGTAACCAATAAACAAAAATTGCTCCTTTTAAAAAAAAGCAAATGAAGAGTAATTGTACTTTTCTGTATTTCTTGCAAAAAGTAATAACTAACTTTTGTCTCATATGATCCTTTTAACTTATCCCCCCCCCCAGGGGTCGACCATTATACTGGTTGAGATCTGTACTCTGGCAGCCTCGGTACAGGCGATATTAAAACTGAGCTTAGCAGTTTTGCATTTTGTGCCAGAAGATACCTTTAGTCAAACAATTGGCCCATTAGGGTGGGTTGGTATAAGACCCATTCCAGATTGAAGGCAGCCAGTATAGTACTGATAGGTAGCATTTAGATGAGCAGTCAGATCTCCAGGCAAATATATCCCGTTTTATCATGGTTTCTGGGCACCAGAAGTAGTGATTCCGCCTGCTCAGTTCAGTAGTGGGTGTTAGGAAAATCTATTTAAATTCCACTGATCTGGACTGAGGATACAGGTCTCAGCAAGAGGAATTTGTATCATCTTTAAGGTGGTGTTTTAGCTGGAATGTTCACCTCCTGCTTAATATGGTGACATCTCAGCTGAGAGTTCATGTAGTGATATTAACTTGTTTGAACACATACATATTCTGTTTATTCAACTCGTAATCCTCTTATCTACCTATTAATGAGATAGTCTTCACCTTCTGTTTTGAAATTTAACTATTCATAACATCTGTGACTTGTCAGCCTTTCAATAGTGTAATTTAAAGTTATCTCATTAAGTGATTGTATGGAATTAAGCACTTTTTTCCCTTTTATTTTAATTCTTAGCTCCTCAGTTTTATTTTAAGACATCATAGGAGTAATATTTGTCATGAATGATATGCGGTTGCTATATCTTTTCTAAATGTTTTTGATGTAATTTCCTTCATATTTTTCCTATTGCTATAATGAGTAAGGTAAATACTTTTTTATAATTAAGTGTATAAAATTATTCAGTTACTTTCTTTAATTTGGTAAGTACTCCATTCTGTGAGATCAGATCAATTTAATCATCAGAAACGGAAAAATTGAGAAGTTTAATTCTGCACTATATTCTTTTCACTATTTTTGTTTTCAAAACAGTTCGTGTGACCATTGCTACAACTGAAGTAAAATAATATCCCGAACAATTATTAATTTAGAAGTCAGGCAACAAAAATCAGCATTATATTTGCAAATTTTTACAGGACTAGTTACATGTCATTTGCACTTTGGCAGCTGAAGGATCGAAACTAGTCCTGTCAAAATTTGAAAATAAACTCTGACTTTTGTTGTTTGATTTCTAAATTAACATCGCTACAGTGTTTTTTAAGAATCTTATTTTAATTTATTAATATTTTAAAAATTTTTAATATTATATTTGTTTGAAAACATTTGATATTTAGATTAACTTTTCGTACTCCTCAATTCTAATAACAATTTACTATGCATTGTGAAATGAACTAATTAGTATTAAATTACTCCAACATATCACTGGTAAAATAATTTTTAAGTATATTGTATGGATGCAATGAAATCACAATTTATTTTTATGGCTAAAATGTTTTATGTCCAATAGGTGAACATTGCATCCATAAATTTATCAATTCTGATATTCCTATTAAATATTATCCTTTGAGACTGTAATATATGTGCTTTGATTAACTTTCCCTCCTAGTATTGAACATTCTAGTTTAATGTCTATTTTAAATATGAATGCATTTTTATATACAGACAACTCTTCCAACATTTGCAAAGCCAGAATTTTCTGTTGTTCGTCAACATGAAGAATTTGTATGGTTGCATGATTCATTTGAAGAAAATGAAAAGTATGCTGGATTTACGGTAAGAGTAAAGATTCTATATGTAAGTTCACATTTTATTGAATGATTTTTGTAGTAAATTAATAGTATTTAAATAAATTTCATATGTGTATTTGATTATAAATTTGTCTTCTAAAATATGGATTTTATTTTCAATATATAACAAAATTTAGTTTTAAGCATTGATGAATTTCATATATAATTTTTAATGTGTTTTAGAAATAGTTCATTGTTGTAAGAAAATAGTTCTAAAGCAGCTTTTATATGATGTGAAACTGTGATCAAATAGTATTAGAAAAATAAAATTTTATTCTGCTAAATTTGATCTTTAACTGAGAAATGCTCAAAGGATTTTTTAAATATAATACTTGATATGTAACAGAAATTTAATAATTCTTAAGGTATGTTGTTCTATATCTGTAAAACAATGTATAGTTTTCTTTTGTCTGTTCTAATTGTAATTTATTTCATTTGTATTGAAAATCACATTTTGGACTTTATGGACTTTAGAAAAACATCTGAGCGAGAGTTTGATATGCTGTAGTCATCCTTTGAATTTTAATATGCACAAAGAAGTTCATTAGGATTCGTAGGATCAGTGATTCTGTACTGTTTTATTGAAACTATTATCATTCTAAGTGTTTTATTTATGACATTGATTTGAGTATGAAATTGTTATAAGTATAGAAAAATGTGTGAATGGTTAACTCCAAATCTGTAAACCAGATATGCGATAAAGAAGATGTTAAAAGAAATTATGCAAATGCTTGAGGAACTAGTAGAATAATTTTTTATAATTTAGGAGGAGCTAAATGATAAAATGTAATATGTACACTGCACACAAAAAAAGGAAGTTCTATATCTCCCGTTCTACTGGGCCGTTTGACGAGATTCAAATTGCATTTTTCATGTCTCGAAAGCGTTACTTAGGCTATATATTGGATTTATATATAGCATTGTCCTAACAGAAGTATTTTGACACAAAATCAGACTTTTTCTGAAATAACATACAATTGTTTTTTCCATATTTCAATTCTAGACCTCAAATTATGCCTACATACTACATTTTTTAATTTTTGGTGAAAAATTTAAAAATTTATCTTTGCGCCAAGTATAATTCATTTGGTGAACTTCTTAATTTATAGCAACCTATTTTCCTTTGTGCATGAGTGTGGGGGGGGGGAAGTCATCATTCCTGCCTTCAAATAATTTTAATGAAGTGCGTGTACCACATTTTTGTTATTATCGCTTATAATAAATAAGCTAAATTTCAAAATGTGCCAAAATGTAAATTCATGTATGTCTTAGGAAATTTTGAATAAAAATTTTTTTGCAGGTATACTTAGAAACACATCTACTTTAAGATGATGCTAAAAATTTTATAGGTTATAATACAAAATTTTTTTCGAAAAATATATAAAAAATATTTTAGAATACAAATTTTTAAAATAAATAAAAATGTGCGAATTATATTTGATTAAGCCTAAATTTCAAATTCTGGAAAAAGGAATCAAGTAAGTTTAAAAAAAAAAAGATATTAATAAATATATATCAAATTCAATTAACATTGAGAATCTAAAAGTTTGAGAGCTAATTTTTTAAAAACTACTCACACAATTTTTACAAAACTTGGCAGTTTGACATAATTTGAGTCATAGAATTGAAATATGGAAAAAAATTGACACGTCATTTCAGAAAAAGTTCAATTTTATGTCAAAATACCTATATTAAAAAAATGCTATATATAAATCTAATATATATCATAAGTTACGCTTTCGAGACATAAAAAACACAATCTAAATTTTGTCAATCGGCCCAGTAGAATGGAAGACATAGAATTATCCCCCTTTTTTTCTAGTGTACATCATTGATAATTTTAATTCTCACATCAAATTTAAATGGAAGATTAATAGATTATTATTATTTTGCTTTTAAGAGGTTAAAATCCTAAAGAGTATACGGGATGTATCGTAAATGTTGCGACAAACTTCTCATGGGGAGATAGGGCACATCATAAGGATTAAGAATTGCATAGGAACCTATACCTGGAAATGTCAGAGGTAAGTGGTAGAAGATGGGAAAAGAAGCAAGAGTGATTAATTGGAAACATTTATTGGACATGAATACAAATGGTGTACGTTGGCTTGAATGTTACAACACATGCTCGAAGTTTGCACCATCAGACACCAAACATGCCTGACACCGATGGACATTTGAATATTGCAAATTATTTTATCTTTCTGGAGTATGTTCTTCCTGATTTGCTTGACGATGTTCCACCAAATGCAAGGTGCAACATGCGATTCTAACATGATGGGGCCTCTGCACATTTAGGACTGGATGTTCATAGCCATTTGAACAAATCATTCCCGTATCAATGGATTGGACATGGTGGACCAGTTTCCTGGCCCCCATAGTCACCAGATTTATCAAACCTTAATTTCTTTTTGGTGGAAGCCATCAAAAATGTAGTGTAGCACGATCCTGTTGTGTCTGAAAGGGATCTCGGGGCAAGCTGCTACAATCAAAGAAACTCCCAGTGTGTTTGAACATGCTCGGCAATAAATGGTCTGTCGGTGTCAGGCGTGTTTGGCGCTTCTGATGGTGCAAACTCCAAGCATGTGTTTAACATTCAAGCTGTCGTACATCATTTGTATTCATGTCCAATAAATGTTTCAAATTAATCACTCTTGTTTCTTTTCCCATCTTTTACCTCTGCTACCACTTACCCCTCACATTTCCGGGCATGGGTTCTTATGCAATTCTTAATCCTTATGATGTGCCCTACCTCCCCTAGAAGTTTGTCACAACATTTATGGTACACCCTGTATATGATATATATATACATATTAATACATATATATTTAATTTTAATCTTCTCTTTAAGTTAGAAAAGTTTTTCTGCATGTTTTTGGATTAATAGCACATTTGTGTATCTGGTTCAGGTCATTGTCGTAAGGGCCTCTTAATTTAGGGCCACTTTGGAATTGTAATAAATTCATTTTTCTAATCCATACTGAGTAACGTATTAAAATCTGAAGGCATATTTTGATATTTAGTATAATATTTCTTAATTTTACATCTAACACTTGCATATATTTAAAAACTACAAATTTAAGATTCTTATCCATATTAAGATATTTATGAGTTGAAGTGATTTAACTCCTTAAATATTTGTAAAGTATTGAAATTATTGTAGTGATAGTAGTATAATTTCTATATAGTATAATTTCTTAATAGATACCTCCTGCTCCTCCTTGTCCTGATTTTGATGCTTCAAGAGAAAAACTACACAAGCTGAGTGAAGGAGAAGGAACTATGACCAAAGAAGAATTTATAAAAATGAAACAAGAGCTTGAAATGTATAGTCTTTGATTTCATTTGCATTCTTTTTATTTGAAAAGTAGCATCACTTGAATAATTTTTTAAAATCTTATTCAGAAATAGCAAATGCTTTGTGGCAACTTATTATACAATATTTTGACTCTGAAAAATAAAGAAGGTATAATGCTATAAAGCACAATTTATGAAATGGCTCTTAGCAAAAGCAAAATTAGCTATGTGATTAGTTAAAAATATCTTCTTTTCAATTTTTTCATAGTAAAACTTTTTCCCATGTAATTGTCTCGGAATATTCAAAATTCTCAGAATATGTATCAGTTTTCTCTATAAAATTAATTTCACACACTTTTTCCCTCCTTTTTTTTCCAAAATATTTCTGGCTTTTTGCTGTTACTGAATTGGTAGGGGTAATTTTTCTTTAGTATTTTAGCCCTTGCAGCTTGGAAAGTTTAGAAGGATTTGAAGGCAAGATATATAGACCCACGATTCTAGAAGATTCGAGACATATGTGACAAAATGAAAAATGTCTCCATAGTATCAACACGTAACGGATGTATTTTAGAGAAAGTTTCGATGAATTTCTTACTTTTTGGAGAACGTCTGGAAGAACAATGAAAACATAATATTTGAATGTTTTACTCCTGATACTAGAATCATTTTCTTAACATGTTTATCTTCCCTTTATTTTCTCTACTTTTCACTAGACACAAGCATGGAAAGTAACAAAAATGCTTCTAATCTTGTCACATGGGCAGGCAAATTATAGAAATGGATTTTTACTTCCTTGTACGAAGTAAAAAGGAAGTATTGTAATCGCGAAAAGTTTCAGGCAGCATATTTCAACGAAAATATCCATTTTGACCGCTATCGAATGCAATTTAATGATGTTTTTGCATGATATCTGTACGTAAGGACAGAATAAAATACTCTTTTCCTTCAAAAAAATTATAAAACTGCTTTAAAATTTATTCTGAAGAGAATTTTTCGTGGCGTCTGAACGAACGTATGTACGTACGTGCGTATCTCGCATAACTAAAAAACGAGTAGCCTCAGAACATTGAAATTTTGTATATATTACTGCTATAACATGTAGATGTGCACCTCGTATTTTGGTTGAAATCGGGCGCACCAAACGTATATAAATATGTTTATACCCGGCTCAGTGATCTCAGTTGCTCTACTCTTATATGTTGGTAAATTATACACTTTTTGCTTTAAAAATGATTGAATTATGTTGTTTTTATCTTCCGGTTAAGGATTTTATGCCTTTAGTAAATCTGTGTGCAATATTTTTAGAATTATCAGCAATTTTAAAGTTGTTTAATTGCCGCTAAGCCTTTTTTAATGGCGGCCATTTATGTTTATATTTGAAGCAGGAGACTAGTGGATTTGTTCCCAATCTAGAGAAACTTAGCTTCGCAACAAAAAAGATAACGCCTTCATTTATTATTTAAATCATGCTGAATCCTTTCTGGAATTTTTTCGAGGAAATAAGCATTTAAGATTTACTTCGTAATTTTTAATATGGATATTTTGAGTTTTTATGTATTTTTTTTTTTTTGCCTTCTCGTGAAGTGAGAACTGAATTAATTAAATGAGAAATACACAATCGTCTGTGAAAAACTATTTCTTTTTTGTTTTGTTTGCTTAATTTCTTTTATACATCATTCTAGCTTTATTATAGTATTTGAATAGAACATGTGGCAACGATTAGATAATTCTATTCTTTAAATGATATAAATTTTGTGCATTATGAGTTAAAATATGAACAAAATATATAAGTTAACTGTTATATAATTATTGGATTATATAACAGTTAACTTAGTTTCCGTTATAAAATTATTATATAAGTTAACTGTTATATAATTATTAATACCATTAAGTGAATCTAGCGCCAGAGTGTCGCTATGGTAAACAAATACTAGAGTGAATTTTAAAGAATGCATTTATTCTATTTATGCGCTGATTAAGTAGATTTAATTCAATCCAATAAGTTTAAATCAAATGCAAGAAAAAATGCGTATATTTTAATATTCCAATTTAATATTCCAATACAAGGAAGTCATGTGGTGTACACACCAGATTTTTTTATTAATAAAGAAATTGAAAACTTACGATTTAAAAGATTCATCTAATATGTTTTAATGCATCATACACAGAGCTGGCACCAGGCATTTTCCCACCTGATGCAATCTCTGTGGAAGCTAAATTCTGCTTCCAATGCCTGCTCTAAATTCTAAAAGTTGTGCCATTTCCAGATTTTGTTGTTCGGTGTGTCACTAAATTTTAAAAATTCCTCCACAACGGCTCTGTAACCGGCCTTTACCATATATATTTCTTCTGAATGTTCATATTACTAAAGAAATAAAATTAGCCATTTTCTCTACATTCTAAATGCATTTCATGTTTTTAGAATAACGGAAATCTTTAATTAAATCCAAAAATTCTAAAATGAAAAGGAAACGTGTTGAAGAAAGAAAATGATAAGGACAATGAAAATTATTCTTCAAACAAAATGTGCAGTTATTATTATGTAAATTACCCAATTGTTTACGATTTCAGCCTTTACTATAATTTCCCATTTCTATTTCCTCATATGATAGAGTTACTGAGCCAGATTAAATTAAAATTAAATTATATAATCTTTGACCACTAGTCCAAATTTTTAGTTTGAATTTGACTGTTCTTGTTTAATTACGTCACCGTGAGCTGCAAATGATTTTGTTAGCATCAGAACATGCCTTTGTATTCTATGTTCTTTTTATATAAGAGGCTTATTTAAAAATGTGTCTGATATTTTAGTTATTTTCAGACATAGCGATAGTTTGCTTCACATCAGTTGGGGGTTTTCGACTATTTAACTTTTACCAGATCAAGTAAACCCTCATAGGTACATTGTGGAGAGGTTGACAAGTTAGGAGATAAAGCAGTTAGGTTGATGCAGAAACTAGCAAGAGCATTGGTTTGCATTTTGAGGCAAATCTCTAATTGTTAGAAAAGATGGTTAAAGAGAAGGAAATCGATATAAACTAGCCAAAATGTTTGGAAAGCCTTCAAATTAAAATAACGCATAAATATTTTGTTGAGTGTTGTTGTTACAAAACATAAATGTTTTGTAGCTTTTAATGTGTAATTATCCTAATATCGTTTAAGAATCAATGTTATAAATTACATGCATTTTAAACTGTGAAATTTGATTAGATTTTTGATTTTAATAGGGCTTTTTTAACAAATATTGTTAAAAAATAAAATTTAATTGTGGCCATGTAAATCCATGATGACTAAGGTTATCTAATTACCTAATTTAATTATTTATAACATATGCTTACCCTTAAAAATTATCTCTACGTATTAAAGCGAGTTATTGCCTTTCATTAATACTCACTGTGGTCACAAGATAAAACACAAAAACGTAAAAATTCAAGTAAAACTTATTCTTTGCATCTAGTGAGACTTAAAATAATACAAAACAATTTATCACCTCTGGTGCTTTAATGGCTTATTGGAACCTTAAAGTATATTAACTGGGTTACAACCCCTGAAACTCTACACGAAGCTACGACACTAACTGCATCAAACTGAGCCCGACTAACTTTCAACATTTGCGAACCTGCATCAGGACACCTGCCTACATCAGGCCTTTCAGGTTTGTTCTAATGAGCAGGTCTCCCTCTAGACAAGCAGCAGCAGTAACAACATTCAGTGTTTTGTTCTGAATCATGCTGATTATGATCTTAATTCTCGTTTTAACCTATGCCGTTTGACATAAAATCTACTTGCCATTTACTCAACCTCTAGACTGACCAAGTACGTGACAAAATGAGACATTTAAAAAAATCAACATAAAGCTAACTGTGAGTAAAACGTAAATGTCACTTATCTTCTTTCAAATATTTCCATCTGTTATAAGTGTAAAATATTTTAATGCTACTTGATAAATTGCATAAAGTTTATTTTATTCTCAAACTTATTAATAATTATGTTAATTCATGTTTAGTAATAATGCAGACTACTTAGAGATCTGTTTTATTTTTACGATGGTATCACAAAAGTGAAATTCAGGCATAAATAATATTTTTAATTGAATTTATTTAATTTCCATTTGCTCATAGGTCCTTAATTTTTTTCATTAATGGTCCTTAAAAGTCCTTAAAAGTACTTAATTTTCATGTGCAGAAATATGTACGAACCCTGGTTTCTAAACATACTAATTTATATGCATTTATTTTAAGATTCAGAATAATTTTAACTGATTCCTTTGAATTCATTCCCTTCTAAATTTTTTTGGCCATTGGAGTATAAATAAATATCAGTAAAATCATTTGCCAGTTAATTTGAATGCTGACCAATTTAAGCCGTAAGTTTTATGGTAATATATTGCTGCTATAAAATGTGTTATCTTTTTTTAAAATTTAATCTTAAGAGTTAATTTAATTTTGAGAGTTTTTTAATCTAATCTTATGGCTTTTAACTGGAGTTTTAGACTATAATTTATCAGTGAAATAATGAAGATTTCTTACTTTCTGTTATAAGAATTGAGTGTTTTGTTCTTGATATTAATTTCACTTTTCAAAGAACTGGACTAAATTTTTATTAGCTAAATATTTCTAGATTTTAATTGCACAGTAGCCTCTTATTATAATCATACGTATATATTAGTATACATTATTTAAAAATTGATTAGCATTTCCTGTTCCTGTTTTAATGCTTGCTAATTATTTCAAATAATTTAGTTCTTGCTATGTGCCATTTTTTTCCTCCAATATTGAAAAGTTGACTGTTGCATCGTTTTAAGAAGAGGGCTGATCAAAGAGTAATTAAATAAATATACATATATCTATACTCAATTTGTAGTTGCATATAGATACAGTTAATTCATTGGTATGTGACCTCAAAAATTGACTTTGCATTGATATTTCTCTTCCTCTTGATTAAAAAAGAAGGGCTTGGTTGAATTCTGATAAGAAATTCAGATAATAATATCTCTTGCTGTTTAGTTTTGAGTAGATATATTTGTGCCAGTTTAGATATATTTTATCTTTTATAAATAAACATAACTGTAAAAGTGATGAAAGACTTAGTGATGAAACAGTCGGTATTCCTAAGAATATCGAAAACAAAAATTTTGTTCACTTAAGTGATAATACATATTGCATTTAAAAAGTGGAGAAATTTTGAAACATGAATAAGCTTGTTTTTAAAAGAATGACATCAGATTTGTAACAGTGGCAAATATTCATTAATTCAAATTCTTTAAGAAAAATTAAGTTCCATTATGTTATGGTAATGAGCTTTTATTAAGTGTTTTAAACTAAATTTGTGATATTTTCTTAGGTGTGGTATTACAAATATACTTTTTATTTCCTTTCATATTGTTTCTTTTTATGAATAACTTTGCTTTTAGATTGACAAAAATGAGCTGGGTTGAAATTTTTCTTTTACTTATTGATATCTAAATCTGTATATGCTACTTCACATGTGTAATGAACGACCAGTAAACACTAGAATTTATTGATGCATCCCAGAGAGTACCTGTGTACCTGTATTTTGAGCATTTTTAAAGAGATCGTTGGTAAATGTCAAGATTTAGGAATTGATTTGGTAATAATTAATATAGGTATTATTTTAATGAAGAAATTTTGCTGACTAATCAAAACAGAATTTTAAAGGTTGTAAAAATTTATTTCCCACAATAAATTGAACTGATTAAAAAATTTGTGTAATTTAGATTATAAACAAACAGTAGACATTAAAATATTGATAAGTATCACTTCATTTCAAACTCGTGTGATGAATAGAATTATTTTTGGGGTACGATTTTTCATCTGTCGTATTACTCAACATATTTTTATTGGATAAATAGAATTGTTGATATTTGTCTTTAAAGTGTATTATTTGTCATTAATTATGTAATGTATTAATTGTGTGTAAGATTTGTCATAAAAACTTTTTGCATGCAACAATCAGTCATGTTGATAGTCCAAAAACGAGATTAACTCTTGCATACACTAAAAATGACATGCATGATAGACTGTAGCATCGGAATGCATATTTGATTGAGTATCATATTTAAAATATTTTAAATTACTTATTCGTCATTAGTAAAATTCCTTATTTGCTGCCATCTGTTGGTAAAAATATTGATATAATATTCTAAAATATAAATATTATGTTAGAAACAGATATAAAAGCACTTATGTCAATCTTACCTGTTATATTAAAAATAGTTAAATTAAAATTCATTATTCATTAAGTAATAATAATGCTTGTAGATTTAAAATATTTAGATACGTAAAACAAACTGAGTATAACTAAACAAAAATATAAACATTTTTTTTAAATTTTTTTCCTTTTATCATTCTTAAATATTTAATGAAAACAAAAATTTAGATTAAAAATATTTTGTAAACCAAAGTAAATGAATGTCTTTCTGGTTCAAAACAATAATAAAAATTTTAATGTCTAGTTTTAATAATATGCCACAATACTAGTTACTTGAGTTACTTTCATTGTCTAAAATTATGGGAAATTTTTTCTAATTGAGATTGAAGGATTTACTAAAATATGTATTTTTGGAAATATATGTGATTAATTAAAAAAATTTTAAATGAATTTATATATTTCTTGTGCTATTCTTCCATCATCCATGTTTATTCAACTTAAGACTACAAGTTCACTAAATCTTTAACTTGAATCATGTTTAAGTCTTGAATCTCTTTAAAGATTTCTATCAGGTTCACTTTATTGATAATATTTGCTGTGTATGGAAGTCAAAGAACATAACATTCCCCCCTTTAAGAGTACCTGGACATTCTAAAATCAGCGTGCTCTCTTGAATAATGGCTGTAATACTAGAATCTAAAAAGTCCATGCATTTTAATTATTGATCTGCATTTTCAAGTTTTCTTCATAAATATTTTATTCTGCAGGGAGTATTTAGCCACTTTCAAAAAGACTGTAGCAATGCATGAAGTGTTTTTGCAACGTTTAGCAAGCCATCCTGTTTTCAGGAATGATAGTAACTTGAAAGTATTTCTGGAATATGAACAAGATGTAAGTTGTCTTAATTTCTGTAAACATATGCTGTTTGATATGTTAATTTATGTCTTAAAATATATCTCTTTTATAATTGCCTGTATTATATGGTGGTTAAAAAAATGCCATTGTTATTTTGGTTTTCACTAAGAAATTCTTAAATTTTCCTTTAGTTGAATGTGAGAGGCAAAAACAAGAAAGAAATGTTTGCAGATTTGCTCAGCAACCTTGGAAAAACTGCAGATGATTTACTTCTATCAAGCACTCAAAAGGTATTAAAGCTTTAGATAATTGAATCCACCCCACTTAAAAAAAAGAAAAATCTGTATTAAAAGGCTTATCTTGGAAAATTTGAAAACTGGGATCTTAAATATAAGTATGTATGCCAGTTTTCACTTAGTGTCGCAGTCATATAAAGTAATTTTGGTTAAAAATCTAAAAAGGATATTTTAATTCTTTTTTTGATAGATAGTGATATTTCTAAGTATTTATACTCAAGAGTTTTAAAATATTTGGATGTTTTAAAGCTTTTGAATACTTAAAAATGTATTTGATTATCAACTAAGTTCATCGAGTAAATTTTCTTTCGAATCTTATAAAGGAAGCACCTCATTTTCTGTTATATAAACAGAAAACTTTTTAAAATTTTTTTTATAGAATTTAGGTAAATTAATGTGTAATTTAATTAAAAGGTAATTCCTTTTATGAATTGTTATAATAATCATCAATTTATGTATGGTTTTAGGATGTTGATGAGTTCTTTGAACACGAGAGAACTTTCTTGATTGAGTATCATAGCCAAATAAAGAATGCTACATATAGGGCTGATAAAATGACCCAAAGCCATAAAAGTAAGTTACATAATAAACTGATTTCTTTGGCCCATGATAATTTTTTATTTGATACTGTCAATTTCTTATAAGAAATTCATACTTGTGCTCTTTCTCAATTGAAGTTACACAAATTCTTTCATTTTTTGACAAAACATTTCATAAATACATGTCTATATAGTGAATAATATCTAATTAAAACTACATTTTGTAAATTTCTAAATTAAAAAATATCTCCTTTAATCTGAGTAAATTCAGATGAATAATTTATTTAAATTTGATTGTTTAAATTATGCATTAAATATTTTGGTTACATATTTATTACTTATTTTGGTACTTTTCTGATGCATCCGCCATGCTCTTTGGCACCTGTGAAAGAGTAGTGAACACTAAATTTTTTTATTTGTAAACAATTTCTACTTATAAAAGTAGTTTGTAGAAAAAAATTTATTTATTTTTAGTGACAGTTCTTGGGTCTCAGCATGTATTTGGCTTCTCTTTCACAGAAGCAAAAAGTCTGATTGGTCACCACATGACTTCCTTGTACTACCTATTAAATTCTATGCATTTTTTACTGCATTTCATTGAAACTTATATCCTGAAATTTCATTAGGGATATATTTCTCATTCAATGTTTTCATTCTCACTTCACAGCGAGGCAAAAATGCATAAGAACTCAAAACATCTTCATTAAAAATTATAGAATATAGCAAAGAATAAAACACCAACTACATTTAAGAAAACAGTTTTTGCAGTTAATAAATGCAAATGAGTTTCTACTCCAAAACAAGAAATTCAGTCAGTGGGTAGGAAGACGGATTTTTCATTGCACAAAACTGAGTTTACTTTTGGTCTCACTTGGCAAAAAGACACTGAAGTTTGAAGTTTGTGTAGAACTGACTTCATTTACTATTTTGCTAAGTTTCATATATAAACAAGGGCTGTTCTGTTAGGCTTAGTCACAGTTAAACAGCTTTTAAATTGTTAATAATTCCTAAACTATTGCATACTAATTAAAGGCATAAAAACTTAACCAGAACATAAGAACACCATAATTAAATCACTTTTAAAGCAAAATATGGACAGTGTACCTACATATAAGAATAAAAAAAAACTGAGCTTACTGAGCTGGGTAACAGAATGGGCATCTGATTGCAACCAAAAAAGGTGGTGCACAGTTACATGTTGCAACAGTCTCATATACAAAATTTCAATGTTCTAAGGCTACTCGTTTTTGAGTTATGCGAGATATATACCTACGTAGGGACATTATAAAAAAATCTCCTCTTCTGAATTCATTTTATATTTCATTTTGGGAAAAAGAGTTCTTTATTCAGTCTGTATATATAGATGTCATATAAATACATCATTTAAATGGATTCAAGAGCAGTCAAAATGGATATTTTCTTTGATATATGATACCCGAAATGTTTTGCGATTAGAATACTTCCTTTACTTCACGCAAGTAAAAAGCATGGCGAGTGCATAAGGGAAAAGTGCCTTGAATTTTAGTTAATGAAATATATATCATTTTAAGTCCTAGCATAAACATATATTTCTGAAATACTGCATACTCGTACATAGTTGATTTCATCGGTTTATTATTGTATAATCAATCAACTTATAAAATTAAGCACTTTTAGAATTTATTATCAAAAATATATATATTCATTGCGTTTATTTTTCCTAGCATTCTCTTAAATTCATGAGTAAAAGAATATATCCCATTCAGGAAGTTATTCAAATTTTTAAAGAAAAACTTATTCTTAAAAACATTCACCTTATATTTACTAAGTAAAAATTATCAAACAGCTTATTAATTGACTTTTTCCTTGCAAGGACTCAAAGATCTTGTAAATCATATTTGAAGGAAAAGAAATTAAATAAAATTCCATAGCTTAATTCAGTTTATTTTGGAAATTTTAAGCATATTTGGTAAAGCATGTTCATAAATCAGTTCAAGAAGTGTGTATCTAAGTATAAAATTCCATTTAGATAAGATTAATTATTCTTACTTGTTCATTACTGTCTCATAATTTTCTTTAACTTATTTCTGTATTTGTAAAATATGGGTAATTTCAGTATCTTAACTTATGTTAAAAGAGTATTTAAAAACGTTTGCATAGAAATAATAACATCTCTATAATGCTTTTCATTTTTTGTATCGTTTGTAAAAAAAAATTTCAAGTAAACAGGTTCCTGTTTCAAAACAAAAGAGAAACATGATAAAATGAAACATAAAATTAGCAAAGCAACAACCGTGTGTTTGGTATAGATTTAGTCAAGAACTGAAATGATTTTGAGGACAAACAGGTGCAGATCCCTCTTTCTTTATTAGGTACAAGAAAGTCTTGCATTCCTGTTTATTATTTTCAAAGTAGCATCATACTTCAACAACTAGTAACATCTTTTATTTTACATGATTTAAATGTTATACATATTACATTTTTCTCTAATTCTTCTGACACCAGCTGTTGCGTTATTTTCTTACTTCATGTTCATATGGGGTTCATAGATTTGAAGTGAATAACGACGACACTGGATGAAGTATCGAAACACACTTTATTTATCAATATAGGACAACTTGAAAACACATTTACAGTCGTCGAAGATCTACTATAAACACGCTGGAACAATCAGCGACACAGCCTTCAGGTTATCAGGCTATCACGGTGGAGACAGCTGCAAAGCACCCGACTCTGCTTTCCGGAGTACAGTTCCCGACTCTGCTTGGTCGTTCTCGGAGCTCCACGTACTCTCGAGACTCTCCACGCTACAATTTGCAATGCACTTGACGACACACAGAGCACAGCTCCTGACTCTCGGTTCAGTCATTTCCGGAGCTCAACACGCTCTCTCGACGATGCACTAACCGCCGATACGCTACAGTTACAGACTCCTTCGGTGCACTCGACGACCCACTCGACACTCGCTGCCTGGCTATCAACTCGATCAACTCCGCAGGGATTGACTCACTAGACGAGACACACTAACTCGAATGTGACTAACTGACTTACTGCGGCCAGCAGGGTTTATATAGCTTTCGGCTTGTGTTCGGGAACATTCTCACCGGTTAATTCTGGACTAAACCGGTAAGAATTCATTCCAGAAGGTTCTCCATCCGTCCATGGTATATCGCCAATTTTGTCGCCAAACGGACGATTACTCGCCAAATGTGACAACCCTGCTTTCCCTAGCTATTTTATGGCAACCCTAATACTGCTTTGCGGGGAAGCCATCTCACCGCGCCTTTACATTTCATAACACTTCCCCGTCCCAAGGACTGCACGTCCCGGGCAGTACAACCCTTGGTCAGAAGCCTAATTCGATACAATCAAATCGTTTTCAAACAAACATAAGATACATTATTGCAATAATTTATTATATGCATTAAATTATTATTACATATATAAATTGATTATATTCATTGTATTATAATAATTTATTATATGAATTAAATTATTATTACATATATAAATTGGTTATATTATTCATTGTATTATATGTACACAGTATCGAGGTTTGCTGATGCAAAGATTTCCGGTTTCGGATTCCGGTATTGCTGTAAAATTTCAACAGCTTTTTCTTTATTTTTCCATATATCATACACAGTCATGTCCCAACTCCATACGATTCTGCTATAAACAGAGGAGTAGCACCTGCCTGCATCTTTTGCAGAATTTGCACTTTTTGCATTACCGTCAATGCAACGTGTTTACGTTTTTCAATGTTGCAAGCAGTAAAATCATGAGCTCGTTTCTTATCTGTCATTGTATTAAAAAGGTCTGAAATTAAAAATATACTTAATTTATCAACAAAATATCGGGATAAAAAAAAAAAAAAAAAAAAAAAAAAACGGCAGCACTAAACAATCTCGTGAAATAACAAAGCTCAGAAAATACAACAACGTGAATCGTGATGTTGAAAGAAGAGTTGAGTGAATCGTCTGCTTTTTTACCTCGATGCAGATTAGAGGAGAAAAAACTTTTTATCATGATGTCAATAATTTGGTATTTCTGTTATGACTCATTATTATTCGGTAATTTAATTATGACGTCATTATTCGGTAAGTATTTTTTCTTCGATATTTCGTACTCCATGTTGTGGTTTCCGGAAGCTATAAACTAAATGTTTATATTTTGAGAGGCAACGTGGATATTAGGAATCGGCGAATTTTCTGTATTTGACTGTACTTTTAAGTGACTGATGCCGGGAATAATAAAGATTAGAATTAGCTGAATAGTCATCTGATATTATGAAGTAGACATGCGTGAATAGGATATCCTGGATTAAGCTCATTGTTTCAACAGTTTTATCTCTTATCTATTTCCTTGAACTTTGTTATTGATTAGTATTACATTTGAAAATTTTAGTAATGTTTGATTATTTTTGGTTCAATTCTCAGTTGAAATTTAAAAAGCAATTTTTATGTTTCTTATTGCAATATAGACTTTGTTAGTTTCCAAATTCTGAAATTCATGTAACGGGATAAATATGCCTATTTAGTTTAGAATAGGAGGGGGGAGGAAAGGTTTGAGGTCAAACTTTTGAATACTTTAGAAACAACACGATTCTTCCATATCAAAACCGCATAATTTTGTTAATTTATTTAAATCCAAACTCTGTTAAAGTATTCAGGAGCTTTATTTATTTATTTGCTAATTTCTGTTCTCTTTTGCTTTATGGAATTTGCTACAATTGTTGTTTTTTGCACCTTCAAAGAGGTGTATTTTCCCCCTTTAACACAAGCTTTCCCACTAGATTGGTATTGACCCTCTGGATGTCGATGAAATTTTAAAGGGGTCAATAGAGGGTTGATGACTGATTACACACTGTTAATTGATTGGCATAATCAAAATCTCATTGATTACCAACAAAAAAAGTTAATATAATTGGCAGTTTATTATTTACTGGTATAAAGCAATATAATTGGCAGTTTATTATTTACTGGTATAAAGCTACATCCTGATTATCTTCAGTTTATATTCAAAAATTCACTATAATTTAACAAAATTATACCTTATTGAAAAAGGTTGTATTTTCTCAGAAGATATGTTTTTATATTCAAGCTACTTAAAAAATTCAAAAGATTTTAATGTTCACTTCCAAGACATTGAATATTTGAATGTGGCAACATGGCTGATAGAATTGCTGAACTGCAATACATCTGATCCTGATATTATGTTGCAAGATGAGTTGATTGCACTGAAGTATGGTAAGTTGCAAGTCTACTTCAAAACACATAGATGCACAAAATTCTGAAGTATCTGAGAGAAATATCCCAATGAAAATGTTTTGCAAAACCAGCATTATTGACTTTTCCCTTCTTCTTATTCAGTACAAGCGGCTTTAGTCAAGTCAGTAATTTACTATGAAAAATAAGAAACAGGATTTTTTTTAATGTGGTGAATCAAAAACTAAATATGTTTATCCCAAATATTAAAAAAAATTGCATCAGTACATCAAGCATATCCCTATCATTAACACCAAACTTATCCACTCTTAGAATAGATTTTCTTTCTGAAAACTTCTTATTATTAAATTTTATATTATATTTAAAATATATATTACATTTTATTTATTAAATTTATATTATATTTAAATTAAAAAAAGTAATATTTCTAAAATAATAAAACGTAAATCTATAAAACCATTTTTCAAAACTTTTATTCATATTCTTACATAATTGTTATTTTTAATTTTATTTATATGCAGTTATTTGTAGTATGATTATGTTGTACTCTATTTGTTATAGAGAAGAATGTAAGAGTTCGATGGAGAAAATTATTCTTTTAAAAGTGATCAATGTAAAAAGAAAAGGTTGGAAATCTCTGCCTTAACATGTAAAATCCTTGCTGGGAAATCTGGTAGAGGAGAAAAAGAAAGAAACAAAATGCAACCCTGGGAAATGTTATTTCCGTGCTTTAATGTCTGCATAATGGGTTTTCAGAGTACAACCATTAGCAATTATAATATGTTTAATTTGTCTCAGAAGTTTAACAAATGTGTTACTGATCAACAAAGTGAGCAATTTAAATTAAACATGTTGCCACTGAATGGAATGAGAGCTAATCTATTATCTATGCTCAAACTTTCACATTTTCATGTAATTGGTTCTCATTGTACTGTCATTTGGCAAATGTAAGATCTTTATCTTTCAAATTCAATCAGTCTATTACTGACTAATAATGAGCAGTTTAAAAATAATAAATGCAATTTTTAATAATATAAATTTTTATTTTAATTTTTGAAATAATAATTCTAATTTAAACTAACATACATTTAATTTATAATCTATCCAATTGACCATTTTTATGAACAGCTTAAGTAATAATAGACTTTTCTAACATGGTGTTTCATAATTGGAACAAAATGATTTTTTAATGAATTTTCCATCTTTGAAATTAAAAAAAAAAAAAAAAAATTAATGAACTTGATTTTGAGATGATAGACTGCAGTCTAAAATTTTCAGATTACAATTTTCTTTTTAATTACTTATTTTTATGTAGCCTATTTAAACAAGGAAATATTGGCCAGAATAACACAAAATAATTTTTTTGCCCTTGGAAATGATAGACTGGTATCACGCTCTTTTGAAATGTGTAGAGCTTTCTTTTAGAACATTACAAATGAGGTTAACGTTTCCGGAAGAAGAGGGGGAGAAAAGCTTCATGTTAAGGAATTTTGTTTTATTTAAAATTCTCAAATTAAAGGGCTTTTTCTCATTATAAATACAGGATTTTTTATATGTATGTGTTTCAAAATTATATTTTTTTTCTAGTAATTTTAAAATACGAACATTTTTATGTATCAATCATATCACAACTAAACCAGCTTTGAGTCCTTTAGTGATGCTTTATTTCAGTTTGTTGCAGAAAACTTATTTTAAACTATCTTAAATATTGGTTATATGTTTCATTTAGATGTTGCTGATACTTATATTAAGATATCATCATCTCTTGTTCAACTTGCGACTATAGATGGGTCAGAATTAGAAAAGTAAGTTTAAGTATATTTTTAACATACCATTACATTATATACTTATTTAATAATGCATAATTGTTTTTACTTTGGAAATACTTAAAAATTCAGTTGTGCTGTTTTAGTATGTAGCATTTTTTTTATATAAAAATGAATGGTGACTGGAGTGACTGGTGACTGAAGTGCCGATCGGCAGCTGGTCTCATTTCTTTATGGACAAACTCTGCATTCCTCTTACAAATAGAAGAAATGGAAGAAACAACATCAAGATTCAAGAACAAATATAGAAAAATTTTCAGATGCAGCTTAAAAGCTTTGAAACACTCATTTGAACTTGAAACCAATAGTTCAAAAGAAGGTACTTCACTAATTTTGAGTGGTGCTGAATGCATTCAGCATGAGCAAAAAAACTATCTAGTCTAATATGAGATCCTCACGGATTTGACATCTTGCAGCAAAATAAAAAATGTATTTCAAAGTGTATAAGAATGTCGACTGCATACAAGATGAACTCAAAATTTTGTCTGAGAAAGGAAAATTAGTGTTGCTTTCTCAGTTGCACATACATGTAAAACAGCATTCTTTACAAGTACCAAAGCAATATACATAGTCTGCATCAATGAAGAACAATGCATTCATTTGTAATTATTAACAGTTGAAACTATAATAATAAAACTATGCATAAAAATGATATCACAGGTGTCTCATTAAACCTTTTTATTTATTTATTTTTTCCACCTAAATGCGAGGCCTATAGTGCACTATAATTGCAAAATAGTAAAATTAAACTGTAATTGTCTGCTGTAATGCTCAGCAGAATTTCCAAGTAACAGTAATGAAGGAATATGTGTTTGAAAGTAAATGCATATAATGTTAATTTGTAGGAAACAAATTTAATATAATGATCTTAATGATGCTGTCAGCAGTAATGTAAAATATCTGTTGTAAGGCCAACTGGTTTTAATTTATTAAACTCTGGAAGAACCTTTATATATAGCTTACTTTTGGTAATGCCATATGGAGAATAAATTGATATATATGGTTAAAAAATATCATTTCATATACATTGCATAACTGTTTATATATCTCTTTGCTATCCATACAGTTTTTTCACCCCTGTAATACTATTCTTTAACATCAACTTGTTAGATATATGCTAAGACTAAAAAGGTTGCACTAAAGGAGTTTATTCTAAAATGTTTATGCAAGGTTGAAAAGTTTGGGAATCACTTCCCTAAGTGTTTATGCATAATTTACTGTTAATTGTTTGTTTATAAATTTAGAAAAAAAGTTATCTTGGAATTGAAGGGAAAAAAATAATAGGCTTATTAACATATGAGTGAAATGTGTTAGGAAGGGATGTAAATAAAATGATGAATGTATGTATTATGATGAATGCTATGTTAATTTCTAATGTAGGTCTAAACTTTAATAAATGTTCTAATGTAGTCCTGAGTAAATGTAACTTTCAAAAGAAACTGTAATTTTTTCTTATGAAAAATTATTTTAATAGTAAGTTTGAAATTTTTAAACATATTTTTTGTAGTTTTAATTTCTTTTTAAGGTTCTTCAGCAAAGTTTCAGATACATTTGAGAAAGCTAGGGTAAGTTAACTTATTTGTCACTATTTATTTATTCATAGATTTTCTATAATTGCTCCTGCTTTTAAGTCTATGCATTGTTTTCTAATCATATTATAAGCTGTGCTTTGTTTATAAAACTTTTCAAAGTAGTTTTTTCCCCCTCTGTCCTTTATATACTAGTTTCATTTACTGTACAGAAACAGTAATGAATGTGTAGTGATGAAAATAAAACATTTCTGAGAATATTTTTATAAGCCAAAATGGTTAAACAATTACCATTTATTTATGCAGCACACAATTTTCAGTATTCCAGGATTTTAAAAAGATCCTAATAACTTCAATGAACACTGAAGGAGTGGATTTTAAAAAGATCCTAATAACTTCAATGAACACTGAAGGAGTACATAATAATGTGTTTTTTTTTTAGAGTCATACTTCTTTTTTCCTGTCATACAGTCTTCACAAACAATTAAAACATCTAACAAATTTCCTTTGAATTTATATGCCTTATCACATTTAAAGTCATACTTTTTTAAGTACAGCATAAAATATAATATTTATAAACTAAATAATATTTTTGCTTTTCACTTTTTTCATGAAGGCAGAAAATTACTTTTAGATTTTTTTCACAAACCAAAAAAGGCACTAAGAAGGACTTTTACAAAAGCAGACTTTAAGAAAAAGAATATCTGTAATTGGATGATTCATCTGAAAAATTAATTGACAAATATCTGTTTCATTGCACTCTTATTAAAGAAAATTCTAATAGATTGTAGAAGCATGAACATTTACAGTACTACTTGATTTTCCCAGATCTTGTGATAAACTGCCAAATTATGTAAAAAATGGTACTTTCGTGAATTTGACGAACTGCATGATATCGAAATAGTCTTTGTTAAAACTTAAACATTGTAAAAAGTGTTGCCAAATTATGTAAAAAAAGGTACCTTTGTTGTCACTTTAAAAAAATGTTAGCAATTAAAAAAATGTTAGCAACGAGTGAGCAAGATGCTGTATTATTTTTCCAGGAAAAAGCTACATTATCTGGTAATTGAATATGCATAAATGGTTGTGAAATGAAACTATATGTAAGCGAAAGTATATGGAGGTACATCATGAAAAGTTGTGAACAAAGAAGAGCATTCGATCTGACAATTGGTTTAGTAGTTTTAGAATATCATTCCTAACACCACTGTATTTCATCTACTATTCGGTAGAGGAACTAACATTGCTTTAAGTAGTGCAATAAAATGGATCAACATCTGTCAAAAACCATGATTGACTGGAACAATTTTATAAGCGAGATTTGTTTGCTAGATTTACTTCGACAACCTAAAGGACGAATAGATGGCCCTGGATTCAAGTAGTCAAAATTGATGAGAGTTTTTTTGTGGAGTTACAAAACAACACTGCAGTGTACTTCCAGATTAGTGGGTATTCTGTGGGTTTTGCCAAGAGGCACGTGCTTTCTTATTCTGTTTTCAAATTGCACACTGATAACAATGATTGTAGATCACGTAATGAAAGGATTGGAATTATATTGATATTGTTGGAAAGCCTATAAAAGAGACCAGCTTGATAAGGCTGGTTACAACCATTTAACTGTGCATTGCACACTTAATTTTGTTGATCCAACAACAGATGCACACCAGAATGTGGAAAGATAGTGGAGCTCTGTTAAATGGCAAAATAAAAGCCAAAGGGTTATGGATCAACATCATCTAAATTTGTATTCTTGCAAATTCATGTGGTGGAAGTCCTTTAGGAAAGATAAGGATGATGATGCCATGTTAATAGCAGTGTCGGAGATATGGCAGCCACAGACTGTATGCGAGTAGTTTAAACTTGGCGATAATCTTGGTGCCTTTTTGATAACGGGGGCCGAAAATCAAGTAGTACCACATTTAAATCTCACTGTCTTCCTTTTAAAAAAAGATTCTAGTGTTTTATTTTAGTATTTTGATTAAAATCTAATTGTCATTAGCTATCAGTTTTATTGCTGTTTTTAAATCATATGTGTGAATAAGAAGCGTGAAAGCATTTTTGAATATACGTTTATATCACCAGACATTTCATATTTCTGAAAACCATACAACTTGACAATCGTAAGAAACAAAGAAGCACTGAAATAAATTTTAAAAAATAAATAATAATAATAAAGAAATACCAAATACAATATTATAAAGTTAATGTTAAATACACAAATATGATGATTCTTTCTTAAGCCAAAATGACGCTGGCAATATCCACCGTGCTGTGTTATTATTTTACGTCATCAGTAATCTCCTTAGGTTAATTTGCAGAATTCTGTGAATGAAAAATGAAATAAATTATTTTTAAATAAATTAAAAATAAAATTTAAATGATATTTAAAGTAGAATAAAGATTATAAATCAAAGCATTTATACATATGGGACCGTAAATTTAAGGTATGTTGAGTTTGAATTTAAGAGTACAAGATGAATACTAACTACCAAAAACATATTATGCCAGTAATGAAGTGTGGTGGAGTAACATGCTGTGTATGAAGAAAGAAATATTCTTCAGATAATGGACTTTGCATTCTCATTCCAGAAAATCTTAATTCTTTTTGCTCTTTTGATATAATGTTAACAATTTAGTGAACCTTTCATGATTAAAAATATCACCACCTGCAAACTAAGTCACTAGACCTATATTTTTAAATATAAGTCACTAGACCTATATTTAAAAAATAAGGCAGAAGTTTTAAACCTTATGAATGAGTTATATGCTGAAGTGACTTTTTGTAAAATATTATTAGGCTTGCTGCACACGTCTGCTAACAGTGTTTATGAGATAAGTTATCAAAGAAACAGTTAAAAATACTAAAACAAATTAATAGTATGTTTTATATTTTAAATACTGTAGTTGAAAAATTCTAAATAAATAATTACATTGCTATACAATACATACATACCTTGGATAGCCATTTGTGGGGTATATATGAATTTAGTGAGGATGAGGCTGTAGTTCTTTACGTGGGTGAGTCAGTGTCTGACTTGCCCTCTGAAGACTTGTCGACAATTAAATGGATCATTTTTGATGAGAAGGCTGTATAAGAGGTGAAGGGAATTGATATATTAGATGGGCCAACACCAGTTTCTAAAGTGTCTGAACATGTTTTGTTTTCCTTTCTTTAAAAATAAGATGATAGCATTGTATGGCATTGACAAAGTAGACTTTAATAAACCTTTCAGAATTTGAGACTTGGTTTTCTAAAAGAATGGGGCTTTCTTCAAATTTGGAAATGCTACTGCCCTTAACTTTATAACAAACTTTTTAATTAAGGATTTCCCCCCTTCCTCTCCTCTCTCCGTTGTCTGAGATAACATTGAATCTTCATTAGTCAGTTCTCCATATGAGCCTGTTTTTCAAAATTCTCCTCATGTTGATTGAAATCAAGTTATCGACTAATGTTGTTGACTCTCATCATGTTGATTGAAACCATGATAATCATGAACAAGATTTGGGCATATATTTTTTCAAACTCCATTACTGTTTTAATGTGTTGCATCTTCACATGCTCTACTAATGTTCTTCACACAATAATAAATATTGTGAATATTTATGCTGCCTTCATTTCTTGTGCAGTATCACGGTATATGCATCATGTAGCCTCGTTTGCTACCTTCCACTTTTTATTTTCTTTTTGACTCTGAACAAATTTCACTGAAGACAGATGTGTTGATGTCTATGAAAGTTTATAAACTGCCAGTTCATAAGGTGGAAAGTGTCTGTATTAAAAACCTGAATTAATTTGTATGGGACTTTGATTTGAATGATAAGTGCTGTGCTGGAAAAAAAATGAATTTTTCCCTGCAACATGATGATGTCTAGAAAAAATGCTTTCCAATAAAATGCTTATGGATAGTTATAAAAATTTGACTGATTAATTAATTCCCTGTTAGAAAAGCTTCATCTTAGAAAGTTTGCAGATATTTTTGATTAAATAATGTACTTATTTGAACAGTTTTAACAATATTAGTTTTTGTAGTAGTATTAGATTAAACTGATTATTAAATCTGCATTATTAATTTTTAAATGAAATTAATAAAAAATTTAAATATATTTTTTAATTTCTTCAAATCTGGCCTAATTGTATCCCTCTTCATATTGTACTGTATCAGTCATCTGTATTCTTTTGTTGTCGCTACTTTTTTAACACTTTCCAAATATCTGAGCAAAATGATAATTTATTTAAAATGATTTTTAGTATATTACTTTCTTGAATAAAATTTTGCAATTTGTATTACCATAATTCATGAAATCTAAAACGCATCTTTTTCAAAATTACTAATTATTCTGAAATAATAAATTTTTCCTGATTCGTAGTTTAATTGGGAATCGTACTGTTAATAAATCAAAGACGATTCAAAAAATATTTGTTAGATGTATTTTAGCATTTTATTTTGTCATTTTCTGTTTTGATGTTATTGAAATTAAAGGATACATTGTAGAATCAAAGAAATGTAATGTGTCCTAAAAATTAAATGAATAAAAATGCCTTCTTTTCTTCTTTATTTCAGTTTTTTGTCATGAAAAATACTAGACTTCTGTAATTCATTTCAAAATTTCATTCTTTTACCTTTGTGGAATTAACATGGAATTCTTTTTTAAAATTATAACATGAAACATATTCATATTGTACTGGATTGTTTTATTTAAATTAAAAAATAATTCTCTTTTTTCTTCTTTTTAATGGAAAGAAAGTGGAAGGAAGAGTGGCAACAGATGAGGATCTCAAACTTTCTGACACTTTGAGATACTACATGCGAGACACAGCTGCAGCTAAAGTAAGTTTATTGATGAGTAAAATGCAGCTATTATATTAATGTAATGATTAAATAGATGTAAATTAAATTTTGAAAAAAATTTAGTATAAATATTAATTTAAAAACAACATTATTTGAAAAATAGAGAAGGAAATTTCTTTTTTTCTGGACAGAACCTTTTGTATAGGAGATTAAGATGTTTGGCTAACTATGAAGCTGCAAATAGAAATTTAGAAAAAGCCAGAGCAAAAAATAAAGATGTTCATCTGGTGAGTATTTTTTCTTACCTCCATAACTACATATTTTATATACATTGCTTTTACATGTTTTCAACATATTAACTAGTGCAGAATTTCATGATTGATTATATTTTAGAGTTGTTTTTAAATATGCAGAAAATTAATTTTAAAAGCACTAAGTACATGTTGTAAAGGTGGGGAATGTGATTGGAGAAACTGATGAATCATGAGGAAAGTGGGGAGATAATAAGAAAAACATGACAACATTTGGAGAATTAATGACATAATTTATTTGAGTCAGAACCTTTACAGATTAATATAGTGTAGACCACTTCAGGTGTTGATGCATGTCGAAATGCAGTTTGGCATGGATGCAAGTCTAATGGCTTTCTGTAGGCCAGTTCACAGGGTTGCCACGCTACCTGGAAAACCAGGAGAACCGGAAAAAGTCAGGGAATTCGAAAATTGACCAAAAAATTTAGGGAAAAGTCAGGGAATTTAAGTATTTTTGTCAAAATCTGGAAAAGTCAGGGAATTTCATACAACAATCCCGCCAAAAAAAGCGTTTTTGTGCGATGTTGAAGAGAAACTTTTTTGGCGAATGTGTATCACGTGAGGGCATCGGCAGCTGACATAGAGCCAATTTTTCGCAGCTCCATTTGATGTCTTTTAGAAGGCAAAGCGTTGCCCGCACTTTTGGTTTCCATATCTCGAGAATCGATGTGCAGGCATGAACTAAGAAAGTACTGTTCTCGATAAACAAATGGTTTAATCCTAGTATACGGTATCATGGTGGTTAGAATCAAAGAATATGTATTGTAAAGAAGGAAAACCTCTCTGCAACAGACGTGGCTCCGTTCCGTGTGGATTGCTTCTGCCGTATGGTGGAAAATGTAGCTGTTGATGTAATTGCAGTGTGCATGATAGCTGAGCTTGTGCTTTGAGAAGTTGTTCTTCGAGACCTGATACTGCCCATTTCCAACCAGTGGATGGTGAAACCACTGCTGACAGCTTTATCTTGTTAATTGTTGTATTATTTCATTGCTGTGACCATCGTACTTGGTGATTTGACCGTATAACAATCCTACTTCCTAAAAAGCAGTAATGCATCATCTTTGGAGCTTGCTGAGTTACATGGAATCTTGCTGTGTAGGTCTCTGGAGCATTCTCTTTGGCTATGGCCAGCAGCATTATCCTGGAAATTGTTCTGAATTTACAAGACAGGTGAGTGCTGTGTCTTATATGTATATTTGCTGGCTTGTTCATTCCGATATGCAGGACATGTACTCTGTGTATTCAGTTGGTGTGCGTGTTCAATGACATGCTTTACTGGGTTTGGGATATTTGTATGTCAAGTGTCATTGTGTTCCATTATGTTTTTGCAGGGCATGGACTTTTGGGGGGTTTTGTTTCAAGTATATTTGTGATACATTATTTGCCTTAAACATATATTGCAAATGATATTCCTCTAATCCAGTGCATTTGTCTACATATTTCACTATGTTTCTAACAATCTTCACGAGGCTCATGTTCTTAGCACTTCCTTAGTTTAATGTGTTCCTAACATTCTTTCCAACTTTATATGTACTGTGGATGACAGCAGCATTTTTTTAAACTTTTACAGGATATAGTTTAAGTATCTGCACAAAAAGAGCTACAAATTTTAGTTGCCATAGGTTTAGATATTAGTATGTTATTTAAATATTCCTGTAGTGTCTTCATCTTGGAATCTCCTGCAAGGCATTTCATACTGTATTACTATATCTAATAGTGATGTACATTCTCTTGCAGTAAGTCTCTTGCAGTGTGTCTTGAGTGGCTAGATCATTTGCATCTTGATTGGCCTCAGTGTCCATGGCTGTTTTAGTGAACATGTCAAATAATTATATCAGACAACTATTTAAAAAAAATGCAGTGGAAATATATTAATTGATATAGATTTTTAGAGTTCCTGGCTTGGTAAATTTAACCTTGTATGTGTTCTTTTTGATGAAATCATATTTTATCTGTGAAAAAAATCTGATATAAAATGGAAATGCCGCTGTGTTTAACACTTATTTCACATAAAAGATTTATCAGACTCCCTTTTATTTTCAAAGAATGTGTATTGCATTTTCATCAGACTAATTTATCAATTTGTCTATTTCATATAAAGGAGCAATATAAAAATTGAAGAATCAATGCAAACAAAAAATGTATTCAAAATTTCATACCCTTAACTATGTGGTCTTTTTCAGACTGAATACTCTGCATATTCTGTAATTAACAAAGTGATTTGGTTTGGCATTGAACAAAAAATAATTTTTTTAAGGGATTGAATTTAGTAAAAAAAAAAAGGCGGGTTCTTTTTTTTTTCAACATTTTCTGCAACTGTATCAATAGCAATGTTAGAATTTGTAAGATATGTTTTCCTAAGTTTGTAAGCAATAATAAAGTTACTTGAAATGAAGTTATGAAGTGTTAAATTAAATGTGTGAGAAATGAAGGAAGAAGACTACCCATGTTACTCCCCTATGCAATTTTTTCTCCCTATGAAATAAAGAAAACTTTTGCATTTGCAATACATTTAGTTAAGTAGGTTAAAATCCATCTTTTGAAAAGCAGATGCATTTTTGGTCCTTTCTGCTCAGCATTGTAACATAGACAAAGAAAATAAAATAGTTTATTTTTTACCTCTAATTTGTACAAGGCCAATCTCCAAAAAAGGGTCTCCTATATTTTTAGATATACAAAGAACCGTTTATTTTCTATAATTGCTACATCACTTTAAAGATTGAAGAATGCTGTATTTTTCAACATAATCGCCATTTCGGTCGATGCATTTTTGTAGGCGCTGTGACAGTTTTACAATGCCCATGTCATACCAGCTTGCCGCCATGCCCTTCAGGAAGCGACGGGAGGACGGGCGTTGTTGTGGAGAATGCTTACACCCTTGCCCAACATCCCTCTTCTCCGATTCTGAACTGCCCTTCTGAGTTTATTCAGTGTTTCACAGTACCTGTCGGCGTTGACTGTTGTCCCAGACAGCAGAAAGTCACCACGTACCCCCTTCCTGTCCCAAAACACAGTTGCCATGACTTTACCGGCATGGTGCTTCTGGAAACCTCAGGAACCAAAATCAAGAGAGCATCCAGAGTGATCCTCCGTCTTTACACCGATTTTTCAAATTTCGCGATTGTCTCGTTGGCAATTGAGGCCCTCCCTCCCTTTTCCTTCATCATGAATTTCCGTACGACCGCTGTAAACTCTCTACACCACTTGCGACTTTTTGACTCCTGCATGACTGTCCATACACTTCCGTCATAGCGGTGAATTTCAACCGGTTTAACGCCTTTTTCGTTCAAAAATCGAATAACTGCGTGCACTTCGCACTTGGCGGTAACATTTATCGGGAGCTCCATTTCGAATGGCTGCCAAGCCAAGACTGAGCGAAGTGCCTGCGTGCTTATGTGTTAGCGAAGAAGGCACCACTCACAACAGTGTTGCCAACAACCGCATTAAAATTTTCTCTACGTCCCCAAAAAATAGGAGACCTTTTTTTTTTTTCGGGATTGCCCTCGTAAAAAGCTGTATTCTATAAAGAAAGGAAAGATATTCAATCTTAAATAACTTCTTTTTTCTTTCAGAATTACTATCTCATTAGCACTTAAGGAACCAACAAAAACTGTACCTAACTGTCTGTAATATATGTTTTTTATTAAATAAATTTAAAAAAAAAACTGAATATATGGTTGATGTTAAATTTGAAATTGGATTTAGCTGATTCACGACTAGTGATTTATAATTCCCTCTGGGTTTCTAAAAATCTATGCTGTAATAATTGTAACAGGTACTGCACAAAGGTGCATCATTCTCAGCTGATGATCTGAGCTGGCTGTTAATTTTGCATTGCACAGGCAGGCGATCTCCTTAAATTCATTATACTATGCATGAATTGTCGTTCTTTAGATACTTCTCAATATTTTTTTTTTTTTCCCAACTCCAATGCATTATCACAATCATTTTACATTTAGCAGATTCTTAGATGCCATAAGCTTTCTATTCATATATGAACTCCATGCATGCATTACATTTCCATTTTACATTTTGATAGCCTTTTAACAGCTATATCTTAGATGATGGGACCTATTGCAGGTGATTCTCTGTTTAATCTTTGTCTGACTCTCTCTTTTTTAAAAAATATATATATAGTTCAGTTTTCTAGTTTAAACTTTTAAAACCTAGAGATTATGCTTAATCCTATATAAGAAAGTGAAGAAAAATTAAAATTGTTCCTTAGAGTCAAAATTAGTTCAAAATTTATAAAATTTTGGGTATGTTTTAGGAAATGCGTTATAGCGAAATGCCATTACCAGCCATTTTAGTGAGTTTTATTTTTTACTCAATTATCAAGTTTTATGCTCTGCTCGTGTATTCTATGCACATAAAGCACGAAATCATAAAATTCTTGCCTCAAATCAGAAAACAAAATGACAGTGCATAAAAGAAATCTAATGAAATGATTATTTGTTATCATATAGATTGTTAAAGAATATACAGCAAAATTCTGATAACATGTACATCTCAGAAAAAAGGGTTATGTAGATTAATGAATTCTGCAGATTGTAAATCAAGTGTTTCTGAGTTCTACTTGGTTTTCCTTTTCTAATTTTTGCATTAAATCTGAATTGTTTCTGGACATAAATAACTCACACACACTAATACCTTAAAAAGTTTATTTAATACAAAAGCTATTAAGTGTAACTGCATACAAAGAATATGATGCAAGTGCAAGAGAGAAATATTATATCAGATCTAAAGGAAATGAAGGACTTTCTGTTAAAATACATTCAAGAATTTTGTGTAAAACAATTGTATATCTACTAATGAGATTACTTTAAAAATAATTTTTATACTCTTAGACAAAAAAATAATAAATCAATAAAAAATGGAAAATCTGAAAGCTTTCAAATTTTACATTACACCCAAAAGGATGCAATGTTACCTTGTATGTTACCTTTATTTATTAAATATAATGTTCTTCACACTTAAACGTAAAATTCAAACTAACAGCAGTATCGCAAAATAATTTTAAAAGGAGCCTATCTTTAGAATTTCTGATACAGTCTCTCGTGCTGAAGATAATTTTTTATCTTTTCCACCCCCATACAGTGTTGCCATTGCTCACTTTGAAATCATTGAGTTTGTTAATCATTAAAGTGTTACAATTCACTAAAGTGTTACAAAATATGAAATTGATAATAAAACAAATTCCATATTAAGGCCCATATTCGGTTGGCTTAGTATTAAGGTCCATATTCGGTGGAGGATTATGTTATTCAAAATTTGATGGCTCTAGGTACAGTTGTTTTGTCACAATGCGAAAATGTGATCCCAGAAGGAATGAATAATAAAGTAAGTATGAACCCTGAACCCATGAAGGGTTCCTACAGTCCTTAAGTTTTTTGGAATCTATTTTTGGTCTTTAAAAGTCTGTAATTTCGGCCAAAATCGGTGGAAGGTTCTTAATTTTAGTAATATGAAATTTTTGTCTGTTTTTACGACTGCCATTTTTAGTATGAACTATTTAAGTGACTAACTTTTACCAGATCAAGTAAACCCTCATAGGTAGTACATTATGGAGAGGTTGACAGTTAGGAAATAAAACAGGCAGAAACTAATGAGAACATTGTTTTGCGTATTGAGGCAAATTTCTAATTGTTAGAAAAGATGCTTAAGGCGAAGGAAATTGATATAAATTAACACGTTGAATGCGGCGCCAAATTTGCTGTCCTTTCCATTCAGCCAAAGCAAGCTAAGTCGTAGTTTTGTTTAGAATGTTTCAGTATATTTCATTAAAACTAAACTTGATCACATTTCATTGAGACTATTTATTTTTTAACTATTTACTGAGACTATTTATGTTTTAATTTTAATACTGTCGGTCGTCAGGACCGACGGCAGCCAAACGAAAATTCCAGTGCTGGTCCCCAGGGACCGATGCTGGCAACACAGAAAGTTCACAATTGCAATTGTGTCTTGCAATTTCAGCATAGGAAAGACCACTTTCTCGTAACACAATAATATTACATCTCTTTCTAGGTGTCCAATCTACTCTTTTATTTGATGTCATTGCTTCTTGACTAAATATTAAAAATTTTTATAAAAATTCCTACTTGTAATTGCAGTGTATAAGAAACAGGTCCTCCTTCTACAGAATAAAGCAACATATGAATTGTTTTTCAAGTGTAAACATGATGTCAGCTTCTACTTGCAGTTACTAACATTTGATTGGTTCTCAGAACAAGAACAGTGATTGGCCAGGAAAGCTAGACATTACAAACCACTTCATAACTGTGTTTTTTATTTATATTAAAGTACATATAACTTTTTTTGTATTGCAAATAATTGAATTTTGTGTTTTGTATTGAATTCAATAATAAATTCTCTTTAAAATGATATATACGAGTTTGCATTTTACGAAACGTAACATTTTCTATAAGCATACAAAGTTCAAAAACATAAAAATTTCCAAAAGTGTCCACAATTTTAGCCACTACTGTATGTAGTGTTTTACCTGAGAATTGCTATTAAGAACTATATCTCTGAATCTATTAAAGAATCGCCAAAGAATTTCCACCAGATTTACAATAATAATAAAAAAAAGGTAAGTAAGTGTATTCACTAATTTTCAGAATAAATAATAGTTTGTGCAATATGTATGCATGCAATTAAATAAATTTGACAATCGTAAGTCATCAGATTCTTCTGTTGAAAAAAAGCCAAGGTGGTTGCACTAATATTACAAGTATCCATATTTCATAACAAGCACCATAAATACTTAATCTTGCTGTAAGGAAATCTTGTTAGATATCACCAAGGAAACCAATCTAACAAAGAGAAGCCAGTAAATATTTTGTAAAATGCCTACTAAAATCCATGCAGATCGAACCAACAGATTAGTTTTTCAGGGAATATCCAGCATAATCTGAGGAATCATGCAACCATAGTTTATTTTATTTTTATTTATTTTTCCTTTAAGATTTTGTAAATATTTAATATTTAGGATTACTATTATGTGTTTTTTTTTTCCTTTGATAGCCTTTTGCAAATAAAAAAACATTAAAACCAAAAAACATTAAAACGCTTTCTTATTCTTATTATAAACCCTGAATTTGTTCCATTTTGATCTTTGATATTAATATTCATGTAATGTCCACCTAAACTCTTTATAATGATAAAATTAAATTTTTATTAATTTGACATTCTTTATTTTTCTTCAGGCTGAAACAGCTCAACAAGAAGCTTGTGATCGTTTTGAAGCAATTTCCAAACAGGCAAAACAAGGTAAGTACTTCAGAAAGAGGCATTCTTAGTAAAGTAGATTATTGTGATCGTGGTTATTCCTATTAAATTGCCAGTGTCTGCCCATTTGTATACGAAGACATGTAAAATACATTGCTTATCATGATTCAGAAGTTCAATTAATATGATGAAAATATTATAAAATAAGTTTGTTAAGGCATTCTTAGTAAAGTAGATTATTGTGATCGTGGTTATTCCTATTAAATTGCCAGTGTCTGCCCATTTGTATACGAAGACATGTAAAATACATTGCTTATCATGATTCAGAAGTTCAATTAATATGATGAAAATATTATAAAATAAGTTTGTTAAACTGAAGTCAACAAAAAGTGTCAAAATATCAAATTTTAAAAGGTGCTAAATGACATGAAGTATAAGGGAGTAAGTCAAAGAGCTTGGTTTATGTAGTGTGCAGCAGGCAAACTATCGTATCTTAGAAATGAATAACACAAATAGTATAAGCGATATCAGTTTAATTTTTTTTCCAAGTTATAGAGAGACGCTTAAAGTTTTTTTTATTACGGTTTAAAAATAATATGATTAAAGTGGCCTTCGTTCTGGTCAATGCATTGAGGTAGTCGAGTTTTGAAGTTTCTTTCCACTTTTACCAGCATATCAATAGGTATGTTGTCGATAGCAGCATGAATATTGTTCTTCAGTTGAGCCAGGATCTTTGGACGTTAGAGATTTCAGGTAGCCCCGCAAAAAGAAATCGCATGGGGCTAAATTAGGCGAGCGTGCTGGCCACTGACGATTGCCTCATAAGGAGATAAGGCGTCCAGGGAAATGTTCTCAAAAAAACATGGTCCAATGATGCCTATTCTGGACAATGCACACCAAACAGTCACACAGTATGGAGGGGTTGTCATGAAATTCTCGGGGATTCGTGCCACTCCATTATTGCATGTTTTGCTTAATGCATGCTGCAACCGGAAAGACGAAAATTAGCCTCATCGCTAAAGAACACACGAAACTGTCAGGAAATTCAATATCTCAATAGCTACTATGTGTCCTCTCCTCGGCAGACATGGCAATCTGACTATCAACAATAAACTTATTTTATACAAGTCCATCTCTAGACCTACTTTACTTCGCCAGTCTGGTATGGGGACACGCCGCTAAAACCGACATAAAAAAGATTCATGTTATTCAAAATGAAACCCTTCGTGAAATTATTAATGCATCCCTGGTTCATCCCAAATTCGTATATTCATAGAAATCTTCAAATTGATACTGTACAAAATTATATAAAAAAACTTGTAACAAATTTTTTCCTTTCTGTGCTATTACATCCAAACAGCTCTATCACTTCTTTGCGATGCTCACCTTTTCCTAGAGAAAAACACAAATATCCTTCGGATATTCTTACCTAACATTTTGTTAATTATTTGAAGTACTTACTACCCTTACTGATCCAACTTTTTTTCACATTGCTTGTCTTTTTTCATTCATTATATCTTTCTTCGCCAACTGATGGCGTCTAAGTGAAATATCCCATTCTACCATCTCGATTCTTTTTATCATCCTTTTGTTGTTCCAGACATTCTTTTATCTGATGCAGAGTAAAAGCGCGCTGTCACTCTCTTCCATTCGACAAACATAGAACACAAGGGTATCATTGGACAAATAAAGAACACAAGGGCATCATGAGGCATATTGTCAAGAGTGGCTTTGCATGCATTTTTTTGTAAAAGAAAATCACGTGGATTAAGTTTTTGCACCACTGCCAATTTATATGGATGAAAATGCAGTACGTTGAAAATTACGACTCCATGGCGAACGAGCGTTCCTTTCTCATCCACTGCATCATCGGTACTAAACCTACATGATATAAAACATTAGTTACCACTCTTTTCAATTAGCACCACCCCACCCTTCTCAGAATAAATTTTGCTAGATGGTGTGTGTTTCAAATAAGGAAGTTCCCCTGCCACACCCTGTATTTCAGTCAACCATTTAAAATTAGACAAAAAAGTAGCTTTTATTTGATATAGATTTTTAATAATTCTGTCAATTATAAGAATTCCTGACTTTTTTTTTTTTTTTTTTTTTTTTTTTTTTTTTTTTTTTACATTTTAACATCTTTGCCAAACTAAGACTAAGATTGTTTTTCTGCTCAAGTTTAAATTTTACATTGGCATGTTCTCTTACAATGAGAGATGCTTTCTGAGTTTTAGAATTAGGGGTACAGCAATGTTAAAATAATTTTGAGAAACATTATGAACAGTACGCTTAGTGTTCATTTGCATTAATGATATTATGAAAGTGCATAAACAGACTTTTGTATTTGTCTAATTAAAATGCTGAGTAAGTACATATTTATATGCTTCTTGTTATATTAATGTCAAATTAAGTAAATTACATTACTTCTTTAAAGGATATTTTTTCTCATCATTTAATGCTATCTAAATAGCCACATATAAAAATAAATGTATAACATTAAATGACAGCTACTTTAGTTGATTTCTGTTTTCCAAGGTCTTAAAAGATTTCTTACTTTCTTAAAAAAATTGCTTCTAAAAGCTTTGAAATTTTAAAAAATTGTAAATATATTTGTAAAAAAAAAGTTAGCAGGGAAATATTAATAAATTATTCATGTATGAAATTGTTCATTCTATACATGCCTGTTTTATGTAAAACTATTTCTACAAATATTTAACACGAGGAAAAATGTCTAGTATCTTAAGTGTTTATAATACATTTTGCATATTATTGAAACCTGTAAATTATCACACAGTATTGTTTAAATGAAGTTTTCCCTGCTTGAAAAATTTACATATGTCGAGCACTTTTACGTGCTTATCAAGAAGAAATTTTTTAAAAAGTGAATGAAAGTATAATGTCTTTTTAAAATTAGAAATACTAATTTTTGCATATGTAATAAATGAAATCTCAAAATTAGTGAAATAATTTTAAGAATTTGTTTTGGAAACATTCCATTGTTTGAAATATTAAATTATCCAAAAAGCTCTGCAGTTTTCTTATGATAATTACTATTTGCATACAGAAACATGAGAAAATTTCATTGCATCGCATGAGTTTTAGTTTATTATATGATTTTTTGGCCTTCCCTCTGGCAGTTGGAAAATTCCTGTAATTAAAAATATGATTAGTTTATCGAGATGCTATTCGATGGTCTCCAAAGAAATTAGCATGTTTGTTAGGAATATTTACCTGAAAGTATGAAATCTGTGTGGGCAAGGTCTGATAAATATGGGGGGGGGTAATAAAAACATCTCAACCATATTCAACAAGTCTTTTCTGACATCAAAATGTAGTGCTGAACATTGTAATGATGGAAAGCAATACTTCAATTGTCGATGAATTGAGTGCTTTGCTTCAATTTCTGCTTTAGAAACTGTCATTTGAGAATGTTATTTTTCTGAATATATTGTTGCAGTAGCTCATAATATACACTTCCTTTGTGGTCTTACCATACACAAAGTGTTAGTTTTTTGGGATGCCGCTCCCGTCTATGTGACTAAAGGAGGTTCATGTAGCTTTCCCCATAATCTTTTGCTGATAATGTTATTGTATAGCATCAATCTATCATCTCCAGTAATGAGCCATTTTAAAAAAAGTTTTTTTATTTCTGTTTGGAAAAGAATTTTATGTCAAAACTCAAGCAAGCATTTTTTGCTCTGTTAGAATACAGAATACCCGTACATTGTATTGGATTACGTACCGTCTTCTTCTATTTACTGTACTGTTTAAAATATTTAGTATGTTTGATAATTCCCGAACTGTGTAACATGGATTTTCAGAAACAGTTTTTTTTTTTTTTCTTTTAACAAGTCTTTATTTATAAAGAATGCTTGTCCAGAGTAGGTTCATCCTTGAGGTTGAAATTTCCACAATTAAACTTTCTAAAACATGAATCAGAAATAGCACTTTTCCATACACCACATAAATTTTAAAAGTAGTCAGACTAGCATTTTCTCCTATTTTAAAATAAAATATCATAATATGGCAAAAATGAGATTTTTGGTTCTCCAATCTTAGTAGTGCCTTGGAAAAGCAGTTATGCCAATAGAAAAGACTGTACGTATGCATTTTCTTTGATGTCCTTATCAGCAGCAACAAAATAAATAGAAAACATGCTTTCATTTGAAAAATTGCAGAACTTTTCAGATGATCCAGTATTTACATGTCAAAACATTAAATACAAACAAGAAATTGTATGAAAAATTAATGAAAGTTTAAGAAATTTCAGTTTTTTTAAAATTAGAAATAGTAATTTTTGCATATATAATATTTGAAAATTGGTGAAATAATTTTAAGAATTTTATGTTGGAAGTATTCCACTGACAGGTAAATGTCAAGTTATGATTTGAAAACATTTGAGAGAAAATAAGTAATTAAATTCAACAATATTATGAGATCAACAGAACCCCCAAATTTTACTCTGCTTTCTGTTTTCTTACTTCAGATTTTGTACAAAAGTTTTGATGTGAATAATAAGAACTGAATATATTTTCATACTACATTCTGTGAAACTTTTAATTTTCCACGACTCTTTTCACTTTTAGCTTAAAGTTGCTTTTAAAATCTTTTAAAAGGACTTGTGAAATGGTGACAATTTGAAATATGTAATGAAACTTCTACTTTCAAATTAATTTTCTTTCTAAGAAAGTGTGAATAATGTATAATAAATTTAAGCAGTTTAATTTTCAATATGAGCATATTGGACATTATAGAATGACATAAATTAGATTTTGTTTATGATTAATACGATCTAAAAATCTTCCAGTCTGTTAATAGAAAAGAATTGAAGTACTTATTTATAACTTTTTTAAATATCCGAAGTTTAACTTGCATTTGATTTTGATAGAACTTCAAGATTTCAAAGTGCGTCGTGTGGCTGCCTTTAAAAAGAATCTTGTTGAACTTGCAGAGTTGGAAATTAAGCATGCAAAGGTAAATATTTCATAGTTACTGTTACTCTTGAAACTGAATAATATAATTCCAGAGAAACTGCAGTCAAGATACAGCATAGATCTATTTTTCATTCTAAGTCATTAATACTTTTATAAATGTTACATGAATGAGTAAATTATGTTTTGGAAATGCCAACAGCATGAAACAGTGAAAATAAATAAATTTATTTTTTCATAGTCTAGCAAAAATTTATTTCGCTTTTAAGTCTGCATATTCTCATCAGGTCTAACATTAAGCTTCTTGAGTGCAGCCTGTAATTCTGGAAAATAACTTGTTTTTTCTTTCTTTTCTCGTCTTTTGTCAGTGTCACATGTAGTGTATTGGCCAGAATACAATTTATTTTCTTTTTAAAAGCTTTGTTATGTAATATGCATGGCATAAGCATTTAAAAAATTCATTGTAGAATTGAAACTTTCAAGTGATAGATCCAAAAGTTGAGGATTCTTATAGTTATAGCGGTGAAAAACATTTATATTCATAATAAGATACTTCTTCACAGTAAATTTCTGTCTGTGCTTGTAGAGAACTTCAAAACATTTATGGAACCTGTTTAAGATAATCTATTTAGCAAGCTAATTTTTTAACCTTTCTAAACTGGAAAACTGTTGGAAAGATGATTGTTGTGTGAGCTTGAAGTGATGGATAAAGGATACGTTCCAGAATATTGACATATAACAACATTCAAGATTCATTAATCCAGAGCTGACATTCAGGAGGAATTGCATCCCTGAAAAAAAAAAAAAAAAAAAAAAAAAAATGTATATAATGTGACCCGCAATCTTTGCTGCAATCACTTCGAAAAAGCATCCTAGGTAGGAAATGAGCAGAATTTCCATGTTGCTGATGGTTGCTTGTAGGCATTGTTTCTTGAAACCTTGAAAACAATTGGGAACATTGATGCCATTCAAATTCTTTTGAATGGGACAGAGTGTTATTACCAGCAAATTTGTTTGTATTAAGAATAATCTTGTGGGTTTCCACTAGTTGTTTGGCATAGTTAGAACAATTCTGAATTTTCTGAATAAAAATCTATATCATACTTTGCAAACTTCATAACTCTTAATTCAGAATATGTGAATTTGTTTATGGACCAGTGATATATATATTATATCATATAATGTTGTTTTACAGAAATAGATTTAAAAGAAAATTCTAGATTATATGGGGAAAAAGTTGCTAAATCTCTACTTGAAGTTTCTTGTCAAGGGTACCATTTATATATTGATTGATCTTTACACTCCAAACAAATACTTGTAGGACTGTGCAGTAGTGTACACCATTAGGTGGTGTTGTAACGTGACATTCTATCTAAATATTTATCTAGAAGTCCTTAATCAACTTACACATGCCCAGTATTTACTGGCTTGAATTCTAAGTGGTTAGTACATTGCATATAAAATCTAGTATTAAGAATAACCAAACATTTTACTTAACCAATAACCCACATGCATGAGACTTGCAGAGACAAATTTCTTTTTCTTAATATCACATTTATTGTATCCAAAAAAAAAAAAAAGAAAAAAAATTTCTCTGGATTAAATATATAACATTGATCACATAGCACATAAAAATATCAGAATACAATCACTTAGAACACAAAACGTGAGAACCTAAAAATGGAACAGTAGACCGATGCTGTAAGGTGACTATTAGAAAACAAATCACAATCTACTCGCATCGTTCATCTATGCAGTCGAATTCATTTTATATTAATTACGTACAGTGCCCGTATCATTTTTACACACATGTAAGATCTATTTTTCTTTTACATTTCATTTAGCACACGAAAATTACCACATGGAGACACACCACTGACAGTGCACTTTCTTGAGACGAACACATATTGATAATCTGCTTGAGATGGTTTAGAATGCTATCACAGCAGCAAGGCAGATTTATTTTAGAACTTAACATTTTCATCTACATTTTGCAATCTCTTAGCTACTGCTTCTTTTCATGCAAAAGAACGATGACACTCCTGGTGCGAGATGTGCAGGAATCAATGACACTCCATGAGCGAGATATGATAAAAGCCCTGCACATCGTATGACTTTTTTGTCCGCCAAGCGAGAGTAGGAAGGAAAGCGCAAAGAGACCAGCCTGACCGGTGTTTATATACACACGTGCAGTTCCGTGATTACAATTAATGTTGCAATGATATTGAACTGCGTGGTGTGAGAAATACCTTTCTCACAGACTGTAATTAGGAGAAGGAAAGGCATGACTGAAAGTTTTCTACTGCAAAAAGTAAAAATTGACTAGATGATGGTTTTGCAGAAAAAAGAACCTGAACTGAACTGCTTTCGAAGATATATGGGAAGTATTTTATTTAAATGAAGTTCTAATTGCGATGGCAATGCTTTGTTTGTTTACAGTGGGGTGTAGTGCCGAAACTGCTATGCAAACCCTGGGTTGTGACATTAGGTTGAAAAAAAAACACAGCATAAAAAAATTTATTGAATGCTTTAAAAAAAAAAAAAAAAAAAAAAAAAAGGCTACATACAATCAATAACAGAAAAACCTAAATATCTTTCTTAAAATCAAAGTCTATACATTTTACGTGCGAGAGCAATACGTGGCTCTCGAGCTTGCGTTTTAAACATTGCCAACAATTTAATTATTTTAATAACAACTATTTTAACAACTATTGAAAACATATTCGGAAGCTAAATAATAATAATTTTCATCTTATGCTTATGCTTACGAGACATCCTTGTCCATATTAATCTTCAGTTTCTTCTTCCTTTATGCGACCTTATCACAACAGGCAAATGAGCTATAATGAATGCAAGAATTGTAACATAAGACTGTGTGATCTCTGCTTTGAAATTTGTCATGCTAAAAATGAATTTTAAGTAAAATGTTTTTTGTTCATTGAATAATGTCAAAAGTCCCTAACATGAAAGTAAATACTGAAAAAAATTAACTTGGGAAAAAAAAAAAATCTGATAGCTTTCAGGTTTTAAATTACTTCCAAAGGGGTGTTTTTTAACATTTTGTGTGTTACCTATTTAGTTTCAGTTTAAGAATATATATAAAAAAAAATACTTTTATTCAAGTTTTGGTATTTATCAACCTTTTCTATACCTTTTCTTGTTTAATTTATAAACTAAAATAAAGGTATATATATTTTTTGAGTTTTGAAAAGGAAGTGGGGAGGATGATCATCTAGCAGTAGAGAAAGTGGTCCTTGGGAGAAAAAAGGGTGAGAACCACTGCTGTAGAGTATTAGCATTCTTCTCTTGTAGTTTTATTTTAATTAGTATAGCTTTTTGATAGCTTTATTTTTTCTAATGCCAAGAAATAGAGATTTTAATACTTAACATTATTACAGAAAATAGGAAATTTCATCATTAGAAAATTATTTCATTATTTGCTTGTTTTGTATCTTTAATTATTCTGTTAGACAATGAAATTGTGCAAAAAAATAAAGAAATATGTCATAATAAAATCAATAAGTTCTTTTAGAAATTGTTTTGTCAAGAAAAAATTTGCATTATCTTGGTCTACTCTGCAAAATATCTTAGATCGTATGTAACAAAATATTACTGTTGTGTAGTTCTCATAAATGACTATATGAATAATTCAGCATTCAATTCATATCCAACGTAATACAATCAGGAAATTTAATTTTCATTCCTTTATATGTTCAGCTCAAAAAATATGTGTTCCTATTTAATAAGTGGTCATGTATTTATCTTTGCCATTAATTTCAGTGAATCTTTTCATTGGTTGTATATTGGGAAAAGTGTTAGCTTAAAATTTAAATGTTCAGTATTCTAAAATCATATTCCTGTTAATTGATTTTTAAGTTTTCTTAATGAGCCGTTCATCAATAAAGAATTTTTAAGTTGTGAAGTTCATTATAAATACCTTGTTGTGGGCTTCTAATTATTGTATCTAGTTTCATATCTTTTCTAATATATTTTATTTATTAATTTAAAAAAAAATTGTGTTGCCTTATTATAACCTTGCAAATAGGATCAACTCGCATTATAATAAAAATGGAACATTCCCTAATAAGAATCAGAATATCTATACACAAAGAAAGAAAAGTCTGAAAGGATTCAGATTTTATCTTTTCCCCAGAGAGTTTTTTTAAGGTTTTGCATGCTCTTATTTATCTTGCAGTTCATCTATCTGCTTTTGGACACACTTCTGCTAATACAACATTTTTTGTTTTTTTATATTTGTTATTAAACATCACATTCTTCACAATTGTACTGCTTAAAATTCAACAGCAAAATAACAGAAATTAATTAAAGCTGCATAGCTTTAGACTTCTAGATATAGCGACCATACATTTTTTAGCCGGGAAGGGCTGATATTCTCAAACTCCAATTTTTTATTGAACCATTTTTATTGCAAGTTTCATTTTGCAAATAACTAATCATTGGTGTGGCCAGCCACCTAAATATTTACTATTAAAAAAGGAAATATATATATATATATATATATATATATGTAATAATAAATCCAGCTAGTGTAATTTCACAGGCTTAGTTGGTTATTAATAAAAGCAATAAAAACTGCATTTATTGCTTTCAAATCACTTTATTTATCAGTAATTAGCAGACTAAATTTAAAAGGAAAATTAACTGTTTTACCATTTGCCAAATAGTAGATGTCTTTAGAATTCCTGATAAATGTTGCCATACTCTTCTTTTTAATATTCACTATATTATATCTTTAAAAATAATACACTGTGATAACATTTTGGTGGCAACATCCTTTTATTTTCATTGTTATTCCTTTTTTATATATATTTGTTATATTGTTTCTTTCAAAATAATGCATAGAGATAACATTTGGTGATAGCACCCCTTATTTATGTTGTCATTTATTTTTTTATATTCAATCTATTGTTTCATTAAAAATAATACATTCCAATAACATTTGGTTGCAACATTTCAAAAGTGATATGAGCAAAAAGCTGATACGGACAAAAAAGTGAAGTTTGAGACTAATAGCACATCTGG